TAACGTGTTGTTAATATTATGTTAAATTTTTATGACGATCCGTCGGCTAGCATCTCAAGCGGGACTATTAAAAAGAATAATATTGCATTTTATTTTAAATTGTTTTCTTTATTGTATATATTGTATTTGTATATCATCCTGCCCATCTTGTCTTTGTAGTTTTGGTTCTTGTCTTTCTTGAACTTTGGATTTTCTTTCTCTAACACTATGTGCATTCCTTTTCATTGAGTGAACAAGCTATACTTGTTTTGGTTGTTTTTCAATTGCAAGTTGCAATTTTCTGTTTGAGACACGCTGTATCTTAATTTCCTTTGACATCCATGCATAAATGAGCTATATTTGTTGTTTTGGTGTGTCTCGTTTCGATCTATAAATTTTCTTTTTACAACACCCTGTATATAAATTTTTATGTCACGTGAAAAATAGCCATATTTGTAGTGTTTGAAAGTTTGCCGTTGGTGTATATTAAAAATGAAGTTGTTTTCTTTTTGTAACATCCTGTATATCAGTTTCCTGAAGCCTCGAGTGAAAAACGAGCAATATTTGTAGTGTTTAAATGTTTTCCTGTTGTCATAATAAATTTCTCATTTGGAACACCCTGTATATTTGTTTCCATTTTCAATCACCTAGAAAATGGGGTATTTGCTAATTTCTTTATCCCGGTAGAACTGTACGAAGTGGTACTTGCTTATATGTGCGCGCCTATGCAGGTCGTAAGTCCTGTCTCAATATGGCGGCATGTATTTTGTTGACTTGTAAAATCTAAACTTGTATCTATTGTTAATAAAGAAATAGTAAGATATATTGACTTCTTTGATTTGTGTGTTCGCCTTCTATCATTTCAGGAACAGGTCTCCAAGAGAGTTCCCTCTCTCAGGTGATGATCCCCTCTATAAAAATTGTTAAGGTAACCTGTATGATTCGTGTACTCCTTCTTTCATTTCAGGTACAGGTCAGAACTTGTAAGAATATTTTTAAGTGTCACCTCTTAAAACTTAAACTTAGAAATATTTGAACAAGACCTTATAAGGATTGTCCTTATAAGGAGTTCCCTCTCTCTGGGGGTGATCCCCCACCATAAAAATTGTTGATATGCCTGATAATTTCGGGGATGAAGCGCAGAGACATCGTAGCTGTAGGATGGGCCGGGAGCAATGGACGCATCGAAGCAGTTGACTGTCTAACGACACGCGCCAAAAAATTTAAAAATCTGATCCACTCCTGTTCTGTTTCTTCTATCTCCTCCTCTTCTCTACTCTGTTCTCTTCCTTCTATCCTCTCCTACTTCTCATTCTTCTTCTATTTCTTCTATGCGTTTCTCCACTTACTTTCTTACTTCTCCTTGCCTTCACTTGAATTACAATTTCTCTTATTTTTCGTTGCAATTCATATATGCAACCCAAATTACACCTGTTATTTTTATATTTGAGAAAAATGCCTTCTATACCTGAGATTCGATCCGAGACTACTAGCATGCCAGCAGGTGCACGTATCCACTCGACCACCGAGTGTTTTTATCATTGCTATTTGATTCTTCTATTCATGTTTTTACTTTATTCAATTTTTTAAAAACAATAACACACTAGCTATGTTGCACACGCTCTACACGCATAAGACTTATATGCAATATAACTTAATACGTCAATCCTGAAAATGGCAGAGAGGATGGCAAAAAGAAATATGGAAGAGATTGTCATATTATATTGTGTTTTATTTACAAACTTTATATAAAAATATATACAATTATTCATATCGAAAATTACCATGGCTATGAAATTCTGAGAACGTAATGACTTGCTTTACAATACGCACAGGCATAACACCGTTGCAATGGATATTTCAATAAAACATACAATGCAACTTTATACTAGTCAAAATTAAGAACATATCATAGGTATTGTCACATACGCATATTGAAACTATACGGCCACTTGCGACAGTACTAAATATATGAAAATGTATTACAATTCAAATTTCGTGTTACGGAATTTTCTAGCAATAAATTTTGATACAAGGTGATACAAAATTAAATTCAGCATAAAAGAAAGTTATTCCGAACTTACAGTAAGACCGCGTTCGCGTGTTATAATAAATAAACTATAATTCTTAGCGAATCGAGTGCAAGTGCGTATGCACACAACTATCAATATAACTCGCATTACGGAATTTTCTAGCAATAAATTTTGATACAAGGTGATACAAAATTAAATTCCGCATCTAAGAAAATTATTCCGAACTTATAGTAAGACCGCATTCGCGTGTTATAATAAAAAACTACAATTCCTAGCGCATCGAGTACAAGTGCGTATACACACAACTATCAATATAACTCGCGTTACGGAATTTTCTCGCAATAAATTTCAATACAGAGAGATACAGAATTAAATTTCGCATCTAACAAAATCATTCCAAACTTAAAGTAAGACCGCGTTCGCGTGTTATAATAAAAAAACTACAATTCCTAGCGCATCGAGTACAAGTGCGTATACACACAACTATCAATATAACTCGCGTTACGGAATTTTCTAGCAATAAATTTTGATACAAGGTGATACAAAATTAAATTCCGCATCTAAGAAAATTATTCCGAACTTATAGTAAGACCGCATTCGCGTGTTATAATAAAAAACTACAATTCCTAGCGCATCGAGTACAAGTGCGTATACACACAACTATCAATATAACTCGCGTTACGGAATTTTCTCGCAATAAATTTCAATACAGAGAGATACAGAATTAAATTCCGCATCTAACAAAATTATTCCGAACTTATAGTAAGACCGCATTCGCGTGTTATAATAAAAAAACTACAATTCCTAGCGCATCGAGTACAAGTGCGTATACACACAACTATCAATATAACTCGCGTTACGGAATTTTCTCGCAATAAATTTCAATACAGAGAGATACAGAATTAAATTCCGCATCTAACAAAATTATTCCGAACTTATAGTAAGACCGCATTCGCGTGTTATAATAAAAAAACTACAATTCCTAGCGCATCGAGTACAAGTGCGTATACACAGAACTATCAATATAACTCGCGTTGCGGAATTTTCTCACAGTAAATTTCGATACAGAGAGATACAAAATTGAATTCCGCATCTAAAAAACTTATTTCGAACTTATAGTAAGACCGCGTTCGCGTGTTATAATAAAAACACTATAATTCCTAGCAAATCGAGTACAAGTGCGTATACAAACAACTATCAATATAACTCGCGTTACGGAATTTTCTAGCAATAAATTTTGATACAAGGTGATACAAAATTAAATTCCGCATCTAAGAAAATTATTCCGAACTTATAGTAAGACCGCATTCGCGTGTTATAATAAAAAACTACAATTCCTAGCGCATCGAGTACAAGTGCGTATACACACAACTATCAATATAACTCGCGTTACGGAATTTTCTCGCAATAAATTTCGATACAGAGAGATACAGAATTAAATTCCGCATCTAACAAAATTATTCCAAACTTAAAGTAAGACCGCGTTCGCGTGTTATAATAAAAAAACTACAATTCCTAGCGCATCGAGTACAAGTGCGTATACACACAACTATCAATATAACTCGCGTTACGGAATTTTCTCGCAATAAATTTCAATACAGAGAGATACAGAATTAAATTCCGCATCTAACAAAATTATTCCAAACTTACAGTAAGACCGCGTTCGCGTGTTATAATAAAAAAACTACAATTCCTAGCGCATCGAGTACAAGTGCGTATACACACAACTATCAATATAACTCGCGTTACGGAATTTTCTCGCAATAAATTTCAATACAGAGAGATACAGAATTAAATTTCGCATCTAACAAAATTATTCCAAACTTACAGTAAGACCGCGTTCGCGTGTTATAATAAAAAAACTACAATTCCTAGCGCATCGAGTACAAGTGCGTATACACACAACTATCAATATAACTCGCGTTACGGAATTTTCTCGCAATAAATTTCGATACAAGGTCATACAAAATTAAATTCCGCACCTAAGAAAATTATTCCGCACTTACAGTAAGTTGCTATTCAAACTCATAAGAAAAAACCGGCCAAGTTCGAGTCGGCGCCCCTTAAAGTCCGGTGCCGCGCCATGCCCTAACACCGGTACTGGAGTTACTCAAGACACGTCTGGACCTACCACCGACCGACACGAACTGGCTGCATCGATAGCACCGTAGCCGTAACCGTAGCAGCGCAAGCAACGGCGTTTATGATAAGAAAGTAAGAAATGCACAAAGCCGGCGCGTCGACGGCGACCTTGTGGGCGAATTGCATTTGGTACCATACATACATGCGATTAAGAATTAAGCAAATTAAGAAAAATATGAATTGGAAGGCTGTACACTGCGAATGCATGCGGCTATGTAAATAGCAGTACGCATTGAGCGCAGTACGTCGAGAAGAAAGCAAAAACAATTGTAGTGCGCAAAGTTAACGCGTATATATTGATTTTAAAAATTATTTAACTGGAAACTTACCAATATATCATACCACACATCAAAAGGCAAAGGAGAAACAGCACGAACTTGCTTCTTGTTGAAAACAGTGTTGTTATTTTCTTCACACCTCTGACGCACACCTCTCCTTTGATAAATATATGATTGCTGGTAGAAAAAGAAAGATTTAATTTACTTGTCACGATGATACAATGTGCGATTAATCATTACCAAAACAGGTAATAGGTGATAGGTGATCGAATATAACAGGATTAACCGATTAAATGCTCAAAAAAAATCGCGATCATCATGGAACGCGTGCGTACCTACCGGCGGACCAAATCAAACTAGTACGTGTCAAAACTGCGCGTGCACAAGGCAAACTGCGCGCGGTGTACCGCGATAAAACAACTGGTTTAGACACAAATACAGATAAGAGCCTCGAGAAGAATACATATTAAAATAATTCCAGTATAAAAGTGCAAGCAAAAGTTGAAACTAGTGAAATACTCGCAAACTAAATAAAAAATCGTTGCATATTAAAATGTTATCGACGATATAAGTTGGAAGATATATTTTGCAGAACGTATTATAATACTTTGCATTACATTCTATTACAATAAAAATCTATCTATGTACAAATAAAACAAACCGACGCTACAATCGATTCATAAAATAATAAATATTAATGTTCATATATATTTTCGTACGCATGTATATAAATTCAATATAATTTCACATAATTAGTGATACAATTGCATGTATGTTAGACATCTAAAAACACATCCAGCTGTTTGCCATAGGGGCGGGGGCTAAGTCTAGCTGCCTCAATATAAAACATACAAAATGTAAGGAACGAAGGCGCAATTGCCATGAATTCAAGAGGATGGAGAACGGTATCAAAAGTTCTATGCTCGCTATCAGACGTGCATAATCAACAGAATCAACATCCAGGTTCCCTCCGAACCCAAAAATTTGAGCGTTAGATATATTCACAACCAATAATTTCCCAAAAATCAGCAAATTTTCACTTTCTACGGCTGAGCTGCTTGCACCAAGCACTGTTTCAGCTCCTTTGCCACGTAGGAAATATCTACCACCGAATCAACCATTTCCTGCACAGCAGTCACGCTGGGAAACTGCAAAGCTGCTTGTTTTGTCTTGGCAACATTTGTCGCTAACGCCGCGGAGAGATTATTCGCACAGCTTGATGCACGAGTTTTAATCTCGGCGTTGGAGACGGATCGTCCGACGGCATCGCCTATGTGTACCAGTTTATGCGCGCTGAGGACAATGAATTTCCCATGAGCAAGGAAAATCTTCGGCGGTTGGTTATGCTCTAGCGTTTGAAAGAATGCATCAATCGCTTGTGTAAGATTCCCATGATGCTCAGTGGTCTGGTGTGCGTAGAATGTTAAAATATGTTTGTCATCAGGATTGATGTCTTTCAGAACGGTCTCTTCGACGTTCTTGATCATACAGTCGTAATTTTTGCGTAAATCCTTCGGCATCTCGTCACGAATCTCTGAATTAGCCTTGGCGTAGGCCTCTTTGGACTCTAAGTTAACGTAGTCATAATCATCGAGACGCTCGTTTGTTTGAGCAGGTTGCGATGCGGTGGCAGAGTCTTTTTTGAAAAGTAACGTACTATTTCCCTGGATGAACGAAGCAGCTTGTCGAATGTCTTCAGTTAGCGAACGTGTACATGCGATAATTTGCTCCAACTCATCGGGTTTATATTTGTCATCATCACCGGGACGTGCTAGTGTTCGCACATCCCAGCCTTGGTGGTCAAGCCTTTCAGCGGCATCGTGAATAAGTTTATCAGCTGTGCGTAGCGCCATTACAAGTGTCACCAGTTTACTAGCTAGGTTTTTATCGGTAGCGCGTGTTGCATTTCCAAGCGCCCCCTCGCAAAATTCTTTAAAGTCATGCAAGGATGTCTTCAGTCTGATCACGACCAGTTTGATTTCGAGGATGTTTCCTTCGAGCTTTTCACATGTTCGCCAGTCGGCGGTGACAAAGCTAAGAAGTCGTGAGATCGCACCGGTAGTTTCGGTCTGTAAACGCTCAAGAGCGTCAAGCGCTGAACCAATTTCAAGCGGTAATTCTTTGATGACAGCGTGCGAAGGGGGTGGCACGTCGTAGACGGCCTGCTGGTGCTGCAAAACAAGCTGAGGACCTTTGGGGTGCGGGCGCGGCACATCATAGTCAGGCATGTTTATAAGACTACTGCGATTTGATGAACTGAATGACTCGCCGGTGAGGGAGAGCGAACTCGCCGAGCTGGAGGGCGTGAGCATGTTCTGTGAGTGCAGCAGCGGGCGCGGCACGTCGTAACTGTCCTGTGAGCCGTCCTTGCTGACCGGCGAAATGCACGATAACGCCGGTGAGCCGCGATAGCCACCGAACACCGGCACCGCCTTCGGGGGCACGTCGTAGTCCGAGCTCTGGCTGTGGCAGGATGGGCTCACACTGGGCACCGGAATCGGGGAGCATCGACTTGGAGGCATGTCGTACAAATAGACATCATTGTATCGCCGGGGTGTTATTACCTAAAATGTTAAAATTGTAAGTTTAGTCACTAAATCACATACTTTTTAGGGAAGAAAAACTCACTTAAATACAGGAAAGTTATTAGGATTTGTGGAAGTAAAACACGCGAGTTTTTCACGGGTGTACAACGTGCGACACGCGCGACTGTCGACGCGAATGTGCGCGCACTGAGCGCAAGCAGTGCTCTTGGAAAAGCGCAATCAATAACAACACAGGCGTACTAAGGGTCTGATACGAACCGCCTCACGATTCAAAACAAAACAAGTACTTCGCTTCAAACCACAACAAGACAAAACAAAAACTTTTTCATTTTTGTAGTTGCAAATTTTTACATTTACATGAAATATATCTTTGGTCCCGCATACAAATTAAACTGCACTATTCAAATATGACTTCAGAGCAACATATATTTTAATGGCAGAAAAAATCAACAGAATTTAATTTAAAAATACAAAGCACATATTACACTACACTGCATTTAAATGCAGTCTTTGGACTAGGCTACAGACGCTTCGGTTACCATAGAGACACCACCATCATCCCACTTGTACTGTTCCTGCCTCTCCCGCCACATGCATTCACAGCATCACGCCGGTGGCGCGTATCGATTCCGTATTCCGATTCACGAGTATCAAGCACTGCGCTCCATGCACGCTGCCGCTCAAGAAGAACGATTGAATTATGAGTCGTTCACCCTATCCTGACATTCAAATTCTCAAAGAGGGTGTTGCGCGTTGGACGAGGGTGAATGCGCACTAGTGTTGGCCATTAGTCAAGCGACAAGTGTCGTAATTGAATTTCGCTACATATCTCAAATTTTAAACGAATTAAACCGAAACAATTGAAATTGATTACGGAACAATTGAATTTCGCAGATATGCTGACAGAATTCTAGAAAACAAGGTAGGCATATCGCGTGTTATTCACACAGTATATAAATGTACACAAATAGTCATTTGGGTAGGGTAGAGTCTAAATTTGTTTTTCGATGCGTATCTCCGTTGTCATTGAGAGTCATCAACAAAATAAGTCATCTTCTATCAACGCCTTTGTGAGTTTTCATTAGGGGGCTCGCGAAATTACACAGATGCGTCACAACTGCAACATTAAGATAAAAATAGGGGGCTTATGGATAAAAGTCCGGTTCGTGCATCAATAGCATTAATTTACGATCAAGGATTGCACTGCTACTACCGGATCATGTTATTTTATATGACTACTTGTCAATGGTCAATTGATGAGATTACAGCAGCATTCGAGAAGGCAACGATTCATTTTCGCTTAATCCCCACGTTTTCACCATTAAGAACAAACAATTGGCCATGAATGTTGCGAATGTTAGTCATCGCAAGAATTAATTCCTTTTGTTAACGGAACAAGCTTTTAATAGAAATGACTCAATTTCCACATGAAAATTCATAGATTTCCGATACAAAGAAATCAAAAACTATGAATGTCTTCATTATTATTCAATGCCACACAAGAAACGCTTAATAATACCCTGTGCCTATCATAAAATCAGTAAAAAGTTTAAAAACCCAGTTTTCACTTCTCACGTATTACTTCAACTCTCATCTTTTACTCTTAATATACCTATTTGTATGAATGCGTGCAGAATTGTAATTGATGCGAACGGAAAACAGGTTGCCACACATGGAAATAATATAATTACAAACATTTAATGGCTACCGGCAAACACGCAATGTGTACTTTTTCCTAAACGTGTTTACTGCATTTATTCCGACCGAATAGAATTGTAACATAATGTATCCAACTAAAAAAAAACAAACTGGTGTAAACCATGTAACAATTTGAATGAAATTGAATTCAATACAAATATTTGTCCCCATCTTCACTTCCAGACTTCGATATATCTACGCTTTACACGACGATACCGATAACAAGCCATAAAACCTAGCAGCGAGAGACGTTAAAGGATGCATTAAGCAGGTAAATGTATTAAACATTAACCGATCCCGCTTGAAAGAGATCCGCTTTTTCGATTGTCGTCCAACATGGATGCTGGCTTGGTATTTACATATCGCGCGTTAATCTCGTGTAACGTCACTCGCACCAAGCGAAGAAGACGATTGTGTGTGAATTCAATAAGAATTTAAAATTCACTGCAATGCAATCAAAACGTAATAAATGTCTCGCGACGACGGTTTATTTTATTACGCGTAAAATATTTGACACTCAGACTCTTCAGATTGAAGCCGTGATAAACAACTTTATTATAAAATAATAAAATATCTAATAAAAGAAGACATATAATTAATTTCCTAATGTAAAATTTCAATACCCTAAAAACTCATAGTTGTTTTATTTTAATTTACTAACAACTTTAGACTTCATGCGAGTAAAACATGACAGCCACCCCGCTGTTGTTCGAAATTAAGTCACGCCGTGAACACATAATTGGAGAAAGTGAGTTTTCGAAGGTGCATAACGAAACATGCCTCAAATTAACATCGACAAGAAAACGCTCTGTACGTATTACATTAAAGTGTTCTTCCAATGGCTAACAAGATGAGACATCTGCTAAACATGCCCAACAAATGTAGTTTATTGACACGCGTAAATTATATGTATCCCCAACGCACGTCATAAATTACCAAGGTCGTTAAAGAAGTGAATGTCACGTCACAATGTCACCCACATAGGGCACAACAAGTAAAATTACACGAGTGGTTTAAACGGAGAGTGTGTGGTGTGACAGGTGCATGCATGTTTAGTACAATTAGGATTGATAGCGTTAGAATAAGTACTACTAACCTTATTAGGCTGTGCAGGCCAACTTCGTCGTTTTCCTTCGCGGTGCAGATGCATGCTGTTCATCTCGTTGCGTATGTTGTTCACGGCGTGTATGCCGCGCATATCACTGAATTGCATCTGTGGCGATGGGCCCCGGCTGGAGTTGTCCTCGTAATAGCCCGGGATCAGTCGGAGGCGATTACCGGGACAAATGCCCTGAAACACGCACGGGATTAGTCACTACAAGTAATCTCAGAGAGTTCCTAAAGTAATGTTACATTTTGGTATTGTTTTTTTCTGTCTGTATAAATTAACACGACGCTTCGTGAGTAAACGCACAGCTTTTGGAATTATGGTAAAATAAGGTTGAATGCACTTGGGCTGAAGGCGAGTCATCGGAATGTTATTTCGCGATGTGTGCGACGCGATGACGCAGTCGAGTGGTTGCGTATAAATGTTATTAACAAGTTTAACGGCATCGGCGTGTTGTAATTCACGTTGCGTTTGCGTTGTGTAGTGTAGTGCAAATGTTTAGTTATGAATCGTGTGATTGTATGCATTGTATACACGATCACGCATCTGGTTCGGTTAAGTGAGAAACAGTAGCAAATAAATTTATTGCGTTGGTTATTGAAGAGCATAATAGAGATACTTTGAGACAACAATAACCATTTTGTTTAAGTAACAAAAGATAGTATTGAGGACGTTTTGTTATCAGGATTATTATATTTTATGAATATACAACTGCAACTATAATTATGGGAAAATTAAAAAAAATTAAAAAATTATTGAAGTGTTGACTGAGCGTGTTATCAGGAAGAATGTTGTTTAATTCTTATTTACTTATAACATAAGATAATAAACACTCCACTAGTTTAATTTTTTAATATAAAATTAATTGATTATGTCGTAACGTATCATCAGAGATTATTATACCCTGTGGAAATTTTTAATATTTGAAGTATCCGATAACAACACTTCTCTGTCCATCATAAATACAATATCTGTCTAAATTATTACACAAACTTCATCCCCTCACATATAAAAGCACCCTTTTATTGCATTGCGTATTTTATATGCAGCAAAACACTAAAATATTACCCAGAAATACTCAAAACTACATTAAACCCACTCTAATTAAACATTTTACTATACCCTATTGTTTATTTCACCGCAACTACCATTTACCTTCTATATTCATAAATCCCCTTTCGTTATCTCGTTGATTGTGTCCGTTATAGTTAATAATACCTATCTGCGAAGGACAATGGATCGATAAAATAAATAATAAATCGAGCAGTGTTATGATGTCAGGGGCAGTCTGACACTCGCAGCCCACGTTACAGAAAATATTGATCCACCATTAACCATTAAACAAACACCACACATTCTCGCATCCTCACATGATTCGGATTGTATTGTGTATTTTGTGAGCGCTGTGAATATGCGCCACGCACAATCGCACAATGCACGAGGTTGCCACGTGGAAAATGAATGTGTGCCTGACGTGCGAGGCGTAAGCGTCAATCATACACTGATTAATTAATCCTTTTAGTATCAAACAAAGCTGGATAAAAAATATGAAGAACTAAAAATATATACAGTCCATATATAATCCCTTTTTATATGAAATGTCGAGTAGAATTTATTTTTCCAGCACGTTTATAAAGTACAATTCGAATGTGATTTGTCTAAATGACCCCCATCTCTTCAGAAATACTCTGATATGTTATAACTTGGTCTCAGCTGCAAGTTCGCCACGGCTTTTAGTTTAAGGCGATTTTCTTCTTATACAATATTATACTGCGTGTTTAGTAACGTTACTAAAGTAAACTGTTATGATGTGATCTATAAAAATGTTTCATCCGGTATGTTATGAGATTACATCTGATATCATAATGTGTGTGCTGTCTTGACATCCATCACACTTGTCCGGGTATAATGTCTTCTAGTGTGAAAATGTAATCCCGGAAACGGTTTTTTCCACTCCCGGCAGACCCGAAGCAAAAACTGTTTGTTTACACGTGGATGTGATGAGATACGTATAAAATCCACGATAAACGATGTCGTTAGGCGATATTTAAACAGTATTATCCGGTAGAAATTCGTAAGCGTATCTTCTTACTCGATCAGACAGAAAGAAGAAGACTGAAAATATTTGTTTAGGAATTGCATAAAGATCAACATGAATTATTTATCATAATCAAACATGGCTATTTGTAGAATAATATCAACAAATTACGGCGGCGATACTTTGAAAGTAAACTCTTATTAATCATTTTTTAACCGGATATTAAAATTATACAAAAACATAACTTAATTTAGATTCTGTTCTGTTACTATAAAATAAAAGATCAAATGAACAGGAAATAAGACAGTTTGATTGATGTCTGCATTTTTCCAAGTGCTTTTAGAAAATCACAAAAAACGGCTTTTACTGCAAAATACGCACACGGTGTATTAAACTTTGATGCTCTCCATTAAATACCACCCTCTTTAGAAACCTGCGTCGATAAATAATGGACCTACCAATGGACCTATATTCCGGGTGATTTCTGACCGAACGTGACCGGAATGTTCTACAGGGAATTTAGTAATGTGCGTAAGGAAGAATGAGACGGGCCAGGGAGTGAGGGCGTTTTCAGGGATAAATGAAACAAGTGAGTTTGAGAATTTGACGGCGAGGGATGAAAAGTACGCAAACCGGCATTGTTTGCAATAAAATTGGCAAAGTTTATGCATGCGATGAATGCGTGCGCGTTGTAATGAAGCGAATTTATGTTAGGTCCCTTTTCGGGAGGAGGGTAGGTTATGAATAAAGACGCGCCCTCGGTGCGGAAGCACGCATGCAAGCAATCCCAGACTATTCGCAGTAAATTCAGATAATTTATTATAATTTATGTTTTGGGATTTGCGCAAGTCCACAAATGCAAATTAGTCAGAATATGTTATTATAAACGTTGAAAATATTGTAAAGTAAAGATTCCCGAGAGAACTGAAGAAAAGCCTGTGAGGACCGATGAGGAGAACATCCTCCTGAAGAGGATCAAGCTGGAGAGGAGCCCAAGAGGATTCGAGGTTGCAAAGGAATTGTCCAAGAGGACAGGACGCATCCGAATAAAAGCCCGAAGGGACTAACCAAAGAAGAGACAAAGTTTTCTACTGTAAATGTTTAAATTTGACATGTACGTATGCAATTTTTACTTAATTTACATATTTGAGCAATTTATGTCTTTCCACAATGTACTCGTATACCATTGTTTTTGTTCTTTGTTTTTACTGCAACGTATGAGTACAAAAAGGTTCTTTTATAAATTTCTTGCCATGCCAACTTTCTGACATTCGAAATAACTGGTTATTTAGTTAGTCAGTTTTTCTGAAAGAATTTGATATGATAATGCCATGCTCTGCTCTGAAGCTGACTAACGAGATATGCGCCATGAATATCATTTTGCATACGTTTTGCAAAGGCAACATATTCGAATGAAACAAAAGCGCACAACGCGTAAAAACACTTTGCAACGTGAGTTCTTATCAGATTAATTGCGTCGCTTCATCGCTTATCGTTAAAATAACACGGCGTGCACGTTCTACTCGCCTGTACCCGAGTCGTGTTTTTATGTTTCTCTATACATTGAGATTCTGATAAGTATTCGCGAGTTTAGTTGAACGCAAACCAAATTTAATGTTCGTAATTTCATGAAATTTTGCGAAATGAGCGTATATTTACAAGTGCACGAACGTTATCGCTGCGATAACACCTGATAAAGGGGCAATTAATATGCTGACACCAATGTGTCTACGTGCGCTGATTGACATCACAAATTCAAATTGTAATGCAAGATTAATTACCTGTCGGCCGCGCATCGAGCACAGCCACCATCCCTCCATGTTGGCGGTGTTTTGCTCAAGTACGGTGAGCACGTCACCTTTGCGGAATGGCAGCTCATCCTTAGATTCGGCCACGTTGTCGTAAATAGCTCGAGCGAAACAATTCTGCAAGAAAAGTACAAAATTAATTTCAATACACAATGTTTACATGAATCGAACATGACAAGCGTTACAAGCATCAAAATTGAATTGGAACACAAACGCAGAACAGAAATGGATTGAAAGGCGAAGGCTGGACGAATAAATCTGTTACTTTGTTTGACTTGACTGAACATGAAAAGACAAAGTAAGCTGCATCATTATAGATAAATCGTGTTGATATAAGTTTATGTTCAAACAATATTGACATTGATTCGCAATTTTTAGATAAAAAATAATCAGAAAAAATCAGTTCCAAAATTAAGGAGTGTTTTGTTGATTATACAAACAAGATGACGAAAATAAATCAGCATGATTAATCAACTGTCCTATTATTCATGTACACCCACCTTGGAACTACAACCACGACTAAATCCTATAATTCAAGTCATTGTTTCATGCACAATTGGCATAACGACAGTGATAAATCATCTGTACCTACTAAATTAGCAAAACAACAAGTTAAACACAGCCAGAAATATTAATTATTGTTTTCCGGTTTCAAAATAGGCACGGATTTAATAAGACAGCGCATTTAAAACTGAAATCAGTTTATTCTGCATATAATAAATTAATACCAGTGACATTCTTAATACTCTAATAAGCGATTTAAATTAGTTTTTGTTATCCATGAGAAAATCCATGTAAATTGCGTTTTATCGACGTTCATCAATGTAATATTTTGTTTAGGGCAGGAAATAATTCTATAAAAAAAAAGTATTTAGATTAATTTTAAAATCAGTGGATTTGAAGGTGTGAAAAATTTACTGCGGGATTATCCATGTAGATGCACTTGGCGATACGCCACGCATTGTCGCATTTGTCATCTGTCATTGGCTCATCTTTACATTTAGTAACTGAAGCGGTGGTTGGCGCTTGCCGCGGTTCCGGAAGAGTTGGAATTTGGCTAATGGCTAAATCATAATCCATTTCGCCTTTTTTATTAGTCTAAATAATATTAATTTAATTTCATGTATCAAATATAAAAAAATGATTTTGAAGGATGTAATAGAAATACTCACAAGTTTTAACATTACAAGAGAGCAATGCATGTAACACTACAAAATTAATTATTATTAAGATTTATAATTTTTTAATAAATGATTAAAAAGTACCTTTTCGACTGGATCTCCTGCCCATGTACCTTTATGCATATTATCAATTATTTCTACAATCAAAATAATTTTAAAATTTATACCATTTAAAAACTTCAGTATTTTATTAAATATTATTTATATTACCATCGGATATTTTCATTTTAGGTTGACAAGAATTTCTGACTAATTTGGCTGCTGCTTTAACTTGTTTTTCATTCATCGCAGCCGAACCATTTTCAACCAACAGCCCTAAAATTACGCCTAATAATAGCAACTTTAACATTGTCAAAACAACTTCTTAAAAGTGTATCTTCTAAATCTCAATCTTAACTCTTTATTATGCTTCTGTTGAAAACTCACTGACTCTAACAAATTTCCCTCACAATATATATCTATGCAAATTTTGTAAAAATGTCCCAGATTGATTTGATTAATTACGCGCTTCCGCTATGTAATCTTCATATTTAGCCAGATCAAATGATTGTTTACCAAACCGAATTAAAAAAAATGCGCGCCGAGCGTGCGTAAATGTGCATAATCGATGTCGGTCCGCGGTTTGTGGTTACCTATCAATACCTGTAATTGAGCGGCCGCACGTCTCAATAAGATGCACGCAAAGCATAGCCGCCGAACTGCTCATTCGAAAATCACAGTGTTTAAGAATCGTAATCTTTTTAATCGCGGAAAATTGTGTGCAACCTTTTGGGTGGATCTTGACAAATAAAAAATAACGTGTGCGCGTTATTACGGACGATATATGATTAAAAATCAACCAATCAGCGAAAAGTAAAATTTGTGCAAAACAAACTTTTGAAAGTTGCATATGTATAAGTAAACAATTCTGAATCATTTTCTGTTTGCGTCACTGTGTTAATATGTGATTCCCAGGTAAAGATTAATCATCAAAGAGAAATTTAAAGTATAAAAATAAAAATGCCGAGAAAACGTAAAAAATCTGAATATTTACAAGGTAAGAAAGCCTCAAAGGGTTAAAAAAAACTTTATCAATAAAAATATAAAATAAAATAAAGTGTATATGAGATAGAATTATATTCTTCTCACAATATATTTTCATTAAATGTTTTATTCTTTGGTAAAGAACCGATGGGATAATAATATGTTGTCACTGTTTCACTACCCATTATTTATGTTTATTTTTTGTTGTGGGTACCTACCATGATTTTGTTTGTTTCGTTTTTTAGTGAGATAAAGCTTGGGTGCCTCACGCCAACATTTCTGTTAAAAAAGGTGTTAAATACGATGGGCTCGCGTGTAAATCAAAGGCCATTATGTGAATGTTCTGAAGACCGCCCATGACGAAGGATTCAGGAATGCCTACCATTCATTTCCAATGATAATGGTAAAATGGAAATATAAAGGTAAAGTAATCTTAGCAAGCAACAACTTTCAACTTACTAATTAGAAACTGAAAATGATTACTTAATTACGATTTTAATATTTTTACAAAATAAGTTAACTCAGATAATATCGTCATTAAAGAAACAAAAACGATATTAAAATTGCAATTTTCTGCCCAGGCAGTAAATTTCCGCATTCTTTGCAAAATCATCAACTGTACAGATTTTAAAATCCAACTATTGCTTTTTATTAATTTAATGGCTGATTGTGCCGTTGTAAGGTATCAGATTACTTTAGATTATTTATCAAAGAACTCACGCGACGTACGCCTTCTATTCACGCAAAGTGACCACGCCTCACTAGAATCCAGGTGAGAGACGAATAAAAATGCAATCCGACGCAGCGTCGCGTGTTTTGTTATTTAAATCACGTTATTATGTTGTGCTGTCGCATTTTGTGCAACCGAACCAAAAGCGGCCAAAGGGCATAAAGAAGAGAAAAAATATTGAAAACAGCAGAAGCTGAATGTAAAATAAAACAAAATTGCTTTTTAAACGCGGAGACGCGTTGGAAATTACAATGTTTTTCATGTTTTAATTTCATATTTCTTCAGAGCATTTTTTTTCTTCACTGAATACAATTTTCATCATTTTCTTGCGCAATTTTCCGCTCTGCGTTTAGATCCTTTTCGACGCTGTCCCTACCCTTGTTAGAGGGAATTATAAATTATTTGCACTCTCCTCGGCTTTTCGACGAAACGCGGCAAAGAACGCCGTGAAGGCGCCACGAGAATACGGAAAAAACTGCCCGGCGAAAAAAAGGCAGCGAGGGAAAGAATTAAACGTCAACTTGTGGACCATCGCTATAAATCTACGCGTCTTGTTTTCTGCGGCAAAGAAACGAAAGATGAACGCAAATAAAAGAAATTTCAGTTTCTTGTCGTCGAGTGAAAGAATCGGCAATTTTTTTGCGACAGAAACAAATAAATGTCTTTTAAATTACGTCTTAAACTAACATTTATTAAATTATAACGTTTTCTTTTAGATAAATACATAAAAACACTCAGTATGTGAAAATGTAAGATGCTAGTCGCGTGCGACCATGAATCGGCGAAGGATTCGTCCGTTGCCAACCCTCCAAATGGCCCAAAGTAGGCTAGTTGGCAATAAAAAGAATATCTTGTCAAACCCTCCTTCAACGTCCACCTTCGTCTATTCTTCAGACGTCCACATTAAACGCGAAACGTAGAAATAGCCACAGAGGCCAAAACATTTATTTGAGGTTACGACTACTGGTTTAACCGCCAACCACAACCGCAAAACCACTATTTTAATATTCCAAGCACATTTATCAATAAATACGAGTAAATTCCAACCGAACCTAACACTAAACATGTAAAATGAAACCCAGAAGCAGAACCACATATTAAACTCATTCCATTGCACATTATTTACATGTCACCGGATTCTTTTCCGCTTCTTTTCCTCGTTGCGAGTTAAAAATAGCCAGCGCATTATTGAAAATTATGCTCATTATACGCACATTGCACACACACCCACTGCATAAACCCACCCTCGTGTGGTGTTCAACTGTTCACTGTTCAGTTGTTCAATGTTCATGTATCCTGATTCTGAATAGAATTTAGGGTTAGAGCTGGAAGTTTGTCGCGTGCATTAATTTCCAGTTGAAGCCAAACCAGAAATGAGGGTGCCACTTACTCACTCAGAACAGAATGGCAGAACTACTATAGTGTGTCCAATATATCCGCATCCGAAAGGGTGATGATGGATTGAAAACTTCCCTCTTTAGCTGTCACAATCAGTGGGATTTATGCTACTAATTAAAATAACACCGAAAGGGCCGCAATGATAATTTCCGAGTTGATTGATATATTGAAATATTGAAATGTTGCAATATGCTGGTAGTGTTTTTGTTTTCGAAGAAAATTGTATTTATTGCCTGTGATTTGGCACCATTTGTTCAAATAAAATCAGTTTATGGCTACATATTACAACCCCCTATACAAACAACGCACGTGCCTAAACCGAATTGGTATCGCTCTGGGTCGCCGAGGCTATTAGAACAAAAGAGTAAACAAGAATTAAGCACAAACGTGCAAAGTACCAAAAGTGCTGAAATCGCCCCAAAGCAAATTGCTACCCTTTGGAACAGATTCCACGTTTCGCTTTTAATATCACAGAACACAAAGGTACACACGGCGCATTCGGACGTAATAGCCATTGTTTATGATTCTTTTATTAACACGCTGGAATCAAATTAATAATTTAATCCGTAAAATTAATGTAATTCGTTTTGGATTAAAATGCGATGCCATTGTTCGCGAAATTTGAACGGGAACAAAAGATAATTTGTTATGTAAAATACAACAATCGAGAAATAAAATAAATACTTACATTCACAGTTATCTAATTAGTTATAACAACAGTTTTAGTTATGATATAATAAATCATTTTATTATTAGTCTCGTGCCGAAATGATGACTTTAAGTGCATTTTAAGTCTGCAACTAATCGCTCTCTCTGCCGGCGTGCTGTTTTCGTCCGTCCTGTCTATTTTTGTTTATGCATATTATGCATTCGTAAAATGCTAAACGCATCGCCAAGTTGCATCTTCTTGACGCCGTGTCCTTTTATTGCGCTCTGGTTCAGGTTCGGTCACAATGCGCGCTGCTTCTCGCGTAATTAATTACCAGGAACTGAATGCAGATGCGGCGACGCGCCTCGCACTAATGCACAAACTAAACCGGCTATAAATAAAGCGATTTTATGACTGAATAAAACCGTCAATGTATTTATATCGCAGTCGAATACAAAATAAAACACAAGACGAGAAGAATTTTTCCGTGCAATCAGAAAAAACGTTAAAACTCACTAAAAGTGCGTACTTAAATAAGTTATAAACATTAAAAATGAAAGAAAACGAAGGTGAAGACGAAATGAACTAAGCTAATTATGAATTCAGAAACTAATTACAAGTTTTCACATAAATTGCTTTTGGTGAGACGATGAGATGTAAAGCGGATTAATCCGATGCGTAAAATATGAGGATGTAAAAGAGGAACACGCTGCTGTGGTGGTTAATTATAAATGATTCACGAGCAATTAATAAACGCTACGAATCAACGATCAAGTCATCAACAACCATCATCATCATATTAACCATATTACTACATAATTCTCGAAATATTGAAGTAAAAGAAACAAGAAAACAGTGAAAAAGTTAATAAAGTTAAAAATGTCAGTTGCGTAGTTAATTTCCAAATAAGTAGTGCAATCAACTAGTAATACCAAGAAGTGCTTAAAACAAAAAGATTAAAAGAAAACTATAAATAGTTATCTACTTGCTTGTTGTGAGCAAGAACCGAACAGTAGCAGCAAAACCGGATAAAAGTTACCTTTAATAGAAGTCGACCTTCTCAATGTTTTTTGTAAGATCAAGTTTATTTTTATTTCTAGAATAATGTGACATCGACAGACTACAAAAGAGAACAGAAGCATTTAGTAAACTACTGTTTTCACAAAGAAAAATCTTATGAATAAAAAGTTAAAGTTTTAAAGACAATGCAGATGTTATGCAAAAAAAAGATAAACGTTTCCATACCTAGAGATCTTTCCTGGTAAGAAATAATAGTGACTAATGTAATTAATATTTATCAAACGCTATAAATTAACTCCCATAGATGGTAATGAATGAAAAGAGAAAATTTTGAGTGAGCGTCAAAATAAATAATTCATATATAATTCATTTCATTTCATTTGTAAATAATTAATTTGCATACAAATACAACGTTTTATAATAATATTGCATCATTGAATCATTCAGATATTTACAAAATTTCCATTCTTTCCATTCAAACAAACTCAAAAATAAACTCAGACACCGGAAGTAAACGTCTGTCTGATATGAGAATATCACATCCAAACACACCTTAACAACCTCAAAACTCCTCGGAACATGTTTGTGCGCTAGTCACATCACTAACCACTAAATTTCGCATTTCCAGCACGTAATAAAGCCGACTTAACTCGCGGAACGATCGAAAAGCGGTACTTGCCGCAAATGCAATGCAATATGTGCTCTGAAATGTTCCTTCTAAACTCAAAGATAGAAAGACAACCAGGCTAAAGGTGCAGACTGCAGACGAAAAGATGAAAATACGTAAAACAAAACACAACGCATGAACTTTATGACACATGACCGAGATGGTTATCATCTCCTTGGAGGCAGCACCGACACTGCGTACACTTATTCATATTGCATATTCGAAATGCACATTTATGGCAGTCGTAATACACGTAATAATAACATTTGGTTATTATTTTCCTGCGGTCGGTGTTGGTTTCTTCTGTCGCAAACGATGAGTGACTGGAATATAGAAATAGAACTGCAAGATGGAGATGAGAGTTAGACAATAACAGTGAACAGTAAACAGTGAAACATTCAAATAAAACGGGCATGCGGTTCGACTTCAACGCGAATTTCTATTGCATTGTATGCACATTTCAGTCTGGTTTGATTTCAAATAGAGTTCATACACTTACACAATCGTTTTCCATGCACTTTCAATGCGCACGCTTGAATGCTCAGCGAAATCTGTGTGATAACATCAACAGAACGAAACATTTTATGCGCAAAACGTTTCAATAAAATATTTGAGGCTGTTAGAGATAATAATAAATTAACTATTACATTTCATGCAAGTATATTAATAAATTATGCTTCTCTCGTTTTAGATTACCATCAAATTGAACACCATATGCGACTCAAGTACCGCAAATGAATCAGCTGTCAATTGACGTCATACACATGCATGCGGCAGACTTTTTACAAATTTGTTCAGCTACTGCTGCGGGTAGCCAAAAGAATGAAGGGATGCCAGATGCACATGGTGAATATCAGCCCATCCCTCTTCAAAACCGTTCAAAAACGATCAAACACGCCGAAAAACACATTGAATTTATTGAATTACCACAGAGGGAAATGTAAACGTTGACAATAGAACGATTTTGAATGTTTCGCAACACTACACGCGACATAAACACACAAATGAAAAAAAATAAAGGTGAACATTTTATGATGATTTCTAGGGTGACTTCTATTGTGCACTCATTCGGAAAACTACGAATCATGCGTTAAAACAAAGAGCGCATACAAAACAGTTATATAACTTGTTGAAGTTTTAGTAAAGCTGTCTTCAGAGACCTTAGTCTTATGAGTATCCTGCTAAAAGGGATGAAACTTTCCAAACAACTCCGAATGTTAAACTACTTGCAAGTGCTTGTTACTTTCAAAAAGTTACACATAACTCATGTCCCTTTAGTTCTGCGCTACGCGGCGGCGCTCAAGAAGACACATCGTTTTGTGTTCGACACGAACCCCCACGACACCCAAGTCGCCCTAAACTTGAAACGAACGCCGCACGTCCCATTCGTTTAGTATGCCCGGCACATACACACGACGATAACGCAGACTCCACTCGAATCGAGCCAAAAACTCGCGATCGTAAATCACAAAAAGTTTAACTTCATTCATGAATGCTCGCATGCTCTTGAATATGTCAAAAAAGAAGAACGCCCCCAAAAATGATATTCAAGTGGAAGATCTCGTGGAATTCATTACCATAATGTGGCCTAATCTGAGAAGGGACCGAACGAAGATGCCTCTTACGTGGGCGATGACTATAAGATGAGACGAAAGAGAGATTGTTTTACAAAATATTCTAAAAACGCTGCCGCTGCTTTGATGTGCCGAGAAAAACGCCACAAAATGAAAAGATAAAAATATTGCACAAAATTTCAAAGCGTCAGCTCTAGAAAAACGCATAAATCTTCAACTTCCAGCAACATGTGCAGCGCATTTGATATGATAACCTAGTAAATATCAAATATCTAAAGATTATTTTTAAACCACACGTCTTGAGAAAATATTGTGTGTAAAAATGCCAGCGAAATACTTATACCTAGCAGTGAAGTTAAAACTAAAAGTTCAAAGATTCAACATTGGTATCAAACCAATACCATATATAGACCCACCCGAGTTTCAACTCCGCGTAAGGAAAGCCATGAAGACAAACAAAGTAAAAAATTCCACACATTCTTAAATACTTAAAGGAATTACGAAGTTATCTGTTTGTACTTTTAGTGCGTCGCTGTGTCGCGTCGTGTGCTCCATTACTCCGGGTTGGCTTTAGGACTACAAACAACTGCACTTTGCGTCCAGGTTTACAACAATGTCATGAAGACAACGTCGACGGAGGCAAACATCCACGAATCGAAGAAAAGACGAGACTTTAGCCAACGAGTTGTTTGCACGAAGAAGTTAAAGTTTAAAGTATGAAACTATGTATTCACAGAAAAGCTCAGGAAGATAATTAACAGACTTTGAGCGTAAACATATTTTGTGTGTGCTTTTAGAGTGTGCTTTGCTAGTAAACCACGAAAGTTTGTTTTAAGTGATGCTAACCTGCATCATTCGATGCACTAAAACTATATATATATTTATTTAAACTACATTTTCGTATTTTTACCGAATGATTGCCGGAAATAAACTCGGTTCATTTGTGAAGTTTATAACCGCGACCAGATGGAATCTGAACTGGTTTACTTTATGTGATTGCAGACGAACTAAAATGTTTGCAAACAATTAAAACTTTGCTTCAATACTACACACGCCCCGAGGCGTTTTGTTGAAGAGTTATTTTTAATTACAACATAAACTAAAAAGCTCTGCGCGCCACGAAAATCCGTATGAAAATGGGACTGGTGTGAACAGCACGCCGAAGAATTCGAGAATTTAATGACGCCATAACCTCGCGACGATAATGAATTCAATGCAGCGAGACGGACGAAAACAAATTGGAAAGTTTTAATTCGCGAGGCGAACCGAACACTCATGAGACCCGAGAATTTTATGAGTTGTTATAAATTAAATTAATTGCCCTTCTTTATTGGAAAATCAAAAAGTTGCAACGTAGGAACAAATTGAGCGCAATTATTTTCTACGTAATTAAAATGGATTTTGCTCGTTGGAACAGACTATATTTAACTTGGAAGAGACAATTCGAAGCAATCTCCAGAGAGGCACCAATTCCGGTGGCGCTGTGAATTTAATTTTAATTAATTCGCGCCAATTTGTGCACAATGACTGCCAACGCCACATTCCCAGCATCCAACTGAGTAAAACCCACACGCAAAATGTGGCGAATTGTCGTCGTGATGACATTTAATTATTTATCGATGCGTTCTGCTCGCTGTTGTGAGCTGTGACGCGTAATTAATTCCAATTTAAATCACTGGCTCCTCTAAATTAGTTCCAGTGTACCAGAGAGACGAGATAAAAAGTCGATATGCTAATTTTTGAACTTTGGCAAGCCACACACATCGCAAAACAAGATCAAAAGTTATTACGTACGTAATTAAACGTGCGCTGATTAATCCGTATCTGAATCTGATTAATTACAAACGTCACAGAATGAACTCGAACGAATCAATGCGAGAAACGGCGAAAAACAAGAGAGGAAAAGACATAAATTATATGTATAAATATCTACTTAGCTAGTAAGTAATTCATGCATCGATGAATTCACTAACAAGCTAACTTTTGACCAGCGTGTTTTAGCACTTTGGTTTATTTGTTTTAACAACCTTCGGATAATAATAATAATAATGTACTTAAACTTCAAGCAAATAGAATTTTGAAAACATTCCGCAGGTGTTTGCACAAGACTTAGAAATGAAATATTAAAGGAAATGAACGTGGAACTTCAAGTACAGAAAATACAACTTACAGTCGAAGATGCAGATGCAAACGAGATAATTCTTGCACTCACCTGAAACAAAGAAGAATATTAATGATTTATTGATCATGCTATGCAATTATAATCTATGCAATGCAACAGACTAGCATAAAATATTGCATTCCGAAATGCGTAAATAAACATGAGAAGCCAATAATTACTCAATTCAAACTGTTAGTTTACAGAGTGTAATTTATATGCAGTTTTAAGGCATTTGAACGTTTTATTAACGACTGATTGAGTTAACAAGACAAGACATTACTTAGTGCGGGAGAAGTTAACGTGTGTTAACAGCTCCAGCGTCGAGCTTTCAAGCTTCTGTTCGGGAACACTTCGTCGTAATCGAGGCATATCATCAGCGTTTCAGTGATCACGTACATGTTAACCACTAACCAACTTCTCGACTAGTCAAACTCTTACGTGATTTACAAACTAATTTACGTTAAATATGCAGGAATTTGAAATTACGATTTTTTTTTTATTTCAAGTGAAGATGAAAAGAAATAAAATGGAAGTCGAGTGATATTAAATGAGGCTATTGAAACTGGTTTAATGTTTAATAGCACTCTGAGGATGCAAAAATTAATGATGACACATTACACATTGCAGAAGTGCAGAAATATCTACTTGAAACTTGCAACGATTTCAAGAAATATGAAATTCTTATAAATTAAAACTTCCCATTTTTATTTTTATTAAAAAAGTTCTTGATGTTTTAATGACTTAATATAAAAACATCTCTTTAAACTAAAAAATAAAAGAACTAATAATTTAAATGAATCTTCACTTTCCGCCTGAGAGAATGATAATAAACGCTCTTTGTAAGTAGTTTTTAAAAGTATTTTTAACCACCGCTTGCACTAACAAGTGGTTGTTAAGTTCGCGCACTGAAAATAAGCTGCAAGGCGCGTTTTGCATTTCTGCAAACTGATAAATATGCAAATGCGGCGCAAATCGCACAGATTATCGGCGCTGGCTCGCGGGCTTCTCAAGGCTCTTCTTCTTGGTCGCCAGATTCACTCGACGCGCACTTGTGCGTTTGTGCAGGCATTCGCACTCCCACGCGTGTGGCTCATCGCCGGTCTAAAACCGTTTATTACTTTCATTGTGCAGAGCGTGCAGGAAAGTAGCCGGCGTGCCAGTGCGACAGCTAAACGAGCTACTTTGGAATACATTAAAACGTCAGTGCGAGAAAATGAAACTATAACTTTAAGAGCAAAACCCAGAAACAAAAAAATACGAGTATGTGACACTAATTTCTGAGATTGTAAAAGATCATCTTTCATATTTTATTCGGCAGCAGTAAAGAGAGTGTTTGCTCGGCATTGTTGAGAAAACGCTGATAAACGTTAAAAACGGAACCGGCTCGCACTCGATTCAATAGAAAGAGGACAATAGCTTGCAGACATTCTTCACGGGGGTGTAACTTTACATTCGGTGCCTGACAGGAAATACCCGTCGGCACAACGGATTCCGATTTCTAGCCGACTCCCATAAAACCTTCTTAACCTTCTTCTCAACCAGTTCAGTTAACTTTATCCACAACTGTTAAGTATTATGAATGTTATTGCATGTTGCATGTTTAAATGACGCATAATTATTTATGAAAGACCATATGAGTTGATTAAAAGTTTAATAAAATAAATTGGGTTAAAGGTCGGCAATTCGCATGCATTGCTAAAAGCTTAACTGTAAAGTCCGGTTTTTTTCCAGTTGCATCTCTCCGACTTTGGTACTGCGATGAATCGCGGCTAGCGTTTAATCGCCAATGCACTCACTCCATTACATATCTACTTGAAGTCGCCGATATAACTATAGAAAGTGACCGCAAACCGTTGCGAATTAATTACACGTGAAATGTTGCCGGTGCAATGCCGCCACGTATTATACCGAGTTATTGCCCGAACTGTGCGCTTTCGATTTATAGAGGAAATATTCGTTTAATAAGTCGTCCCAAATTCATGAGGTTGAATTCAGGACGACGAAAATTTATACCTTGTGCAAATATTTGATTTATGTCTGGAAATTTCTGAAAATTAAATGTGTATAAATCATGACTGTGACACAAAACAAATACATGTTTTTGTGTATTTTCCAGTGTTTCAAATTTGAGATAATGAGATTTTAAATTATTCGAAGGGGTAAATTACTCGCTCGTAAAAGTCACATTAGTTGTAGATACTTATATTGAAGCAAAAGGCAGACATAAAGTACAAACATCTGGCGTTATTCATTTCGTATTCTTTAGGCGACTAACAACAATGTGTGCGACAAACACTTGACATTTTCAAATAAGAAATAAGAAACAGAATTCTAAGAACTAGACTACTTGAAATTTTACTAATAAAAGGCCAATGGAAACCAAAGAAAACAAAAAGATGTTTTGTAATTAGTAACATCATACATCTTTAAAGTTTAATGGCTGTTCAAGTGCCCACAGATATAGATTGAAAGTAAAGCGTTTCCAGAAGCTATTAACTACACTTGAGATTTGAGTTTTTGCACTCAACGCAAAAAACTTTGTCTTGCAATATCCGAAATTGATATTTATCCTCGAACATAGTTCACTCCAATTTGTCACGTACCTATATATATTTTTATCTGTTATTATAATCTCCTATCATCATTAAAATTTAAGGACACTTTGATCATTTAATCTTGGTAATCTGTTTGCTTCCGAAAGTTTTATATTTTATATTATATCGCAGATTTACTGTTAAACTAGAGTTATTTTTTTGAATCACATATCTGTTTGAAACCCGTTACACCTGTTCCAATTAGGTGCTTATTCACACAGACTATTTGCAAAAATAAATTAGTTTAACTTAAGAAGAAAAAAAGTTAAACTAATAATACCGTTATAATAATTATTTCTTTTTGAATGACGCATAAAATGTCTCTCTGAGGTGTGTTAAAAGTGTGAGAACAAAAAGACGCCCAGACGCCTTCTTGTCCTTGCACAATATACACCTACGCACGCCGCACGCCTCACAAATTCGCGGAAAATCAATACGAAAACAAACCGACACGCAGACTTTCCCTGCCAGTGAAACGCTTCGGGCTACACTTTCCACGTTACCACCCTCTATCCTTTTATGATAAGAACAGTAAAACCTCTTTTTGCCCTTCAAAGATACCCACATACACAGACGTAAAACATAAAAATTTATTGCAACATTTATTTTATGAGATTTTTGAGATAAATGTAAAACGCTAACCACAAATGCATGAAATAAATAATCCAAATGTTGCGCATAAGCAATTCGGTTTCAAAAGATTCGAAATCTGCCTGAAGGCAAAGAACTGACCTAAGAAATACATGTTTCTGCCTGACCAAGAGGACGATGAGATGAAATTTCACAACACGCTGCGTGCTGTGAAAAGTATCACGCCCCCTGACTGATTTAAGAAGAAATTGGGACGAAAATGAAACGAAAATCGTTTACATCACACATAATGGCAGTGCGTTGTGCAAGGTGAACACAACACTTAAAAAAGCAAACAGGTAATGCTGTTGTTGATGGTTGTTAATTACGTGTGTGCATGCTCCAATTTTAAACAACAGAATTGCTTGGTTGACATTGAACTGCGCACTAATATTACAACAGGTCAACTTAAATCGGTGACCTGCGACATGAACAAAAACGCGTCAATCATCAAAATTCTTTTATTATATTATTTTGCAGACGCGTTAATAAAATTATATTGTATGAAATTCGTGGAATTATATTTACACCTTCTTTTTGTAGATTGCAACATTACGAATCACATGTTAAAAATAAAATTGCGTCACTGTTATTCAGACGAAACATAAACACCAAGAAATAAGTAACAAAAAAGGTAAATACATATTAAATTGATTCACGTAGACTAACCTGACATTCCGGTTGTGGCATGGTCGCTGATAAATTGATTAATATTCTTCAAGTGCAAGTGCAATCCCAATTTTAACAATATAACTTTACAAATACACCAAACTACACTTTATATTTATTTGTTCTTCATTGTGTCTGAGATCACTTTACAATAATAGGATTATTGATCAGTTTTGTTTTATTAATTAATTATTTTATTTATACGCAAACTCGCGGATCACGATTGCAAGCGCGCGCGTTTACTCACAACGATGACGGCAGACAAACTGGACGCGATTACACGATAACGCGATAACGTGACGATACGCAAGTCAGAACCGAAGTGAGTGTGACGCGGAGAGTGAGTTTGACTACTACAGCGTGTTCATCTCGCCGCGCATTCGCCGAACGCACCGAACAAACCGCATGCTGAGAGGTGCACGCGACCGAAGAGCAAGCGCGCGAGCAGATACGATACAAACAAGTTGCACGCAGTGGTGAGAAGAGTGGGAAACAGAAATGTGGAATGAGTCACGACCAACTCAAACTATCCAGAACCATCTGTAAACACACAAACCGCAAGAGAAACACGCAAAACTATCAAGTTGATATTTTTGGGTGTAACTATAGGCAACCAAACAAGCACCTAGTGAAATAATAGGACCATTAGAACCATTTTTACAAATTGCAAAGCAAATAACCAGAATTGTTTCCTAATTAATTATCAATAAAAAGATTTGAAATATAGAATCAAGAACCATTTCTACACAAAAATTTGCGTCAGTAAGCTCCAGGGAATTCAAATTTTCAGGGTAATTTAATCAACACAATTAAATGATAAATTAAAATACTTTGTTGGAATGAAAATCATCATTGTCACAATAAATTTAGTTAAAGTAAAATTACTTAGGATGGCTTATTTAATTCATGGAGCATTATTCATCCTCTTGCTCCTTTCTACTGCTCTAACTTCCTTTTCAATTTCAAACTGTCTCAAATCAGCTCTCTGCAAAAAGTCCTGCTTCTCCAAGTAGCCGTCTTTTCCTTTTTTGTAAGACTCTAACTCATCTTCTATCTGCTCTTTTTGTTTATACTGATTCCAATCTAACTTTGTCTTTTCCAATACACTGAGTTTTTGCTTTTTGTTTATTTGACTTAATACTGAACCAATTCCACCCAAACCAACTGATTTTCTTTTAGGTCCTAGTTGAGGTGGAGTGGATGCTGAAGCAGTGCTGTTTGGTAAGCTCAGTCTTGCTTCAGCAGAATCAGCTTTTACTTCCTTCTCCACTTTGACTTGCTCACCAGCAAATTCAAATATTTGAGTAATTTTTACAGTATCAGGTTGTTTTGGTTTAGAAACTTCTTGAGGTTTAGTTGTGGTGGTTGAATTACTAGTATTAGTAGAAGTATTTTTTGAATTAGAATCTGTTACTGTAGACTTCTTTTTAAATCCAGTATCTCTTTTAAAGCTTGCCCAGAGATCATCAGCATGTTTCTTCTTTTCTTCTTGGACTTCCTCTGTTGTTTTATTTGCAGTTTCTTCAGTTAAAGTCTTATCATTTGTTTCAGAAGTATCTCCATTTTTAGCGCTTTTTTTCTTGCTTGTTTTCCGGCGTTTTGTCCTCTTGGTATCACCCGTTTCCTCCGCATCAGAGAGAGGATCTTCTGCATCACCATCAGAGTCTACTTCAGAGGGAATGTCACCAGAAGCTGCGCCTGCTCCAGGGACATAATCTTCGTCACTGGAATCGCTGTCTTCATCGAAATCAACGTTGTTCATTATGAAGCTCTGTTTGTGCATGTGTTTATTGGAATTATTTATAATTAGACGGTGTAATGACATTACATACCTTTGTTCGTTCGTTGCCTAGTCAAGAAGTCAAAAGCCGGCACGACCGGCACGCTGGGCACAACAATCACGAAACAATGAACCCCGCAATACGTAAAATCAGCGGCGACGCAGATTCCGCGAGCCAGCAACGTGCAGTAGAAATAAAATATCGTCGCAAATAGAAATATTCACCGAACTGCGCATGCGTTTAAAATTATTCAGGACCGGCATAGATTTAACGTATACAAATTTTAAAAATATCATACATTAAAAATTATATCTAAAATTAAATTTGTTTAAATATACCAAGTGTTTTGCAAAAATGCAATTTTATATTAATATGTTATGTTATAATATAAATTTGCTACGCCCCTGTTTCGGCTAAAGGTAAAAGTGACAACGCTGCAATGATGAAAAGGATGAAAAGCCAAAATTCAGTAGAGACCAAAGTATCGGCTCATTTTCCAACTTTATATGAAGATAATAAGTAGAACCTGTCCAAGATGACAAGCAAGCGAAAAGCGATGCCTTCACAAAACCCCAAACTCAACTACAGACCATCAACCACAGAAAGAAATGAAGCCAAAGGTACAAAACCCACACTGCAAGTCACCTCAATGAAGGAGATCTTCACTTTGATGATTCTCTATGTGTGCAAGAAGATTCTCTTCTACAACACAACCTACAGAGTGATGGTCTATCTGGGCTGTCTATTTCTGGTCTCACTAATAGCAGATGTTTCAACATTACCTAGGAGCTATCTTTCACGCTCTGACAATGTCTTCAACCAATATTTTGTGAAGTTTGCATGGGCATGGAACCTGCTCCTTACAGTGCCATATGTGCTGATGACCAGCTATGTCTATTGCTGTGGTGAGAAGGACAAGATAATCAAGAATCATCTGTTGAGGATAGCAATTGCAACTGGTTTCTGGTACTTCTTCACTGGATTCTTCAATTATATTGAGTCCAGTTATGGAAAATGCAATGTGAAGAATGTGGAATTTAATACAAAGGTGGCATGCCTTAAAGCAGGCAATTTCTGGAGTGGTTTTGATATTTCTGGCCATTCATTCATTCTAATCTATGGCAGCTTGTTACTTTTAGAAGAAACTAGAAGTATCATCAACTGGGACAGCATTAAGGACTACATAAGACTGGAGGAGCATTATAGAGCCACTAGAGACACAGCTTTAAGCACAAATCCATTAAGATCGCTCACAAATGAAGAGTTTGCACTGGTGCAAACCAGTTATGATAAGTACACACCATATATTCGAATGTTATTCATAAGCATGACTCTGCTGTCTATGCTGTGGGACTTTATGCTGTTATGCACAATGTTGTACTATCATGTAATGGTGGAGAAGTTTTTGGGTGGCAGTTTGGCCATTGCTGCATGGTTTATCACCTACAGAGTGTGGTACGTCGTGAGTAACACACCCAAACTACCCGGCGATGGCAACTTTAGATATATTACGGGAAGAGCGTTTGCGCAAACAAGTGCGTCGGTACCAAGCACATCGAGGAGAAGAACCGGGAGTATTGTAAACGGCAGAGAGCCGACTTTTATGGGACGACCGCTATACACGAACCGAAATGTAAGCAATGATGGCAACGCGTCTGATATAAACGAAGATGCACCTGCTAACAGCAGATAAAAGCAATTTTTATGGCTCAATTGTATAGGAAGATGCATTGGTATTGTCGTGTGAGTTGTAAACTTTAAACTTTCAAACATCAACGAAAATCGATTTATATAATCGACTCTATAACTACCAGTAAATAGAAGTGATTTTATTATTAAACTTACATGATAACTGATTATTACTTCACAGCACGTTTTGGATTCATTGCAGAGATGCACAAAGTTTAAACACTTCCGCCATATTGAATTTGGTCTAATTTTTGACATCAATCACTACTTGCTAGTATCAAAACTATTCAAACACAAATAACTCATTAAAAATTACGTGCACTTCAAATTATTAAAGTTTCTGCTCATACAATCAATGTTTTATAAGAAAATTACGCAAGTTATCATGACAAGATATTTAAAACCAAATCTTATGCAACTTCTTATACACTTTATAATATTAATATACAAGGTGTCCAAAGAATGACAGAGGGTAACTATTTTAATGGTATGGTGGCAATGATTTTCCTACTCTAAGTTCAAAGAATGTATGTATTTTAAAAGAAGTGCCTTTTAAACCAATTGTTTTGTTCAACTATTGTACACATCGTACAACCTGAGGGATTGTTAAACTTACTTTTTTATTTTTTATTGTTTTTTGTTACTACATTAATACAGATGAATAATATATCACATTATGACTACTCTTATCTTGTTTCCTTAACATTCTTTAAAACTAATAGGAGTAATACTATTGGAATTGTTGTGATTCGCTGTTTTTTAACGCAAAAGTTTTCTTACAAGAAGAAAACCTCCAACGACGAATAAACTAGACGTTAGCACTGAAGCTGCGATTGTGCAACGTTTGTGACCTTGTGTTATAAGTCTCAAGTGAATTTTGACATTGGGCATTGTTTTCTTATAAGACGAACGTGATTGAACCTTTTTATAGAATTCTTCGACATGTGGACGTTTACCGTCACCCCAGAAATGATTTTCTAAACCAAGAACATTCAAACGCTCTAGTAGAACTGTCAAACTTATATCTGCAGCTGTAAATGCTTCACAACATAACCAACTTTCCTCATCTACAAACGAAAATAAATAATTCTACATTCAAAAGCATAATTCTTGTGATAAACCTGTTGTTTTTGGATGTGATGCTAATTCATCTTCAACTTTATCCAAAACACTATCAACAAGATCCAACTGTTGTAGAAATTCATTTTTTGAAGTTATAATTTCATGTCTCCGCTTAGAATTGTTAATTTTCTGTTGAAAAACATGCCTGTATCGTGGATTATATTCCATTTGTTCAGTTAAAAATTCAACTCTATTATTTTCAGCATCTTTGCGTTAAAAAAACAAAATTATTTCAAAAATTAAGAGAAATTCTTAATACTGATTACTTTTCATGGCAGTTCTAACTGGTTTAATAAAAGGAATCTTTGGCCTTCCAACATATTCTTCATGAAAGAATGATCCAAGCGTAATAATCCCAGATTGTATTTGGTCGAGTTGATACCTAAAATACGTTACTTTTTGATGAATCTTGTTACCATGATCGGTCGGGATTAATTGATTAATCGATTCGTCTAAAAGTAGAACAACAATTAGTAATTTAATACTAAAAATTGAGGTGTTCTTTAACACCATGTTGATAATGATCCTCGAGGTACGTTAGAATTTTACTCGACGAAGGAATTATCAGTCCGGATGCGTCCAGCACCGGAAATTCACCTCGTGGATTTAAATCAAGGAACCATTGCTCATATTGTTCATTTTTGACAAGATTAATGATGTATTCTTCGAATGGTATTTCTTTTTCATGTAGTGCCATCAACACCTTAAAATTATACAATATAAATAATTTAATATCTAATTTTTAAAATACAGCGCATGCGCAACACAAAATTTCGTTAATTTTATTTGTTTCTGTGAGAAAATCTGAAGCTCACGTGCGGTATTTCAACGTTTCGGTGAGTTATTAGCTGAAACACGTGACCATTATTACTGCTGCTTGCCATCACGCTTCACGATTACACTGATTATTACATTTTTGTCATTTTAGCATTGAGAACAAAAAAACGAACATGTGTACTACGCATTATGCATGTACTTATAAACGTAACAAAATGATTTACAAATTTGTCGCATATATAATAAAAGTCACATGAATTCCAACATTTTTCCTAAATTTAATTTTGGCTCGTTAGATTCTTACACAAATATATTAAATTCTATTTATATATTAACCTGTAATCTGTGAACTGCAAGTTAAGTAGATTGTAAAATAAACAAAATATTATTTCTAGAAATTAGATTTTCATATTTTACCTTCTGTGAATAATATGAATACGGATGGTGATATAAAAGCAGGCCATTTTCGATGTTTACTTTGCACTCATCACGCACATTATTTTGCATTTTCATTATTCGACTAGACTCTCGTCGGTTCAAATGTGTTTTCTCGGGTGATATAGAAACAACTGAAGTTGCGACTGACTACTCCTAGCAACTACTGTGAACTAATGTAACTTACTAACTCTCTGAATCAACAATTCATATTCTCGGATGAAAATTATGTGTTTGTTTGCGAAGTGGGGTGTACTCTCATTGCAAAACCATTTACACAATAAAACTGTTATGATATTGATTACAACAGTTGCATTGTATAAGTATTTATAGCTAACTGCAAATAATTAACAAGTTTTATTCTTTAGAAGTGATCATTTTTAAATTGTAAGAATTGTAAGATTGTATATAGGCAACCAACTATACTTATTTTGTTTGGCATGTTTTAATTTAGTTTTAAGTTGTTTTTGCGATTAAAATTGTTTGTAAAATATGAATTAATTTAATACATAAACTCAAAATTGAATTTTAGTTAAATTAATCGCAATAATTATTAATTTTACGCAAAAATAAATTAACTTTCAATTTAGTGCCCCCAGATTGAAGTTGGTACGAAAGCGGTGTATGAGTGACATAAAGTATTACCAAAATATAGTCTTCTTGTTTAGTGTTTTGGTTTTGGTTATTTCTTAATGATTTATCACAAGAATTACGCCGAAATTAATCGCTGAACGTGCTCAAGCCTGCCGGTGTCAGCGAATTTGAGTGTCCTACGTATCACCCCACATACCCAAGCAATCGTTGCACCTGAGCAGTAGATGGTCTCACGATGGACACCGAGAACGCCAACCAGAACGGCAGCGTCGACGCCGAAAAACTCAACCTTAGCCTGGACATGGGCGACGACATCAAGCTCGACGAGGTGAACTATGAAAGCGACCTCTCCTCGTCGTCCAGTGACAGCTCGACAGCACCGAGCATCAGCTCAGTGAGCTCAGCCTCGTCAGTAGCTAAGGGAAGGCGCTCCAGACACAAGAGGGGCCATTCCAAAGATAATGCCAAGTCGCCCTCACCGGCGGCGAAACGTGCGCGGTCCAAGGACCCCAAAGTAAAATCCTACGATTATCTCACTAAGCTAAACTACCTCTTTCGCGACGCTCGCTTCTTTGTCATCAAATCCAATAACGCAGAGAATGTAACCCTATCAAAGGCAAAAGGGGTCTGGTCAACACTGCCACAGAATGAAGCCAACCTCAATCAGGCCTACAGAGAGAGCAGGAACGTCCTGCTGATATTTTCAGTGAAAGAAAGCGGCCGATTCGCTGGTTTTGCACGCTTACACGGCGAATCACGACACGACGGCAATCCAGTATCCTGGGTGCTACCGGCTGGTTTATCAGCCAAAGCCCTGGGTGGAGTATTCAAAGTCGACTGGATTTGCAGGAAGGAACTACCCTTTAATAACACAATGCACTTGTACAATCCATGGAACGAAGGCAAACCAGTGAAAATCGGCCGAGATGGTCAAGAAATCGAACCCCGCGTTGCCGAAGAATTGTGTCGTCTTTTCCCAGAAGACGAAGGTATAGAAATCACCCCGATCCTGCGACTTGCGAAAGACGCAGCGAAAAAGAACGGAATCCGCCCGGTGAGAGACGGCCAGAGACACCCGAAAGCTCGCATGCCGATATCCGCAAGCAGAGGATTCAACTACCGCTCGAGAGGCGGTGGTGGAGGCTCATTCTCACGCCGAAAGTTCTTCCTCAACTCCCGAGGATTAACCTCTGGTCAACAGTATCGGAGATCAGCATCGCCGCGACCCAGGGAAAGATATCCGCTGTTCTACGAGCGTGAATCATCCCGGCCGTATACAGCAGCCGCGGCTGAAGCGTATGTTGCTGATTACATGCGCACGATGCAACATCAATTACCTCCGCTGCCGTATGTTCCACCACCTGGATTATATGGTGCATCTCCGTATGATCCGCCGCCACCGCCCAGATTCTACGACCCACCACTACCGGATTATCTGCCGTCTTCGCGGACACCCTACGCGGACAAACGGTCGTACGATCGGTCTGTGGATGAGTTCCTCTGGAGGACGACGGAACGATCACGCGAGCGCGAGAGGGAAAGCCGTCATCGTTATCGCGATCGGCTTTAAAACTATTCAAAAACTATCAAATAACACCGCATGGAAAAATGCGTTTCATTTCTTTTGTACATATTGTCTCCACGATGTGTGTATGTTTATCATAAGTGAAAATTGAATGAGTTGCGAATGATTGTTTGGGAAATATGATACAGAAACGCCGCACGGAATCGAATCGCAGCACACTTTGTTTAGTTTTTTCTTTGTAACGAAATTGTTTCAATGCTTAATTTTGCGTGTAGATATCGAGACCCACAACGCACAAGTTTGCACATACATATGAAAATGTTTAAATCTTTAAGTAGTCTTTTACAAGTTTGCTAATTAAGCATTGAGACAACCTTGATTATCAAACGTATATTACGTTTTAGCACATCTTTGTAATAAACCTAGACAGAGGTAGTTTATTTATTCGTTTGATTTCGTTCGATTCTCTGCGTGCGATGAAAGAAATATTTACTGATTGAACTCGAAACGTGCTAACGATGCGTTGTCAATACGCTGATTTCGAGGAAAAAACTGATGCGACGCGCAGTTCGCAAGTGCAAATATTATTTATTAATGAATAATCGATGTAATAAGATTCACCGCTAAATTATAACGTTATGTAGAGTGGTGGTACATGATACTGCAGGAGGAGATGCTAGTGAAAATTGATCGACGATAATAATTGAAATTGAGGCAGCTGAAGTGCAAAGGAGTTGAAACAATGCATATGTCAGAGCATTACATCATTGATTCGTTTTTAATTAATTACATATGTTCTTCTAATACTGTATAAGAAATTATTTGTACAATTTTCTTATAATAGACTATAGGAAAATATGCAAATATTGAAATATGCATTTTATAATCCTGTGAATTTTTCCTAACAAAATGGCTGCTTAAAATACGAAATTAACCTCGAAAAAATAAAATTTTCCACAAGAGTCATCTGCAGTCGACAACTACAACTGTCAACCGGCAAAGAGAAGATTCGATTCGATTCGCCCGGGCGAAACCTCTGCCGGTGCCGATAAAACGACACTCATTCTCATCGCGCGCTCATCTCCCCACAAGTCCGATAATTGCAGCGCGCCGGCAAAGTTCGAAGCAGCAAACGAAGCCAAGCGTTCGCCTGCGTTCGCTTCCTCCTCGGCTCCTCGGGCAGCACCTCGTCGTGCGCCTGCCCCGTCGCCCGCTTGCCATCCGCGCTCCGGTCTCGCGGCGCACGGCGCACGGGCTGACTCTGACAGCAGCTCGCAATCGCGCTCGTGTGTTCCTCTCCGCGCTCGCTCGGGTTGTTGCCCGCTAGCTCTAACCCGCTGCTGCTTCCAAGGCGATCGCCGCAAATGGCCCGGCGAACGCGATGCGATGTGCGTACCACCGGGCTCGAGTGTGCGAAGGGAAAATAACTGATAAAAACGAACGTATTCTACTCACGGTTTAGACGCGGTGTCGGTGGAGAGCGCGCCTCTTGGTGGTTCGCATCATTTATGTTGTGCTGCGAGAGTGCGCCGAGGAAACACCCCGCGATGGATTAGTGCGGAAGCTTTATCGCAGTGTGTACAGCGCGCGTTCAGTTCCAGATTCGGATTACATACGATTCACGGGAAGAGCGCTGGAAATCTGAAACAAGTTGGTATATTGTTATATTATTTAATCATCTACAAAAAAACAACTTAATTTTTTAATAAACTTCAACTAAATTCTTAAGATTTCATTGCGACATAACCTTACAATTTGTTTATCTTTTGTTTTTTTTTTCGTAACAAAAATGTGTGGATGCTCTTTAATTAAATAACGTGTGCATGCTCAAAGCAGGTTTCGTTCATTTCCTTGTCGGTTAATGAATTTAATGAAACGGCGACGCACGGGGGCGTCGACAAAGGCCATCTTCCATAAATGTCAATGCTGAGGTCGACTTTGAGAGGCCCGAGAGAGTCGTTGGTCGACTTCTTCTTTTTTTTATATTTCAATCTCTAACCAGATTCAATAAAAGACCGCCGCATCAATGTTTGCATAACTGCTCCAAATTCCACGTTGCGAGCAAACACTGCTATCGAATGTTTGGGTTTTAGCGTAATTGCATTATTAAACCGAGTGTTTTAATTACGTTTTATTAATAATATGCGTTTGTTGTTATTTAGCGCATAGGGAAATGCGGTGAAGAATTTACGAGATGACGATGAGTAATATGCGTCGCACGCCGTTCGCCGTGTTATGTCACGTCGATTTCCATCCCCCTCGCATGCACGGCGGCGATGCACAGCATTGCACCCTCTTGCCGGGAGTACATTATTAGGGTGGCGGCGGGTTTTCCGTGCGGCGCACAAATCGCGAGCGAGTCGGAGTGGAGCAGGGCGCGCCCCTGCTCGCCTTCCGCGCTTTCCCCGACGTACAGCACACCACGGCCATTGCCGACATCGGCGGCAACCCCTAAAATATTCCAATTGCGAGTAGATGGGAATTTTTCAACGGGGAAATTATCGAATATTAAACTACGTTTAGTTGAAATTAATTGAGAATCAATTTTGTCAACATGTGTGCGCGCGCTGTATAAACATCAACTATTACAAAACAATTCGTTTACACGTTTTGTACTTTGCCAGAAATGTCGGCGCGGTCGGCGCGAAACGAATGAATAACTTTATTTACCTTTATTCCTACTCGCGCTCAGTAATGGCACGGCAGTTGTTGCTTATCAGCGAGAACAATATTTTCGTATGTGTTCCGTATCTGCGAGTTTATATGCGTTGACGTCGGCCCGACGTTGATATAATTTTCATCGAGCGTGACAAAACAACAACAAACAAAAAACTCTTTCGCGAAAACAAATCATCATCATCAACTACACAAAACACGCCGTTGTTATTTTTTGTCTATCAAAACAATTTTTAATTACAGCGCAAATTGAATTTCGTAAAAGTGTTAGATTCGTGTGAGTAACGCATTTTTTAAAACTATTATATTACCACGCAAATATTTAATAAACGTACGTAACTGAAATTTATTTCTATTTACTTCCTTAACTTACTTTGTGTGTTGCCGCAGAATAGAATCTAATTAAATATGCACGTGTAATTAGAGCGTGTATGTTTTCTTTCTTTTATAATAATAAAAAAATTGAAGTTATGAAAATTTTACCACAAAAATTAAACAAATATTCTATTATGTGATTGGCGTTGCCTTATAGGAATAAAATATTTACGATTCATGTCACATGGATCAGTTTTGAGCAGTGACTTTCCGCGTAGGAATGATATCGTAGCCATATATTCGTAATCGTAACCGACTAACCATAATATGTGCCTCATTTTTTCACGTTTATATATATTCTCTATATTCAACAAACGACGCGTGTGGACAAAAATGCGTAGGGGTCAATACACGATATGACCACAGATGTGGTTAATCGACAAGCACAAGCGCTGCAGTGCTTTTAAAGGACTAACAAGACTCCGAGACTTGACTGACTGGAAATAAATGATGTAAATCAATCAATGATTTCCTTTTTCGGCGGAAAGAATCAATTGGGTTTTGAGATAATTGTTTTAAATCATGTCATATGTCATGGTCATTAGAAAAAAATCAAATAAAATAAGATTAAATGACGCTATTGATTTAATTTTATTTTATTACTGACTTATGATTATATTCGCTGCGTTCCTTATTTATATCGTTTAATTACAAAACTAGTAACACCACCATAACGTCATTAACAAACGAAATAAATTAGCAAGCGTACAAACCGCAAGCGGTTTACATTTACGGCATGCCACAATAACACAGTTTTAAACTGATTACGCTTTGCGCTTCTTTTTCTTTCCGTAACAAATTAAAATGTATAAATCTCATAATGGATGGTTACTTCTATAAAAAAAAAATCCGTTCCGACTTTTAACTCGGGATTTTTTTGTTCTGACACACTGTAAATCTCATCCACTTTACAATGCATTGGAGAATAGTTGTTAGTGGCACTAACTGTGGGTAAAAAACGATTATAATTACACGTCACACAAACAAAGCCGTTGAGATACAGTGTCAGCGCGAAACACAGTGATACGGTTTACTTTAGAACTTCTAACTTCGTTATTAATATGCCGTATGACTAAAAATAGAAGCAAAGAAAGAGGAAAAACTGAGTATTATGTAAAAAATGTAAACACACCAAGTAGAACAGACATAGTAAAAAATCCTCGCTGTGTATTTCATTGAAAAGGTTAGAAGAAAAACACCACAGCAGTTGGAAAGAGGAAGGAACTAAAGTGTATTGTTGTAGATCGTAAATATAGTATGAAAGCAATAGAATAGACAGACCACAATATATAGTGGAAATGCTAACGCTGGGTCTTGGGAACCGCTGCGGTTTTATGTAAATTCATCGTTTTTATAATGAAATCATGAAATTTATGTGTCTGCGTCTGCCTTCTACGTATTAATATGTAGGTGATGTGGTAAGATTCACACAGCGTACACGTACAAAGTCAGTGTTACAATATTTAGTTAAAAAAACAAACGCAACAATGTTTCGAATTTTTCTAATAACTAGTTGAGCTTATTTTGTTTGTAATTATCTTGTTATATGTTATGATTACGTGATGTTGATGTTGATGCTCTATGATGGCACAAACGCAATTATTTAATTAACCATCTCTGCGCGTTTTATCTCGCGACGAAATCTGTGTTTGCTGTGCTTCTTGTCATGACTTGCTGCCAGCGTAATTTGATACCATGGAAGCGAGCGTATAAAAAAGTACCAAGGATGAAAGGAAGGACGAGCTGTGTGGAAGTCTGTAAGATGTGCAGCGCAGAGGAGAAAATGCGAAAAGAAACGCGAATGTAAACTTGGATTGAGCGCTCAAGACGTTGAGGATTATGTTACTCGATGTACCCGATGACCATCTGTCTTTAGCTTTCCGCGAGAATGCTTTAATTCAAACCGGATGAGTTGTTTTATTTTAGTGTAATAGGATTTTTTTCTCTTTTTGTTAATTCATGTCTAACACTAATACTAACACCACTCGGCATTTTTTTTTTCGCTTTTGTAAGGAGTAGAAGGACGAGTAGTAGAAGTGTGAAGGATTTTGAGTGTCTCCACTTGAAAAATCCTACTTGACAAAGATGAATTTTTGCAACAACTTGCATAATATCATCCACAAAATGAATTTTTATATACAAAAATGAATTTCTGTCAGTTATCTAAACTTTTTGCTTTGTTCGTTACGAAACAGCAGTGATTTGATAAATAAGAATTGTCATTAAAACCAATTGGTTCCACGGGCCCCTGATTCGCCGCAACCCGCACCAAAGAACCAAAGAGAAAGGAGAAATTGATCTATTGACCAATCTATTCTGTTTCACCACTCAGACATGACTGCCTAACCGGTAGTGACCGGACAACCCGCAAAAAGTGGTGGGGGTAAGGCAGGTAGCCACGCGCGCGCGAGTATACCCCCTGCGGATTACGTAAACCTCTAGTCACCATGGTAGTAGCTGCACGGGTGAACCCTCTTACTTTCACATCATTGCACACTAAGCCATAAAGGGTGCCAGGTTATAAATAAAAATTCTTCTTTTCTCCTTGCAAAGATATAATACTTTTGAAGTTTTCACTTATATGCTGGTTTGTGATGTGTTGTTTTACATATCGTGGGGCGCCGAGAGCTAGACTATCGTCGCCTATCATCCTCAAGCTGGCAAACTCGAGAGTTTTGCGTCCGTTGCGTCTGCGACTGCAAAGCAATAGGGGTGGTAGTGGTGTGTGCATGCCGTGCGCCGCCAGCTTTTGCTCTTCACCCGCGAACCTCGACTCTGGCGGCGCCTTATCGATCTTTTATTTGCACGAATGCACGAAATGTTCTCCCGCGCCCCGAACGCGCGTATTATTTTTGGATTCAATAATTCTACAATGCCACAACGCTAGAGCAATTTCGGCTCTGATTACATATATGTCATTTCAAAACAAAGATTAAAATGACATAGTTAAAAACCTATTACGAAAATTACTACCAGAACCTTCCGGATGTTCACAGTTCGTCGCACAAACGAAATGACAAAATATTTCAGTTGATAAGGGGACATTACTAATGCGCGACCTCGGAGTATATCACGTGCATATTTATGCTTGCATTACCTCTACTCACTGATAATAATACGACCACCTATGACACATGGATGACACCGAAGGTTTTGCGCGCCGCTTTGCAAAACAATATGAAATGTGATCTGTTTCGCGCAAATTAATTAATTAACGCTCCCGGGGCCTGCCCTTGCTCGCGCAACAAAACAACACGTTCCTTCTTGTTAATGGCGCTAATGAAACGCGACCCGATCAAACATTAAAACGCGTGTTTGCCCTACCTAAATGTTTCAAACTCCGTACAACTTTTTGCATAATAAAATAATTAATTTACGACCGTTGACGAGCTGCTTTATCGGCATTAATTGTCTGTCGGAACGAAATTTTTGCATCTGCTATTACTAGGAGTTGCGTAAGCGTAAGGTTAGTTAATTGCAGCTTTTTGTACGATTGCTCTAATGCCGCTAATAATGCGCTGATTGCTGCAGATGTTACGTTTTCATACAGGTTTTAGACGCGTGTGGGCAACCAGACAATGTGCTGCATGCCTGCAGGCCTGCAGTCGAGAAGTAGCGCAATACGAAATGCTAAATATAATGCGATAAAATTATAACAAATCCACTCGGACGCTCGTACGCACTAACTGTGCTCAACACAATAGATAAAACACTCAATCATACCGAACGTCTTCAAAAAAGTCCGCAAATTTAAATTATTGTAAGTAATATTTACAAGTTTTAAAAAAATCAATATTTAATCAATTTAAAAATAATTTTGGTTTTTATATTTTATTAACACCCTGTATAATATAAGGAAATATTATTCTACTCTCATTTCGTTGATGGAGACTTACATCTGGCTGTAAGACTCCTTTTAAGTTTGTTCGCATTTGCCACGATTCCAAAAACTTCGCTTCAATCTCTTTAGGCCTGTATTAATAAATAATTCATACAATTCCGTCCATTTTCTGCTCGATCTCGCTATTATCTCCGCGGATGATAATTAATAAATTTATGCCGAGCAAATTAGTGCTATTATAGAAATTTGTAAATCCATGAATTTCTTCGCGATGGGAATTCATCGCCGCATTGAATGCAAATTTCGCTCGAAATTACGCATCAACGAACTCAAGACTAAACATTTCGAGTCGTGATTGTCGAAACAATCAGCAACGATCTAAATTCAAACTGAAATCAGAGCAAAGTTCGATTTGTTTCGTCGTGTTTGAACTTTAAAGATCAAAACGTAACTCTTTTCTTTTTATTTATAATTTTTTACTTTAGTTGTTAGTTATCTGATGCTTAAGAAATCAACGGAAGAAAGAAAGCGTGAAAACGTGCAAAAATCGCGAGCATGCTTTTAGCGTTGGAAATATTCTTGTGTGTAGAAATTAGAAGAAAAGAATTAGTTTATGCGATCGATTGCGCGATGGCAATTTTCTTCAATTACACGCCGAATGAGCGCTGGCGCGCATAAAAATACGCCGCGTTTTCACCAGTAAAGTAGAAAATCGTCTTAATGCATGGCGAAAACTATCGTCGAAGTTGAAACAAAGTTCACTCTCTATTATAGACCCATTCGTTAATGCACGTTAATGCGACATTCGACATCCAGAAGAACAATGCCTTTGACTTTCACATAATTGTTACAATTATCTTCATCGTGGAAAACATGCAAACGGTATAAATTATTGACGCAAAGTAAACAACAGCGTATTTATTCGTTGATTAATTTTAGCAGGTGTTTCCTGTTGTAATCATTTGTTTTTTATATCGTTTAATTGCATAATAATTACGTTTATTACCGACTTCCCAGTAAAATGATTGCTGTGTTTTTAAATCATTTTAATCGGTAGTGTAAGATAAACAAATATAACATCAGTTGAATCACGTACTTATTATGAACTAAACTACTTATTTATCCTTTTTAATTAAACAATAAATGGATTTCAATTAATTTGCTTCCTAACTGATGAAACTTTTGAATTAAGTGTAGTAATCAACGAAAAATTCAATTAGAAGATGTTTTGACAGCTTTAATGAACAAAGTTGAACAAAACGCGCGCATGTTTAGCGTCCGAAATATTTCCGTAACGCACGCCAGACTGTCAGCGCAATTAATTGCCGCACAAGGTCGCGCGACACTTAATTGTACGATGACCATTTCGGTATACCAGCATCCAAACGAGTTGGGAGCACACCAGCATACATCACGACGTTCATCATCAAGTCAATAAACTCCACGCTGAGGTCTCAAGTTGATGGACTCGCCATCTTTTCTAGTTGAACTCACATAATTTATGAAATTCTGCAATCATTTTGCAGTTTTTCCACAACAAATTCTAAACAAATTGACGATTGTGACTTAATAAATAACCGGATGTAGATGTCATTTTTTGTTCCGCTACTTTGAAAATCCTACATGATTCAAACAATAACTCACGTCATAATAACAAAGTTATAAGTCGTTATAAAAGTCGTGAAAAGTCTATAAAAAGTCGTTTGGATGCAGAAGATGTTCGGCGACAGTCTTGTCTCTTTACCGAACGAACACCTCAAGTGCCTCCAACTTTAACTTCCAGCTTTTCTTATGCCTAGGCTTCGGGAGAGACTCGTGATCAACATTATCAGTAGAGGCCTGAATGTATTAGTGTTGACTTTAGTTTCTCTACTGCAGAAGAAACCAGCATGACAAGCCGCCGGTGATCATCATGCGCATCGTGGTGAACACGGTGAACATTCTTTATTTTCCGGACGAAACGTCCTTGACGATTACCATATGGTAATGCTAAATAGTTAACTAAACGCGGTTGTTAAAAGTTGATACGTTCGGCGTGTGCTCGCCGATCATCAATTGCACTCAACGTACAATTATTATACTCACCGCTACTACATGTTTTCTATTTTTGTTTTTAATAATTATTTCGTTGCAAAACGTGTGCGAAGTGGTTTTATAGTGACTCATTTTAGTAGTATTTTTACAGTTCTTTAATTGCTGTTTTTTGATCAAATATTGCACAGTTTATAAACTGATAAAACACTTAGCGCACTATCACCGAATCGCTATCTTTATGACACTCTTACATATGTTGGCGAATATGCCGGCTCGTTTATGGTAGCAACAAGTTTTATTTTTTTGTCACACCATTAAATCCTACAAAACGCTCTGAATTTGCATAACTATTCTAACGATGTGTCCCCGTTTCGCCTTCTTGCAGACTGCCGGATAAAATGGACGACAAGCGCACGCCGCGCGCCAGTTCGAAGGTGTCGCAGATTGCGAACCGCTTCCAGCCACCCGGGCAGCATCCTCATCGCGACGACGTCATTACCCCACTGCGTGGGAGCAAACCTCGCTCGACCAGCTCCCCAGGCACGGATTATCGCGACGACGTCGCCACCGTCACCGTGGTGCGCACCGAGAGTCACCTAACGCGATTCAATAACGCGCGAGCTTTATTCGAGAAGCTGGGAGAGGAAAACCGCCCTAGGGATATCCAACGAGTGACAAGTCATCCGTATCCCATCCAAACCACTAAGAGTGCAGGGCATGTGCCACATTTAGACAGGTCTCGCAGCAGCTCAGCGAATAGCGATCACATTCGAGAAACACACTGCTCCCGATCCACGGATGAAGGATCAAGATCACCTTCGCCCACAACAAGAAGATGTGTTCCTCTGAATGATAAAACGAATGGATTCGCGAGGAATAAGATGGAGATTGACTCTATGCACCATCCACATCCGGGTCTAACACATGGTCATACAGTAACAATGGGTGGGTTGACAAAATTGAACGGCAACTCTGATGATAAAGGTGTGCAGCAGTATAGCAAACCACAATTGATGAAGAAGCCAGAGAAACCAGAGAGAAAGTTCAACAGCAAGGAGTTGATTGAAAAGCAACGGAATTGGACGTCGCATTTTAGCAAGACTAGAACTTCGAGGTATACGAGTGATCCGAATAGAAATAATGACCAAATTGGTAAACCAGGACACTATGGTCATAGGGAGGCACCGGTGGTGGATAATCGCGCGACGCGAAGTGCTTCTTTCACTTCGCGGGTGCGTAGCCCGCCGACATCACCGCCGTGCCCGCCGGATGTGACGCGTCGCCCGAATGTCGCACGGCGGGAGAGGCCAGCCTCAGTGCCGACACACATCAGCAGTCCGCTCAGTAGTCCCATCAAAGATCCCTCTCCGCGTCATCACATCGAGCGGGACAGATACGTCTCGTCCCCGTCGCCGGTGACCTCACCAGTGCGCAACATCAACACACGAGTGGTGCGCGGTCAGCACAAGCGCGATTCAGAGGAAACCAACAAAGAGAACAAACCCTTAGACTTTGAAGAGGAGATAGAGGAGCAGTATGTGCATCATAAGGCAATGACACCCACATCACCTTCATCACCACCTGTAGCAGCTGTAATTGTAGAAACGCCGACTTCAACGCGACATAGTGGAATTGTTAAGGAATTGCCAAAGTCGCCCTCGGGCGGCGCAAACTTGACAAATGGTGGAAGTACGAATAATGCCAGTAATGCAACTAACTCTAGTTCTAACTCAAAGTCTCTAGACGAGGTGAGCAACAAAGAGTCGCTTAGCGTGAGTAGTTTAAGCTCGCTTAGTCCTCCGAGCAGCCCGAGGACCAAACCGGAAGTTGAGGCTGAACCACCTCCGAGAATCGCACCTCGTGCGGCGGAAGAAGAAGAAGATCTCGAAGACGAAGAGTCTGAGGAAAAGGAGGAGGAAGACGACGTCGAGGAGGAAAAAGCCGAACGGGAGACCAACGAAAAGACTGACATAGGTGCCCAAGGTAAGCACGATGAAAAAGAATCACAAACACTTGCTACAAAGTGACTTAACTCAATTGGTCGGGCGACGACCGATGTGCGTGTCTCGACGCGCGCCGCGTAGGTTTTTCAGTAGGAACAGGAATGTATTTATAGCCTCTCGGGAGCGCGTCTCTCCCGAACCACTTACTTATTTACTTACTTACTTACTTGGCGACGGCGTACGCGTACGGCGGCAACTATGCGCGATCGCGATTGATCTGCGGCGTCGATTCTCGCATCCCGATAATTCGATGTCGGGATGCCCGCTGGCATTGACATCGTTGTGGTGGTGCGTGTTATCAATTCCCCGCGCGAAGGATGAGGAAGATGTGCTTGCGTCTGAAGCTGCTTTGTTTGGATTGCACAGGTTAGTGCCGTTTGGGTACAGCGGAACATCATCCGATCATCGGAAAGTCTGTGTCATTGAATTTTTTTCTAAATCGCCAATTTTTGCGCGACGCCCGAATGTAATTATAAATATCACATGCGCGCACTTATTTTGATCGTTTCCTGTTTGCGGAGTAGTCATCATTTAAACCGAGGTCCGTAGGCTTTGGCCGTAATTGAGTATTTCCGAAATAAACAAATAGTCGTAGTCGTTTTCGAACAAACAAATGAAATAATCACTAAATATGCTTCGGTGGATTGCATAATCAGAGCTGATGATGTATTCGTTTCCGAATCTAGATCAGGCCGATGTGAAATCAAATAAGACTGAAGAAGAACAAGACGAAGACGAAGTAGTCCCGGTGCCGCGCCGTAGCAAAGTCTCTAGCATCTCGGTGAACATTCCAGCCGCCGGATTGGGCACGCGCCCACCCTCGATTATCTCCTCGACAACTGACGAGGGTGGCTTCAATGAGCCGTATCCGGAGATCACCGCGAGACTGAAACCGCCCGAGGACGCGCTTTATGATTATCCTATAACGGACGAGGACAAGGTGGATTTGTTCATCCAGGACGAAGGAGACTATGCGACGATTGATGCGAAGGATTCCCCGAACACCGAGAGCATCGAATCGCCACTATCGCAGCCGCGTACCGTCGAGGCCATCTACGCGGTGCCCAACAAGCCTTCCTGCCTTCTCCAGCAGCGATCCAATGCCTCCACGGATTCCGACTCGCAGGCGACTGTAGTGCACCACAAGAGTTTCGATTCGGACGTAATGTACAACGCTTCCAAAGGAGGATCGCCTGCGGCGGCTGTCTGCGACCTGGACATGCAGGACGAGGACGACTACGGCGAGAATTTGCGCTCGGCGGAGTTTATTCAACATGAGCGAAGCGTGGAGGCAAGTAATAGGCCTGATGTAGTTCCTTGTGTATCGCCGAAAGGGGTAAGAAATGTGTTTTCACTTCTTTTCATCACAAGATGACTATAGTGATGATACAACAGTTATTTCTAATGGATATATTATTCATAAGTGATTTGTGATGTGTTTACAATAGAGTCCTGTGAAAAACTCGCCGGAAATTCACTGCGAAGCAAATCTGCTTGATCTCAAAGATGTGGAATATGCTGATGCGAGCGAAGATGAGGACGAGGTCGACGATCGTGTCATCATCAAAGAGGACGCGCCTGAAGTGGATGCTATGACGCCAGCGGAGGCTGAAAATCTTTTAAGTTCTAAGTATGCTCGAGTTTTTACGCACTATCACAGAAAATTAGTAATAAATGTTTTAATATTTACAGTATACTAGAAAAACGAATTCGTCAAGAATTAATCACCGATGAAGAAGCCCGCGAAATTCAGAAACTACTAGACTCTAAGCAAAACAAATGGACGTCCGATGCGAACTCCTCCATGCAAGACTCGATGGGTTTACCGTCTCTCAGTGACAGTTACGGACCACCTTCAATTCAGGAGGAGCAAGTCGAATATGCCCAAGTGATAAAAATTAAGAAGGCCGACAAGCAGGTAATGAATGAATCCACGAGTAGTATTGACGTGTCAACACAAGAAGTCACCAACAGCAAGTTGGAATCAAGCATGGCTTCCGATTCCGGTTTAATAGACTCTGTCAGTTTTTCGGAATCAAATAATGATACCGATTTTATACCGCAACCGCTACAAGTTGTTGGTATTGAAAATGGTATTCATTACTTTGAAGATGGGCACTTCTGGATGGAGGTACCCGGTCTACCGGAAGACGATGATGATGACCTGGAGTACCCGATGTACATACCCAAATCGTTCAAGATCAGGTTCTCTGTTGGACCTATTCAAGTTTTCTCGACCTACAGCATCAATGATTATGACCGACGTAACGAAGATGTTGATCCGGTTGCAGCGAGCGCTGAATATGAACTTGAGAAACGCGTCGAGAAAATGGATGTGTTTCCGGTCGAGTTGCTGAAGGGTCCTGAGGGATTGGGTTTGAGTATTATCGGCATGGGTGTCGGGGCTGACGCTGGCTTGGAAAAGTTGGGGATTTTCGTTAAGACGATAACTTCGAATGGGGCCGCGTCAAAAGACGGGCGGATTCAAGTCAACGATCAGATTATTGAGGTTGATGGCAAGAGTCTCGTGGGAGTGACGCAAGCATATGCGGCTAGCGTGCTGCGGAATACTTCCGGCATAGTCAAGTTCAGTATCGGAAGGGAGCGTGATCCTGATAACAGTGAAGTGGCGCAGTTGATTCGTCAATCTCTGCAAGCTGATAAGGAGAGGGAGGAACGTCGACAGCGAGCGTTGGAGGCCGAACAGCAGGCTAGTGATGCCAGTACACTTCCCTTAACAGGTAATTATTTAAACTTTGTTTGCATACAAAATTTTATCTAATTTTTTATGCTTTTATCAAGGTTCAGCGAATAGTAGCGTTTCCGATGGTCCTGTAAGCCCCCTGGCAGCAACAAACGACAACGTGTTCGAACCGGAACCGGAAAACAATGACGTAGAATCATTGCGATTGTTACTCCAAGAGGTATGCTAATGTTTGATGGAATATTTCTAACAATAACTCACAACATGAATTTTTGCGTGTGATTTGCGTGTTACTTGTGCATTGTGTAGTTGCGTTTTCTCTGTTTCCATGGTTTCCATGCATTTGGCGATTTTGTACGTTTTGTGTTTGTTTGTTACGCAGACTCAGCGCAAGCTCAACCTATCCGAACACGAGCTAGCGCGCCTGAAGACAAAGGTAAACTCAGCTGTCTTGTTATTGCATGCTTTTGGTCTTTCTTGGATGGATTCATTCACCCAAAACATTTTCACCTTACTTTTCATCTCAATCGTATGAAAATATTAAATAAACTGTTTATAGCTGATGGAACAGAACGGACTCAAATCGGATGAGAGTGAGAAACTGGAGCAAACCGCAGCGAGATTGAAAGAGACTGACAAAGCTTTGGCCATTTCAAAGAAGGAGATTACCACCTATCAGAATATGTTGGAGCAATCACAGAATCAATACCTCACGTTGGAGAAGAAATACAGCCGTGCTAAACAACTCTGTCGGGAATTCCAACAGCGGGAGATTGAAATGGCGCAAAGAGAAGATTTTTACCAACAGTTGTTGCAGGAGAAAGACACTGAATACAATGCTCTAGTGAAGAATTTAAAGGATAGAATTATCACACTTGAGCAGAAGTTATACGAGACACAGAAACAAGCCGGAATGCCGCCATCTTTACCGTACGATAGTACAAACGCAAAATCTGTGACACCACAGATGTCCCGACGTCAACCACCTAATAAACTAGGCCAAAGCATCACCCCAGACTTTTCCGACACGGAAGTGTCCGACGCTAGTCCTGATGACCTAAACAAAACCGACACGGTGGAGAGAAAACTCCCGATTAAGGACGAATTCGACAGCGCGGTACCACCGCACGAGTTGTTGGACATCTCCGCGAATAAAAGCAAAGCGGAGCTAGTAAATCGCGCGCGCCAAATGCCCAAAAAGGGTTCGCTGAGTAACAGCAGTTCAGATTATGGTCTGGACGAAAGTTACAACTCTGCCGATGAACTCGATCCTCCTTACATTAACGATTCAAAAAACGACCTGATGCGCCCGCACACCTTGGACACGAACAATTATTCGACGTACAGCACCGCACAGTACAACAGCCAGAACAGCCACTACAACAGCCAGGTGCAGTACTCGCAGATCCAGAATAATTACGTGCAGAAAATCGACAACTCCGCGGGGGTGGTGTACGCGCGCGTTCAGAAGGAATCAAGTATGCAACAACCCAGTCCCGATCCATGGGTGGGTGGTAAGCAAGCGATGGGTCCCGCATCATCGCTGGCGGAACAACTCAAACAGGTATGTTGATTATGAAAGAGGTGATGAAGAGAATGGTCTATGAATGTTAACAGAATCACCATTTTCAGGTGCTCGCCGAGCGCGAGAAACGCATCGGAACGGAGAGTTTGACCGCCTCACAGGATGAATTGAATGAGAAAAGCAAGAGTACTGCGCAGCATTTATTGGAGGAGATTCGGCAGGCAGTAAACGAGGCTAATCAACGAGGTAGTTAATATTGAGCCATTGTAGGTGCGAGTTTAAGAAACATCTCTTTAATATTATGTTTTTGTAGTGAAAAAAGTTGCTCCGGTTACACTATCGCCACCGGGATCTGTACCATGGCAGCATCAGTCTGGTGCGTCGCCAACCCCACCTTCGCCATCGAGTTTATCCTCAGGGTCTGTATCTCCTTCACGAATGGATACGTGGAGCAGTATGCATCCTTCGGATATTAGTCTATCTTCATGCAGTATTGCCAGTTGTGATAAACGAAATTCTCACTTTTGGCAATCATCTGCTGTTGCCGACTGGAGTAAAGAACAAGTAAGTGAACTAATAAAAACAAATCCATTTCTTAAATTTTACTACATATTACTTTTTTTCCCAGGTGTGCCAATGGTTATTAGGTTTAGGCTTAGAACAGCACATCCCCAAGTTTGTCGAGTTGCAAGTCAACGGCTCAGCACTCTTACAATTAACCTCTGCGGACTTTAAAATCCTCAAGGTGAGCGGCGATGATAAAACGCGCTTGAAACGTAAAATCAAAGAGCTGCGCCACCAGGCCGAGAAAGAACGTAAGCAAATGGAAAAAGACCGCAAAGAGAAAGAGAAACAACAACGAAAGGCGGAGAAAGCCAGCAAGAAGAAGTGAATGCCACAGAACGGCCTAACAAACAAATTCGCTGAGAGCGTGCAATGGACGCTTGAATAAAAGTTCGCGTTTTTTAGACGTCATCATGATGAATATGATGCAAGATGAAAGGAAATCCTGCCATACAGGTGTTTTATTAGTGCGTGTATGTACTATCTTACCCCCCGAATATAAACGTGTAAAAACTGGTGTATATGATAGTGCGTATGATTTGATTGCTGTTTTATTGCCAAAAAGTCGACGATGTTGTGTGGTGTAGATTATTAATATAAATATAACGTGCTCGTGGTAGAAGTCACATTAAAAAACACCAGGAAATTACCGCTGTGAGTGGTAATGCACTCGCAGTGCGTATTTCTTCATGATCTGTCACTGTCACGTAATGAAAACTTAAGTGTAAGTTTGCGAAAAACACAGATTCTGATTATCTATACTCGATTATTCTAATATTACGATGTAATCAAAACAAAAAATACCATATTTCAAGTATCATCTCACTCACGCATTGAATAAGATGGCCGCCGCACATAAAATGGCGGCCGGGTGCAATTTTAGCAGTGCTCACTCCGCTGATTGATGCATTCAATCAGCCCATCGAGTGGCACGGTTTTTTGAACGGAAGAGATGTTTATACACACAATACGATTATTCAAAGTTGTAGATATTTGATTGACGATGACGACGCATACTCTTCAGTTTGTTCGACTATATCGTGGGCATTTTATAAACTATGCTAATAAATATTTATCTCATTATCTCCGAATTCTTATGTTGGACGAACATACGATGGATATGAATCTTTAGCGCGTGTTTTGTTTCTTATTTAAGACATATTTTATTTAAAAGTGAACTATTTATGTGTATTTATCTTAACTTTAAAACAAAACTCATGTAAGTTGTCGAATATACTCTGTGGTTTCGTTTTGTATTGTAAACTTTTCGTTACGGGACCAACACACACGTCTTGTTTAATGTAATAGTTTGATTTCGTTTCTCTCGAACCGCCCCGTAGCATTCATGAGTCTCTGTTCGATTTTTTATTTGTGTTGTTGCTCAATATTATATATTTTTTTTGTTGATGACTGGTAAGCTGTGACTGAGTGGTGCGTTTTGCGATCGCCACAGTTTGAAATGATTATATACATCGTACTTTAATTAATTTACTACCTATTTAAGTAATGAATATTATATATAGAAATGAATATGATTATATCTAATTCTAATGCATTATGTTTAAACATTTAAACATTTGATTGTGATTTTACAAATTTCGATTTTAACAGTGGTAAAGAATAAAAATACTTAATACGACGATAAAATGTGAAGTTTTGACTTTTGTAATCGCTAAACACCTGCATGCACTCAAGTATTTTATAAGTTACTAAGCTATGTCTAATTTATTAATTAAATATTACAAAGTGTTACAATGTATGAAATTGTTTTTTGCACTTTTATCAGGATACTAACATCCATTCCGATGATTTGCGGTGCTAAGGTAGAAAAGAACGACCCAAAAATCAATAATCAATTAGTGGATTGATTTAATTACCAAGCCGCAAAGAAATAACTAAGATTAAACTTGGTTTCGCTCTGATTTTAATCACAGACACGTTTTATTCCAAGTATTAATTAAATATTAATATAGTTCCCATGTTCTGTAAATACATTTTTCCGTAGCCATTTTGTCCAATTTTTACCCTTAGCTAAAAATTCTACATTATATTTCATTCAAATTAAATATTTCAAAAATTTAAAACGCAAAAAAATGTAAATTTCCAAAATAAGCAGAAATCATGCAACAAATTAACGGTCCAACGTGTTTTACTTAATGCCGTCTAGCAACATGTTAAAAATATTCACGAATTACTTATCGAAGTGCCCGACTGATAATATTTGTATTCGTGTAGAGATAGATAACATTGGACTGTATTGAGATTTATTTTCAAGTTTCAAGCATATTCCGTCTCGCATACGCGCGTTACCCGTCTCACCGGCTTGTTCGCTGCACAAGCGATAAAATCCTGCGATATGGTCAAAAATCAAGACTTGAGGTCACCTGGCGTGTCTTATCCGAGCATCGACTATGAAAACGTAAGTAAATCGCGTGATGTTCTCCGCAGACATGATTTTTATGCGACAAATTTGCATGTTTAGTTCTGGGACTGGTTCGTACAAGTATCGGACATCGAATATCATTGGAAACATGAACCGACTTACCTCATCTCGCAGTTTGCCTTCTTATTGGGTGGACTTCTAACGTTCATACACGGTAACAACACTTGAATGTCTTTCAATTAATTTCAGTTATACCCACTACGTCCGCGCCGCGTGAATTGCACACTCACAACTAATTCCGATCCGAATAAACAAACTCAAATGTATTGTTACCGCGGTAACAAAACAAAGTTAACGTGCGTGTATATGCGGTTGCATACATTAAATCACTAAATTAGATTTTATATTTAAGATTTTAAATTTTTAATTGATTGCAGCATTAATTAAACGCCAAAGATTTATTTACTTATGGATCGGAATATTATTACACGGCCTAGTGGTGGAGATGATGTCGTACTGGGTGCCGGACATCGACAACTTTTGGCATTCTCAAACACCAATCATTTTTCTTGGACAAAGATTGCCCCTGCACATAATTTTCCTGTGTATGTATAAGAAACTTGTGCAATTTTATTTGTCTTTAGGACTTATACTAAGATTTATATAAACACTTTAGATCCATGCTTTCTCTACCAAGCATCAGTGGCAGTTTCAAAGTTAAAACTACCCTTATGGGCTGAACCGTTCGCTGTCGGTTTGTGTACCGTACTCGTCGACATTCCGTACGACATTATTAGCGTCAACTTCCTGCATTGGACATGGCACGACACCGACCCAAACATTTACGACCGGCATTACTGGGTGCCATGGAATTCCTACTATTTCCACGCGTGTTTCGCCGCAAGTTTCACATTCTGGTTTCATTTCTTCCGCAGGAGAATGTGTAGTAACAAAGATGGCGGCAAGTGGGAAGCATCAACGTAAGACGTCATTATTTGCTTTCTACGTTTAAAAAATTAACATTAAAACTTTTAATCTTTTAGAATGTGGAAAGAAATTCTATGCACGCTGTTTGCTTCATTGCTTGGCACCCCTGGTGGAATTCTAATGTTCATTCCAATTTATCATCCACTTCACGACGTGTACAAACTCCACAGTGAAGTTACATTCTTCATTCTTTTCGCTATTTTCTTATTGATTATTTGGAGTGGCGATCGCAAAGCACAACGAAACAATAACGACATTAAACCGAAAACATTCAAATCAACTTTTCTGTTGATTTTACACTTAATTGTGCATTACACAAGCTTTTTAATAATGCCGATATTTTTCAAACCGGAAGACGAGATCGCTGTTGGTTTAAAGGAACCTGTAGGCCCTTGTGATAAAATTGTTCCAGTACAAACTGTTTTCGGTGTGGTAAGTTGATCTTTAATTAATTTAAAAACTTTTATTGAAGCGAAAATTTATTTTCAGTTAAAAAAGCGTCAGTTTTTGTGCGTAAGTGATTACGATGAGAAGTATTTCGACTTCCATTGCATCCCCAAGGAGCAAATACCGCCGCATGGCTCACATTGGTACACTGCGTGTGGAGTACCACTTCAGAACCAAGTCGAGATGATTGCTATTGTTAGCCTTATTTGCGTAATCGCGTGCTGTGTGTTTTGGAATTTACATTTCAATTCATTCGGAGATGAGGCGATTGCTACTAAATTGAAAGCAACAAAGGTTTCAACCCAAAAGAAGAAAAAGTGAAACAAAGAGCAGCCATCTTCGGAAAACAATTGAACTTGTTTAACAATCCAGCTGTTTTCCTATGTAATTATATATGTTTCAAGGTTAATTCCTTTGTAACCTCAAAAATATGCTTATGTAAGCATATTTCCGCCATTTTGTAACGCATAAAATCAACGTCCAAGGCTGCAGTGATTACATACACCGACTCAGCATATTTTAAGTACAAAAATATAAATATCAAGTTACTTCTGAATGATTTTTCACTTATTTTAAAAGGTAATCCAATGCTTACACAGAAATAATGTTAAATTATTACAAAAAGTTTGTTTGTTTATTTTAATTCTACATACTTGAAAATCGTAAACAAATCGTCCGAAATCAAATGAATTCCATCCTGGTCCAGAACCAGCCCGCCATCGGGCGCACACGATAAAATTACATCATTAAATTTCCCGCGTATTTTGTTTTGCTGTAAACTGTATTCTGGTTGATTTTGCTGCGTTATATACTGTCGTGTATGAAAAATTAGTTTTAAGAGATGCGCTTAACGTAACTGTTCGTTTATAATCTATACATTAAATAACACAACTCTGGCGCACGCACGCGAACACCGTCGATTTCCCAAAAAACGGACAGACAATGAGGACACAAAAAATGGTGGTAATGGCGGCGCCAGGGTGATGTGTGTTGGAATTAAAATAACACTTAAAAATTAGTATCCGCCGGTCTGCGCCTGATAGACCTCGATGGTGTCACCCTCCTGCATCTCTAGAGAAGTCGGCGTATCCATTTCGTTAATCGGGTTGCCATCAAAGCGGAATCTCACCACATTCATACTGAGACCCTGTTGGAATTCGTTGATAATAAGAAATACAATTGGGATTAAATGCTAGTTGTGAGGTTTTCGAACTTACGGCACGTTCGCAATATGCGCTCATGAGCTTCCTAAGTGGGGTGTGCTTCTTGATTTTGAATTGAACTACAGTGTTGTCCTGGCCCAGAACTTTCAAGTTCAAGCTTTCAGGGTCTGTTGGCTGATAACATAAAATAAAACGTTAAAATTTCGTAGAATAAACATATTATTCAAATAAACTAAAAACTTGTTAGTATTAAAATAAATTACTTAACTATTCACTGATTTTGTTGACAATTTCAAGCATTACAGCAATTTTATAGAATAAAAAATCACCACTCTTGTATTCTACATCAATCGTTATGTATTTTCACAAATTGACACATAGCACAAACATTGGGATAAAAATACGTTATAATTTCGAATATTGTATTAAAACACAAGTGAAATGTACTTTTGCTGTTTCAGTCTATCATACTGCACAATTTATATTCCGAGAATCATGTAAAAGTGAAATTATAACCGCGTTAAACGGCGATAAAATTTATGTGTTTATCAAAGCCCAATCTTTGCTGAAACATGGAAGTTTGGTGCGAAACAAATGCGAGAATTTAATGCCGCTTGACGTTTTATGGTTAGGTGTCGGAATATCTTACCTTCTTATCGTCACCCATTGCGAAATTCGGCTGGTTTTGAGATTACCGGAAGATGAGAACACTAGCGTTGATCCGAACGACCGTTGAAGCGGCGAGATGCAATGCGGCAAAGGCGGTTTCTTGCAGAAAACACACGCAGCTAAAGCAGCTTCACCAAATAATGGCCGGCTTTCTGGTATGATTATTCGGCAACAGATTCGAAACGGAAGTGACCTCGCAGCTCAATTGAACACAGCCACGCGGTGTTGCCAAACTGAAACCACCCCAAGCAACAATCAATTTTTAAAATTAACATAGTTGCAAATGAACATTAATTATAACAACCAAGTAAAACATTAATTTTCAATATTCACATTAAATTTAGCATCGATTTTCTTGTCACTTATGATAGTTATTTTACATCAACACATTTTGTTGTCACACTGCGCTAGTCAACTGCAACGAACAAACGATTAGCGCCAAAACGTAAACAATACAAACATCGACAAATTAATTTGTATTATTGCAGCATTTTAAATTATATTTACTCGTTAACAATCTAGTGTTGCTGAAATGTTATTAATATATAAGAAAAATAACGCGGGTCTTTTTGCTTTTAGCCTTACCGGATGTTGAGGTCGATATTTTCAAAATGGCAACTTCGCGCTTGTTTTCTCGGTCGTGAATGCAAGAGGTTATAAAACATTTCACAACAAACGATTCTTGTGTTTCTTCTCATCGTCCAATAAAATTTGTATTTTAGTTAAAACCAAGCCAAGAACGTTGTGAAATCAGGTGAGTTTATATCAAAAACATGAATGAGTAAAATCTACATTAATAACTTTGATATACTTGATATACTTTGATATACTATACTGAGAACTATGTTTTTTAGCAAAACAGCTTCAAAATGATCATTCCGGTGAGATGTTTTACTTGTGGAAAAGTAATTGGCAACAAATGGGAGGCCTATTTGGGCCTGCTTCAAGCTGAATACACAGAAGGTGATGCTTTGGATGCCCTAGGCCTGAAAAGATACTGCTGTAGAAGAATGTTGTTAGGTCATGTGGATTTAATTGAAAAATTGTTAAATTATGCTCCACTTGAGAAGTAGAATATAGTAAAATAGATAATAGGAATAAATTTTGTTTGTGATAATCTTTTAAATTTATTTGTTTTATTTTTAAGGCGCATGTGCGCAACAAATAGACATAACCTCAAAAGTAGTATTATTCACTTATTTTACCACAAAACTTTAAAATTTGAACCAAATGGCAACTAAACCATGGAGGAAAATTTTATATGAAGACCAAGGCTACCCCGATAACTACACAGATAAATTATTCCTATGGAACCTGAAACGTGCCGAAAAATACAAACCAACAACCCTAATAGATGCTATCAAAGGCTCTCTGCATCTAACAGAAGAACTGTGCACAGTCACACTCTTCATACTGATCTACATGTTCATCTACAACGAATGGCTGCCGAACGATACAATATTCCACTCAATGAATACACTAACAATCCTTATATTCCTGGTGCATAGATTCAGTGACAAAAGAGATCTAAGAATCAAAATTGGAAATGATGTAAGAACATTGCTGATATTCTTTGTGTTTGGACAGTTGTTCTCTCCCCTGCTGCATACTTTAACAGATACTATTAGTACAAACACCATTTATACAATGTCTACCATGATGATGTTAATTCATCTGATATTTTTTGATTATGGTGTGCCAATTGCTTTGGTTTCCAATAGTTTTTCCCTGAGTGCTGCTGTGTTTGCCTCAATTTGTCTGGCATCACGACTTGCATCGCCAAAAGATGCGTTTATACTAATAACAATTGCCATTGAAATGTTTGTGTTGTTTCCATTATTGAGGAAGAAGTTTCAGCAGACAATCATCATGTCAGTATTATTGATAGTCATTAATTATGGTGTTCTATTACATGTATCCTTATTGTTAACCATTGAGTTTACATGCCTTATCATTTTTATAAACTTAATTTGTCCAATGTTGTACATCCGGTATCAACACTTCAAAGATAACATCTACGGGCCGTGGGATGAGGCGATTGTCCAGGAAGCAGATCACATTAATGATTTGTTATTAAAGAAGACTTCCTAGTTATTTTAAAAATTCATTGACAAAACAGTGTATTAGTTCATTATATCTATAGTTTATTATAAAAAAAACTTGTAAAGTTATTACCAAAATGTTTGTAATAAAAATACCTTATCGCACAGGGACGAATTGAATAAGGCGTTTGATTTTACGCAAAAGGACATCCATAAATCCTGCATCAGCTTGCGAACGACCCTGAGAAATAATGTCAAGCATTGTAAATGAAAATAAATAATTTTAAATAAGTTTCTTACCTGTGAAGTCTCAATAAGTCTCCTACAAAAACTATCGTTAAAGATAGAAACCAATCCTTGTTTTAAATTACTGATGTCATCTGTGGTCACCCTCCACATTGCTTCTGACGATGAAGCTAAGGTACCTGTTATCAAAATAAAATTTATTTTAAAGTTCAAATAAATTTTTTAGTTTTAAAAACTTACTGTTCATGTTTAAGGCTGAATTCGTCACATTTAAACCATAACTTTTCGCTTTTGGAATGGCTTTGAGCATGTAATAGTTCAAATGTGCCCAAATGATGTACATAGCATGCTCGATGATTAACAAACAATGATCAATATCGTGCTTTTTCATCACCAGTTTAGCACTGATCATCTCCAGCGCCTCATCTCGCATAATGCTTACATCAAACCCTTCACCGACTCCAAACTCCTTTAAATCCACCGCATCTAAACCAGGTATTTCATTCTCTTTACGTTGTAAAAAGTCCAAAGTACCTCTCTCTTTATGGTAGTAATTGACATTGTTGATTAACTCTTGAACAACAACTCCCAGCGACGGCGAATGATCATTGTAGTTCTTTTTATTGGCGCCGTTTACACCAATCAAAAGACTGTCATTTAATGTCGGTTGTAAGACAACTCCGACACTATCATGATCAATTCCATTACTCTGAATGATATTTCTACAATACAAGAGAAGATTTCCGATGATTTCCAGCGCGTAGGATAATCTCTCTGATGTTTTGTATGATGCTTTCTCATTGTGTGGATCACACAACAATTCTCGTAGGATACTCTCTTGAAGAATGAATTTCGGAACCAATGCCAGCATCAGTTTTTGTACACGACACAACTGTGACCGATTGTTAATCGGCTGACCATCAACAATCTGGTTATCAAACGTGCTCAACACATCATTATTTGCAGTTCGGGCGATGATAGAAGTCACCATTGATATTTCCTTTAGAGATTCCAGCGACAACGACGGATTTGCCGAACGCAACACCAATTCAATCACGTCTAAGTGGTTCAAGAGGAAATTGATGATTTGAGTAACTGCGGCTTGATGATCGGTTCCCAAACTAGTCAACATGGCGTTGCAGAGATATAAACTAGGTTCCCATATTTGTAGATATCTCTGTTGCACGGTCATAATCAAATGATCCTCATCATCATCCTGTAAATGTTTAGATAACTCCGGATGGAAATCAAACACTTTCATCGTCGACAATACCGTGAAAATTTTATGTTCCAATAATAATTCTGATCCAATTCGTGTTGTAGCAATTCTTGCAAGAAAAGACATCTTAGCATCAAACAAATAAATGCTCTTCAAACTCTCCGGTAGTGGTTCAAGAACATCTCGAAGATCTTTATCCATTTTCAGTATACTTTCAATAATATGTTTGAGATATCCTCTTCCGGCCATGTGACCAATCCAATTCACGCTTCCGCTCAACCCCAACAATAAACTGAAGCATGATAATGCCAACATTTTACAAATTTCCTGCCCGCCTGTACAATCATAACAAAATACATCTATCAACTTTTCTCCAAAATTTGATAGAACATGAGAGGAAATATACACAGATGATATCTCATCCTGTAATCGAAACTTTGAGTTATCCAAACGGCTGACATACAAACTATCATTGACTTTGTTTTCCTTCGGGTCGTCAATCACGTGAATCAATTGCAAGAAAGTCGCGAGGGCGGCGTATAAATTAATCCGCAACTTCTGCGACTGATTATCTGAGATGATAATCCATTGCACAAGATTATTCAAAATCGTACGAACCAGAGGCATGTTCAAATCAATCATACTCCTCGTATCGTATTGTTTATCATGGAACAACATCTGATTGAATTTCTGATCTTTAATGTGACTCTTTCTCATGTTTTCGATCAATAACATGACAGTCCCTGAGAGATAATTGGCAACATCAGGTTGTAGCACAAGTTTGACACTCTTATTCAAAATAACATCCAGGAGATAAATCTGGAGTAAAACTTGGTCCTTGGGTGCGATAATCTCAATTGGAAGGTAGGTAATCATCACCTGTACGACTTGTCTCCAAGCATCAACGAATTTCGCTACTAGCAGCAGTTTTTCGTGAATTATTGATGTTAACAGCATGTAGCAACACTTTCTGTAACTCATCCATCATGGCCTGGCGTTGTCCAAGCGCTGTAGTCCCTTGTGCGGCGGTAATTTCCTCAATCAAATTGCGATGTAATCTTTTAATATCAATTAGCTTCGGATTACCTTCCTGTTCGCAACCAGCAAGGTAATTTTCAAGGGAATTCTGATCAAAGAAACCCCATTCGGGTGCGACTATCTTCTGCATACTTAAATCAAAGTTAGCGATAAGTTTCACCAAGAAATTGTCTTGTTTCAAGTGTTCAATAGTCATAACAAAGTCTTCAGTGCGTGGTTCGCCGGTTTTCTCACTCAAATCAAAGAAATCCGGCTGCGCTTCGGCCGGCAGCCCAACGAGGACAGAAGTAATCTGTTTCAGATTAACAATCTGTTTGTTACAACATGCCAGGCGTAATTCAATCGCCAATGTTTTTAATAACCAAGACATCTTGTTCAATTCATGTATACCATTTGTATAATTATGATGGCAGTAGTTGATGTGTTTCTTAAAAACAACTGTTGACTTCTGATTAAACGCAAGACAGGATCCGCCGTTTTCGGGTTTGAACACAGAGAATACAACATGTGATAACATTCTTCAATAATACTCTGATCTTGTTCCAACCGTCCAAGGAGAATGTGTCGCAAAAGAGTTAATAGTGAATGAATACAAGATCTCGGCGTATTCAACACACCAGGCAGTTGAAAAACAGTAGTACTCACATCTCTCTGCAGATCAAAACCAAATAAAAACTGACTTAAGTTCGGCGAGTTATACGGCAGGCACTGATGCAATAAACTAAAAATCTCTTTCTTCGTTAAAGCAATATACTCATTTTCATCATCGAGGACTTCATCCAGACATTTAACAAATCCGTGAAGGTAAACCTTCTCTTGATTACTTGAAAGAAGAATATTCATAATCTGACTGTGTGTTAACTGTGAACTAGTCAACGCTCGCAGAATCTTCAAAGCAACAAGACATTGTTTCGGAAGTTGTGATTGATAATTCAAATATTTCACAATGTTTAAGATATAATCTGGGCGTCCGGATTGAGGGTTGAGTGTCAAGAGTAACTTATGCATGTTTACCAACAGTACCGGACTGCTGGACGATGTTAGAAGATTGAAAAACTTCGATTGTAATCTCAAACATCTGTCTATAATGCACATCGCGTGATAAGTCGCAGTATCCAAATGTTTTTCACCTGGGAAAGGCACGCAAGCATCGTAGACTTTATTACCTTCGTTGATAACAAATAGAAGTCCATTGAACAACTCCGATTTCGAATGGAGTTGTAACATGAGATGAAAACCCGGCGGAGAGTTAAACTCATTCTGTTTGTTGATGTTTGGAAAATCAGTGCCTTCAGGTTCATAAACCGTGAGAAATTTATCGAATAATTTTATGCAAAGTGCAGCAATCTCCCATTTTTCTGATGGATTTTTATAGTTGCGACTGTTAAACTTCAAAAACACCGAGTTTACGATGAAGAAGAGATACGGATCAAAACCAGGTTGTCGTGGTCCAGCACCCAAAGTCCTAGGTATTCCTGAATTCGTTAAAATGTCTATCAAAGTCAAGAAAGCTCTTGTTAATGGATACTCCTCCAAACGAGATTCGACTTCATCTAATTCAGTTTGTATTCCCCTCGGTTGATAGCTAGATGTTGATGGAATCGTTACAAGAATCTGGGAAGTTTCCAGATTGTTCCAGATCTGCGCTGCTATCTCCTTTGACTTCGCCAGTGACGCCAAGACTTGCAACATGTCCGCTTTCAGTGGAATCGGTATGGAACAACTGACAAGTCCCAGGAGGACATTTAATGGTGCCCAACCGGGATGTTCACATAGCGCAAGTCGAGAAAAATCATCATTATCACTCACTGTTTTCATCAACATGAGTACCGCATGCAAACCTTCGATTTCCTGCGGTGTTATACCCTTGGTATAAAGTCTACTATGTCTGTATATTGATTCTGATACAGGCGGTAAATCCTGTTTCAAATTGGCGTTGTATTGATTGAAAGACATAAAGAAATGATCCCAACTGACAGTATTATTATACCCTGATGGTTGTTTTAACATATTGAAACAATTACGTGCGCCTTGCTGACAATTACACAACGCACGCAAAAAATTCAAGTAATGAACAAACAAAGATGGCGGCAACATGTCTCCAGCAAGCCGGACAAATTTAAACAATGCCACTGACCTTGGATGTGTCCTATAATGAGCCAGATTGTGTGTGCTGTCGATGGGACACCAATAATCCATCATTAACTCCAATTTATTTGGATCCTTGCTGTAGAGTTTCGCCAGAGCATTGAGAAGACTTTCAAAGTACCTCGATAAATTCGCGGGTAATTCTAAACCTTCGTGAAGGTACGACTGAATTGTTTTCGCTGTTTCGTCAGCTTTAAGACGCAAATCTTTGATTTTCGGATACATTTGCACCACGAAATCGCAAAACAAATGATGCACACGTTTTACCATGAATTCCTCCTGGAAAAACTGGTCGTTGTCGAGGAATTTCACCGCCATGAAGTCGAATACGTTCATCACAATTGCCGCATCGATTAATTCATCTTCTTGATCTACCAAATTCTGCATATTTTGGCCTTGGCTAACACTCCGCAGGGATGATAAACAAACAGAAAACGCAAAAGCAGCCACAGCTTGAAGTCCCTCGCATTGCCATGTCGAATTTTTCGGGCTTAGCTCTTTCGTAAGCGTTGTAATCAGTGTTGGATCCGCTAAAATCGGCAATTTTTGCACAACTTCTTCGCCATCTTCTCGAGTATGCAACACACTTAAATCTACACCGTAAGTTAACGCCATGATCAAATACAGTGTAACATTATCCAACTTTCCAGATGCTTCTTCTTCAAGTTTCACTTCTTTCAAATGTTGTATGAGTGCCAACATTGAAGATTTATTTAATCCACTCTGACATGATAGAATAAACAAACAATCAGCCAGCAATAGTTTGATTGAGTTGAATGTGTCTGTTATTTGTTTCCGGTGAGTTGGTCCACCAAGCGCTAAGTTATTCTGAAGTAATTCTAGTTCTTTAGTCAGATCCATTGATTTAAGCAATTCTAGAATTCTAGTTATCAAGCCATTCTCAAGTAGTTGGTCTGTGTAAGAATTTATAAATCTTTGAATTGATGGTGGCAAACTCATAGCCCAAGAAACGCCAGTTCTTGCCTGAAGTAACATCCTCAAAGTGGAAACTAAGTATTTCCTGCCATCATAATATAATGCAATAGCTACTAAACCTCTTGGTAGATCAAGAAAGTAAGGTAGTTGCATTTGTGCAGTGCATAGCAAATCCAAAGCCACATATTCATTCATATCATACATGTCTGAGATGATTGTGACCTCCTGAAAGAGTTCCTTGGAAAGCACATGATGGCCAATGCCTTTGATAGCAATTCCATCTTCTTGTCCCTTCTTCAGCTCTTCCCTTTGTTTTTGGTTTTTGGGCTGAATAAGAATATATTAAAGTTATTACATTTTTAACAATGTTTAACATACCAGATTGTGTAGTAATGAAAAGAAACTCTGTCGGCATTTTCGCAGGACCTTCTCGAAGTCACCATACGTGCTAGGATCATTATTTTCGGACGTTAAATGCTTGTTTACGGTATCGAACAAGTCTCGGTATGGATACCACAAGTCTTCTGTTTTTGCTACAAAATTTATGAATTAGCTATTTAAAATACATTGTTCAATTTGAGTAATACCTTCACTCATTTTAGAAACGTTGCTCAGTACGTCCACAGACTTTTGCTAGTTGTTAATGTCCTGGGTAACACTGGAAGGCTTCGATTTGTTTTAACTTTACGATTTTATAAACGAACACTAACCACAAACGCACATCAACTGTTCCCGGCGTTTTTCTACATGTGTTTGATGTACTGCAGTACAGATCATGTTAAAAACGAATGGTCTCCGTCTAGGGAACAGAACATTCGCCGGTAGAGCGCGCCACTATCCTATTGGTACTCGTTTAAAATGTAAACTTTAAATCCTTACGTTGCTGTGGACACCGTCGGAAAAAATTCAACTTGAAACGAAAGAGATAATCTGAAAAGCTAAAAAAATCTACTATTAATTAATAACCTTACAAAAATGAACAGGAACCACACCATTATATTCAATAATAAAGAAAAAGATAAATGCTAAAACAGGTTTTTTAAATAAATGAAGTAAATAACTACAAATTGGCTTGTGTATTTTTTTATATAAAAATTTTTGTTTATTGAAAACAATTAAATTATGGAGGCCTTCCTCAACAAAAATAAAGATAAAAGGATTTCTTTTATTTCCAAGTTTTATATAAATATAAAAATCAAATACATAATTCATATCAAAACGGTTAAAAAATATAAGGTTTACGTTTATCAGAATATGAACAGCCATTGATTGCAAAGCTCTTAATGATATCTCCTCACTGGATAATTATGCATCGTGTTCGGGCCAAAATTAGGGCCATATCTGGGCGGTTGATTTGGATTCAGAAGTGGGCGTCGCGGGAAAAAACCTGGACGCATAGCGCGATGTCCTTGCTGGGAGCCCATAATACCAATGCCCATTGGTGGTGGTACAGCTCCCGGTCCCATCTGTTGGGTATATCCAATTAGCGGATTGCGTTGCGACCCACTCTGCTCGTGATACTTGCTGGGATATCCACCTTGCTGATTCTGGGGCCTATTGTTCCTTCGCTCAAAATCACTACTGCTATTGCTCTCTCGCCTTTCCCGTCGCACAAATTCTTGCATCTGAGGTTGCTGTGGACGTCGCTCCTCCTTCTCGTCCTTGTTCTCGCTCAATTGCGCAAGTATCTGCGCCGGGGTAAGCGACGCGAAAGATTGGTGTTTGAGTACATTTTTCAGGAGGCTTTGTGCATTCGCCAGAAAATCGTCCTCGGTAACGTTGGCGCCAAACTCTTGAGTACTTGGCATGCACTGCACGGCGACGTCAATGCGTTGAATTTGCTTGAACTTTGTACACTTTTCACACTCATAGTCAGAGGTTTGTGATATCGCATCTTCAAAAGTCTTCTGCTGCAAATCGTCACCTGTTGGAAGAATAACGAGCTTTTCCTTTATATCCAGCCGCGCCAATAACCTGCTGAGAGATGTGGGCTGCTTTTCGTTGACAGTGCGTTTTGATGTGAATCTGAAGTGTATAGGAGAACCAAACTTTGGACTTCCACATCCCGATGTACTCGGTGATTGAGTGGAATCGATCTTTTGGAGACGGTTTACGCAGCTGTAGAAACGGCCGTTCGGCCGCTGCAATTCCGATATTAGCGTCAATGCGTCTTGACAACGATTTAACACTACAAGTTTACAAATCCCAATATCACTTAAACAATACGTTCAATTGCCTTATTTCAATAAAGCATAGTTAACTAAAGCTCCAATTTCGCAAATTTCACTTCTGCTTACAATCAGAACTTTTACATGGTAAATATTATGTCAATAAACTAGACTCACCTTTAACTTTGTGTGCTGGGTGGATTTGTTGTGCATTGTCTAAGAAATAATGACAAATGTGATTAATTGATTGCTTTTTCTAAACAGTCTCAACTTAATGAGCAACATACAAAGAAATTCTTACCAGATCTTTGCGTTAGTTTAAGATATTCCGTGAGTGATATACTGTCATCGTTGAAAAGCTAAAAAAACCAACAACACTTAAATGCTTCAAGTTAAATTTTAACTTCCAAAGAGGTTTGCCGCATACCGCTTCAATTTAGCAAAAATTATTGCTGCATGTCATCGACAATGATTATATTATTTTTGTTTAATGATTGATGTGCTTTAATTTCATATGAAATCTGATCGATTAGCTCAATAAATCTATTTTTAAGCAAATTCCGCGTTTAACGCTCAAAAGTTGTGAGTGAATTTAAGCAAACAGCATTACAACTATTAAATTAAAATTAGATCAACTAAAACAGACAAAATTTCATAAAATATAGTAAATTACCTTCTTAGTGGCCTCCTCGTTTGTCTCAACTTGAAAATTATGCGCCGGCGTATTCATCTGCTCATATGATACACAACCCTGCTGGTATCCGACACTATAAGGATTTGGATCCACTACGTGCCCACTACCCACAAAAAACGATTGATCGTATGATGCACCACCGACGTATTGCGTATGGTCCATCGCCGGCACCATTTGCGGCACCGGCATAACTCCCAGCATGCTATGACTGTATTGATTATGGCTATTGTGTGAACTACTAGAGATATCGCCATTAATCTTCGCCGTAATATTCTTCATGTGATCATACTCAATTCGCGCTAGTTTGCGATCTAGTTCTTCAAGAAAAGATTGCTTTCGATCGGGGGATCGATCATAACTGTGTTTCGACGAGTGTCGCTCAGCTGATAACTTTTGGTAACGATTCAAGGAGCGAGAACGATGTCGAGCTCGATCTGGACTGTGACTGCGAGATCGTAGCCGTTTTCGGCGATTATCATACCGTGCTTCGTACAATGGCTGGGGGATAGGTGAACGTGTGCGAGACCGACGACGATATGGTGGTGAATAGCGCTTGCGAGTATGAATCGTCTGCACAGGTGGTGATCGACGTTTCCGGTGGAATGGTGACGGGCTCCGCGAATAAATACGTTTTGTTGGACGCGATGGCTGTCTTACATCAGTAGCAGCAGCAGGTTCATCCATTTCAGTTCCTGGTGGCACTAATCCTGTCTCAAGTATGCGCAGTTTTTCCGTGATGCGTTCCTTCTCGCATTTTGCTTTATCGCGCTGTATATCACGGTTTACCTTTTCAGGATCGCGCCGACTATCGGTATCATACTTACGCGTTTTATTCCGCTCTCTTGGCTTACCTTCCAGAGACCGAGATCGCGATTTGGATTTCCTCTTGGGAATTGTATATTTTTTCAACTTATCTACTTTACTACCAGCAGGCCCATCTTTTTTTAAATCACCAGCATCAGTAATTATATTTTCAGGCTCGGTAGATGTTGTAAGATTAGTTTGTTCTTTCTCCACAGTTTCTGTATATGGCATCTCATTTGTGCAAGCATTTTCATTGTCTATTGAATGTTGGTTCGATTCACTTTCATTGTCTTCCCATGCATCAACCACATCAAGTCCAGCTAGGAATTCCTTATTGTTGAAGTCATCAAAAAAATCTTCAGCTACATCTATTGCAGAGCACAAAACAATGCAATGTTAAAAATTTTTACCATCTTAATTTGTAATGTGTATACCATCCAGAATTGTTGAATCATCTGAAGACTTAGAGCTGTCATTTTGGGGCAACATAATTATTGTCTCTTCTAAGTTTATGGCACTTTCTTCTTTAACAACTTCATTTGCGGGAACTGTATTCTATAAAATACATGATAAAAATATCATAAATAATTCCATTAGGTTAGGTATATAGAAGGTACCGCAAGTGCCTGTGCCTCATCCACATTGCTTTCTTCTGTTTTAATAGTAGGTTTACTTTCTTTAGTATTTTGCATGGTGATCATGAAGTACTAACAGTGTTTGTTTTTTCACCCTACATTAAGCCGGAAGAATTTAGAATATCTTCACCACAAGAACGGGAAACAAATAAAATTGCGGCGGCAAAAGTGAGTCAAAGTGACCCGAAGCAAAACAGCAAACGACGTTCAAAGGAAACCCGACCAATGCCATTATAGTTCCAATCAGCCCCCTGTCACTTGAATGAGAGTTACACTCACAAGTTTAAAAATTTTCAAACTATAAATTTTATAATTTTATTGTGACTGAATGTAAAGTTATTATTTGTGTTATCTATAATTTGAATGAATAAATTAAATAATTATTTTTTTCTTATTTGAAATATTTACATTCAAGAAAAGTATTCGAAAATGTTTTTTTGTTTCTATTTATATTCCAGTTAGTAATAAATTTGGAATTATGTGTTCATCAAACTAAAATTGCTCAAAATTTATAAGATTAGTGTCCTTCCAAAAGACTCCAATTATAATTCCTACTCGTGGTCGTGTCACTTGAACATAACCTTCAAACTTTAAGGAGTTGATCGAGTCTATTTAGCTGGTGAGAACTTTCACGGATTGCACCATTCCAGTCACGACTTGCGTACATACGGTGCACTCAGATAAATTATACGATGGCTGATGAAACACAACCCAGTGAAGCCGGTGGTGAACCACCACAGAAAACAGCGAAACAACTCGCTAAGGAAGCTGCCAAGCAGGCAAAACTAGAGAAATTTAAGCAGAAGAAGGACAAGAAGGAGGCTGCACCTGCTAAGGAACCGTCTGAGGTACTCTTAACTTATAAAAGAACATATTGTAATAGATAATTGCAAAGTAAACTCAAAGTAGTTTTGCATAAATATTAATGTTTATTTTATAATTTTGCAGAAAAAGGAAAAGAAGAAGGAAGTTAAGGAATCAGCTGTCTATGACATAGACACACCAGCTGGAGAGAAAAAAGTGGTTGATAATGTGATGCCTGATGCCTACAGCCCTAAATATGTTGAGGCTGCTTGGTATCAATGGTGGGAAAAGCAAGGATTCTTCAAACCTGAGTATGGGGTGAGAATTAACACAAAATTACATTTAAACCAATTAAATATTTCAACAAAAAGTGCTTATCAAAATAGTGAAATCATTAATCCCTTTTTAATTATCAGCAACTATTGTTTTTATTGCATCACACATCAATCAATATTTTAAATTGATTTATTTTGTTTTATGTTGATTTATAAAGAGAAAATCCATCTTGGAGAAGAATCCCAAAGGCACCTTTACTATAATTATCCCTCCTCCGAACGTGACTGGATCACTTCACTTGGGACACGCATTAACCAACGCTATCCAAGACTCCATTACGAGATGGCACCGTATGAAAGGAAGAACTACACTATGGAATCCAGGCTGCGATCACGCCGGTATCGCTACTCAAGTAGTTGTAGAGAAGAAACTTTGGCGAGAGGAGAAGAAAACGCGACATGATATCGGACGCGAAAACTTTATCAAGAAGATTTGGACTTGGAAAAATGAGTAAGAACCGAGAACCCTTAAAAATATGTGTATTTAATAGGTTGTTATTGAATTTTGTTAATATAGAAAAGGTGATCGAATTTATCATCAGTTGAGAAGTCTGGGATCATCTTACGATTGGGATCGTGCAGCTTTTACAATGGATCCTAAGCTGTGCAAAGCTGTAACCGAAGCTTTTGTGCGATTGCACGAAGACGGTAGCATTTATCGCTTCAACCGACTTGTAAACTGGTCATGCACTTTGAAATCAGCCATTTCTGACATTGAAGTAGATAAGATAGATTTACCTGGCAGGACATTCCTATCTATTCCTGGATATGATGACAAAGTTGAATTTGGCGTGTTGATTTCATTCGCTTATCCCGTGGTAGACTCCGATGAGAAGATAGTCGTCGCCACAACTCGTATCGAGACCATGTTGGGTGATACAGCTGTTGCTGTCCATCCAGAAGACGAACGTTATAAACATTTGCATGGTAAATTTGTCCAACATCCTTTCTGCGATAGGAAGATCCCTATTCTTGCCGATGACTTTGTCGAGCGTGAATTTGGTACTGGGGCAGTGAAAATTACCCCGGCGCATGATCCCAATGATTACGAAGTCGGCGTGCGTCAAAAACTACCATTTATTACGATTTTTGATGATAATGGTTCGATTGTTGGTGATTATGGACAATTTACTGTAAGTTATACATAGATTGAACGAATTACACTATATATTTATGTAATTTATGCAACTTTATATACTTTTACAGGGAATGAAACGTTTTGATGCGAGAAAAGCCGTCCTTGTCGCTCTGAAAGAAAAAGGTTTATACGTCGAAACGAAGAACAATCCAATGGTGGTGCCAGTTTGCAGCCGTAGTAAAGATGTAGTCGAACCGATGTTGAAACCGCAATGGTATCTCAAGTGTGATGACATGGCTGCCAACGCTGTGGAAGCTGTGAAATCCGGCGAATTGAAAATCATACCTGACATGTACAACAAGACGTGGTACCATTGGATGGAGGGTATTAGAGATTGGTGCATTTCGAGACAACTATGGTGGGGTCATCGCATTCCGGCGTACTTTGTTAACATTAATGGGAAACCAGCAAGTGAAGACGAGAGCGAATGTTGGGTCAGCGGCAGGACTTACGAGGAAGCCTTAGAGAAAGCAAAGAAAAAGTTTAACACCGATGATGTTAAACTCTCACAGGATGAAGATGTGCTTGATACGTGGTTTTCATCTGGTCTATTTCCGTTTTCCATCTTTGGTTGGCCGGATAATACTGATGATATGCAAGTTTTCTATCCTTCGTCCTTGCTGGAGACTGGAAATGATATTATATTCTTCTGGGTTGCACGTATGGTGTTCTTCGGACAGAAACTGCTAGGAAAACTCCCATTTAAGTAAGTACTTTCAAAAAAATCGTTTATGTATCATGATGTAATCATGATTTTGTTATTTTAGGGAAGTATTTCTGCATCCGATCATTCGTGACGCTCATGGTCGCAAAATGAGTAAATCTTTGGGTAATGTCATCGACCCTATGGACGTAATCTTTGGAATTGGCTTAGAAGACCTTCATAAACAACTTCTAGACAGTAATCTTGACCCGAAGGAAATCGAAAAGGCGAAAAATGGTCAGAAACAAGACTATCCCGAAGGCATCCCAGAATGTGGAACAGACGCATTGCGTTTCGCCCTTTGTGCAATGTGTACCGGCCGTGACATTAACTTGGATATTCTACGCGTGCAAGGTTATCGCTTTTTCTGCAATAAGTTGTGGAACGCCACGAGATTCGCCCTGACTTACTTCACCAAAGATTTCCAATCCGCCAAGGACTACAATCCCACTGGGAAAGAGAGTGTGATGGATCTTTGGATGTTGAGTCGACTTGCTACAGCTACTGCCGATGCCAACAAAGGTTTCGAAACATATGACTTCCCACTAGTCACCACTGCAATCTACAACTTGTGGCTGTACGACCTTTGTGACGTTTACCTAGAATATCTTAAACCTGTGTTTGCAAGTGAAAATGTTGATGCAATTTATGCAGCACAAGTAACACTTCATAGAACATTGGAAACTGGCTTGAAGCTGCTCAGTCCGTTCATGCCTTTTATAACAGAGGAGCTCTATCAACGACTTCCAAAATCCAATGTGGAGAATGTTCCCAGTATCTGCATTGCTGCCTATCCAGAAAGTTTCGACCACTTGAAGAATGCGGACATAGAATCCGAGGTTGATTTTATGCAGAAAGTTGCTAAAGCGATTCGATCTGCCAGAAGTGTATACAATATACCTAATAAAATAAAAACTGAGGCGTATATTAAGTGTGGCGATGCCAAGACGCAAGAGATTGTCACCAAATTGTCTGCGGCTTTAGCTACTTTAGCATATTGCTCGAAAATTGATATTAACACCGACGCGCCAAGTGGTTGTACCATCATCACTGTTTCGGACAAGTGCGAAGTTCATTTATTGCTCAAAGGGTTGATTGATCCCGAGAAGGAGATAGCTAAGATGGAGAAAAAGTTGGTGTTCCTTGGTGATACCAAGGCGAAATTGGATCAGTCTATGGCCGCTGCTGATTATGCTACAAAAGTGCCCGCTGAAGTTCAAGCCACGAATAGCGAGAAACTGATGCAGACCACGAATGAAATTCAAAAGTTGGAGATTGCTATGGATGCACTCAAGTTGATGAAGTAATTAATGTGTATTTAGGTCAACTTTGCACTACGCTTGTAACTTAATATCTATGCTAAGACGCATTTAAATAAAATTTTAAAGTTTAAAGCGAAGATGAAACGTATATTCTGTGTTTTTCTTAAATTTTTGATACTAGGCAGACGTTTTAGTTGAATATAATAGTTAGACTTAGAATTTTTGCCCGAAAGACAGGGCCGCACTTGCCTTTAAAATTATTTTTGCTAGTCGACAGCTGAATTTGTTGGTCTAAAATCAAAATTGACCTTTATTTTTTTGTCTAAAAACAAGGCCTAACTTGTCCTTTAAATTATATTTTCTCAAAGATCAGGGTCAAACTCGTGTTTAAAAGCAAGGCGGAAGGCAAAGATTACCTTTTGTCGATTTTCCAATTTTCTGATAAAATTAAACTAAATTCGCTATTTAGGAGAAGATCCTCTTAGAATCAAAAACCTACAAGTCCCTTTTGGGCGTTTTCTTTTAGTTTATGAATTAATCACAATTGAAAAGCACTGCAAGTAATTAATAAAAATTTGGTGGAGGTGCCGGACATTTTAATTAGTGGTTGTATTAATTTTTGAAAACTAATAATACCATTGTGTAGAGAGCTTCTTAATTACCTAATTAAAACATCTTTTTGCATAATAGCACGAATGGTTTACCTTGTAGGTGCCTTTCATTACAACGTGTACTAGAAGCAACACTTAATTACCAAATATCTCAGAAACTAATAGAGATAAACAAAAACCGAAAACGGAATTGTGTTCAGCAAACAAATCTAAATGAGATAAGATTTTAAAATACGTATTTCTAAGATAGTGAAAACTAATTTTCCGACGCAATTTTCTCGAAAACTATGAATGTTGCAGCCAAACTTTTTGCATTTTGTTCATGCCATGATATGAATCTATAAAATGGCAGATTTAGTTTCTTGATTTTCGAAAGTTGACCAAAACCACTCGAAAAAAGTCAAGAGGTTACACTTAAGGAATTTGTGGGTCAAAAATTATTTTTTATGCTAGAACAAAATGGAAAACGCCAATCGGTATAGAACTACAATTCGATGAACAATATCAAGTCACTTTTTGATAACATCATTATTTCGGAAAATTCCGGTGAAAATCAGAACAGTCCAAAATGAACCACGCTTCTGATTTTCACGAAACTTACTAACATGATGTAGAATGATGCTAAGAATCGATTAATGTAGGTTTGGTTTTGATGACGTAACTAGTTTTCAAGTTATTGACCATTTTCACTTATTACATAAGTTTAGTTAATTGAATAATTAAAAGTGCCAAATGGTGTAAAATTATGTCTTAAATACGAATCTGAAAACGATTTTCTTTTAATCTTAATCGTTTGCAAGAAAATTGCAATAAACTGGATTTTTCATTTTCTCTACTAGTCTTGAGACAAAAATTAAAAATTTAAAATGTGGACTTTTGAATGCAGAATATCAAAGAAAACATGATTGCAAACATCTTATCTTAGTAACATTTCGTTAATTAAAGCTTTATTGCCACATTAAATTAACATTAAAGGACGAATAAAATTTGACTTAAAATCGGTTATTATAGGATAATCAATTACTTGGAAAACAAAATATTACTAAGACAAATGATTCATAAACACGTGTTCTCTCAGCTCCAGGATTAGAAAATATACAATTCCAGTTTTTTTTAGTTTAAAAAATAAAGAAGAAAATGATTCAGCATTTTTTTTTGAACTTCGCACAGAAATTGTTAAAATGGTTTCCAGATTCGTTAAGATTCCGAAATTTAAGGATCATTTTTCGTCAACCAAATGAACTTGCGAAGAAAAACAAGCAGGACTTAAAGGACCCAATGAACATGCTGCAGAATATAACGAGCTACTGTAAAATAGAAGCTTAAATGATTTATTCCAAGAAAAGAAAAAGGAGAATGGCGAGTACCAGCTAAAAAAGGAGACCTGCAATCGCGGTAAGCAAACGACCAACTCGATAAACTAGAAGAAAAACAAAAATTGTATTAGCTATACACCCAGCGGAATCTCTAAACTCGCCTTAGTCACAGCGGAGTGAAAAATACAGCATTTAAATATCAAGACGACTTACCAGCAATATCCACCTAAAAAAGAAACTACGGGATCAATGGTTATATGATAGGGTTGTATTACAGTAAATATATTAATTTAGTTTAAGTTTTTTTTTTCATTGCTAGCATAAATATTTGATATTTCGTACAATTACTGTTACTCACATTACGAAACTTCTTGCAATCTGCAACCTGTATATGTTGATTTGATATTATTATATCTATTGCACCTCTCAATCGGTTGCACATCGTATTCAATATCTTCAAGGTTTCATTAGTTTCTCTTCAATATTATTTATCACAGCTAAAACTATAAAATATAATGTTCTCTTGTTTCAAGTCTTCGTTCAGTTTGTTTCAGTTTTAGTGTCCTCCCTTTAGCTTTTAATAATTTACGAATCATAGCATAAATTAATGAAAAACTATCTGTTAAATGACTTGGTAAAACTGCGCCGCACTTCGGATGAGTGAGTATACTTTAATATAAATAAATTTGAATAAAATTAAAATTGACTAAACCCGCACAAAAGTAATTTTCGGGCGCAAATTTTGACTGATGTAGAAACAAAAAATTACATAAAAACAAACACCGTTAGTCTCACTAATCAAATTTGGCCCATTGACTTTGCGTCTTCACCGACGTGTTCGAATCAAAGCTGCCAAACTCTGCGAATTTATCGAGGCCATACTTGGCGAGCAGTACTCGATCCTCGCTGTCATACGTGGAGCGTGCGCTAGACGATGAGACGCCATTTTGTCGCAGGCTGGGACTATCATAGTCATACAAAGGATTTGACATGCTCAGCGGCGCAATGCCGTCGTGTGCGATCACCGATGAGTTCGATAGCGACGTAGAGCTGTTGGACTTCAACGGATCGAATTCGTCCATGTCCGAGGAGGAGTCCAATCGGATGAGATCCTGCGTGTCGTCTTCAGCCTTCTATAAACGATAATTTACGCATGATTGCTGGTGCATGTGAATTGTGCGCACAATAGAAAATATGATGTGTAGATGGCGTAATGAAACGTGGGCGTAGCAATCAAACAAATAAAAGCGCCAACAAACCAATCAGCAAACCAAATAAACACAACAAAAAACAAAACCACATTACCTTCGTCCGATAGGGCGAAATGATTGGAGGTGTGAGTCGTACCACGTCGACGGTGTGCTGATTGGCGAGAAGGAAGACGGGCGTACCGTTCTCCCTCCCGCCCACCACAAAGGGCGTGGCGCCGAAAATGTCGTGCGAGCTGCGCACCGGCACCGGTGGCGGCGAGAAGACGTCATCGGGCGACTGCAGAAGATTCTGCGTGTCGGGTGGTTTGTGCGCGTGAAAGAGGCGTGTCGGGGGTGTGATCGCTGGCGCACTTGTGCGCGAGGAGGGAAATAGCCAACGGTCGGGACTGGTATTGTTGTTGGGGGTGGTGTGGTTTACGGTGGAATGTTTAAAGTTTTCGAGACTGCGCACAGGTTTCAGCTGCAAAACAAGTGGAAAAGAACACAAGTGCTAACGGAAACGTATTAACCAAAACAACGAAAAGCAAAATCGTAATGTAACCAAACTAAACAACCAAAATGAGAATTGTTAGCCACACCTGTCATTGATAAACCAAGTTCAACCAATCAACCAACAATAAAAATAAAACCGAAATAAAAGCCCAATATTCGCCCCATACTCACAGATCGGTCCACGGGAGGCGTTTCGTATTTGTTCTTAAGGTAGTCCTCCATCTCGTTGAAAAGATCCATCTGAGGAATGTGAATCGTGGGCGAGACGCTTCGCGATTGGTCGATGGTGTCGGGCGACATTGGACTCAGTGGACTATACGGCCTGAATACCACAAACAGGGAGGTTATGTGGCATTTGTGAATAAATTGCGTACTGACCTTTCGCTGCCGGTCGGATTACCGAAACCCAGCGAGCGACGCATTCCCGTGGGGGAATTGGGCGCCGATTGCGGCTTGCCGATTTTATCCACGCCATTTCGTAACTGGTGCGGACTCTGATTGTCCTTTAACTTCATCTTAAACTCTTTGTACGCGCCCTTCATTCCTTTACCGCCATCTTTAACCTAAAAATGCAAAAATTACATTATCAAACATCCCAACGGCCATTTTGTGCATGTTTTTCACATCACACAAAAAGTACTCACGGTTTTAACAGCCGATTTCACTGCAGGATTGGCCTGTGAATTAAAAACGTCACACACATTTAGTGCAAACAACACAGCAAACAAAACAAGTTATATTTTAAACTAAACAGAACATACCTTATCTTTAACGCTTTTAATAAACGCAGAACCTTCCTTTTTCATTGAGGACGCCCACTCACGATACTGTTGTTTTAATTTCGAGGATGATTTCTCTGAATACGAACAAACTTCCTGTTCGAATGCGTCCGAGAAACCTGTGCCATTGTTGACCATTTCCAGTCGTTCTTCGATGAACTAAACATGCAATAAATCAATAAAACGCAAGACAATAACTTTATTTGATTGGTACCTGCTGGAATATTTGTAAGTTCAGCATTTCTCTCAGAAACGGTTGTGAAGACAGCGGCCGCGTTTCAATAAAACTCTCCTTGTCAAAGTCCACCTTCTGACCGGGACGCATTTTCAACGCATCGCGATATCCACCAATCAGTTTCACCAATGCTTGCAGAAACGCTCGCGATACACCATCGCCCAGTAATAAATTTCTATTCTTTAATTGTTTCTTTAATGAACCTACGACGTCGCTAGGCAAATTGTTTAGATCATCGAATGGTGTTTCAATTTTATTGGTGTCTGCATCCAAGATGACAACTTCGCCGATTTCAGTTCTATTAACTTTCTGTAAACACAAACCATCATAATAAATTTCCCCAAAACAAAAAATTAAAATTTTTATGTTTAACCTTTAAGACTTCTTCTGGTACACCGATTAAAAACGGCATCGGCGCCAGCAAGTAATCCATAAGCGCCATGGGCAACACCGGAATGAAAATATGCTGCCATATCATCGGATAGATGACATCGTTGGCACTTTGCACGCACGCAGAAAGCCGCGTCAGTTTTCGCGACGTGATAATAATACGCCTCTCGTACAACATCGACGCGAAGATGACGATCATGTTGTTCGTGTCGATGGCGTTGTAGTATTCCGTAAGGTTGCGCTAGAAAACAAAAGCAACAAAACAAACGTAAGTAAAGTCAATTTCGTTTATAAATAGCCGCAAGGGTGGAAGTTATACATAGAATCGAGAATAAAAACACCGAACACAATCAAAGCGAGAGACAAACTTAGGTGTCGGACGCGATGCGTGGCGTGTAGCGAACAATGAACACGTCCGAAATGGAAATTAATGAGACGGCGAACTTACGTTTTCTGGTATGCTCGGAAGTTGGAACGGCTTCGGACTTTCGACCGTAAACGTCTGCAATAATGTGAGTTGTGTATTATTTACATGTAGTACAATAGGTATGGGTTGAAAAACAAAAGTTTACCGTAGGTATTTTGTAAGTTTAAAACATGTTTAAAAGAGAAATGCAAGTACATAGTACTTTGCGTTGATTGCAAATGGATGTAAATAGGTATTGAGTGTGTGTAAATGTGTAGGTGTTGAATTGTTTAAACAGGCACGTACACTACTTCCGCGATGAAATGGAACCGAAAACGGTTTTCCGGGATCGGCTAGTTTGTGTGCGTAGACGGCGACGAGGAATTCGCGCAGGTCGTCCGCGCGGGTGCTCTGCATCAGGAGGCCGATTTTGTCCAAGAACCTGCAATAAAAAGAGAAAAGTAGCAAAAGGTTTCACAACAAAGTTCAGGCATAATTTATTATTTAGTACTATATAAGTATAAGAATCCTGTTAATGCTTTTTAATAGTGTTACCAAAAAGAATGAGTCATTACAATAAAATTTCTTCTGGTTTGAGTACGTCAGCAGAAATGAATTTTATAGTGCAGCCAGAGTTCGCAGAATCGCCGCTGAAATCACGTTTCCATTTCGCGTTCACGATCGGCTGGTTCGGAGATTTGAATGATTTGAATGGCGAATGGCATTTTAAAGTGAGCTGCACGTGGCGTGATGCCGACTGTGAGTGATTGTCATTCGTGTTTTCCTGGTTTATTTGTTAGAGAAATAAAGAAAACGCGAAATAATGTGCAGGTTGGTCGGTGCGTAAAACAAACTATTCGAAAGTGAAAAGCACTCACTTTCATCAATTGCAGGTATTTGAGGAATATTTTCTTTCTTGTCATTTGCGCAAAATTTTGATTCTGTATAGTTTTAGCGAAAAATTTCTTAATAAAAAATAAAAAACTTCTTAATGCATAGTTCTTCAATAAATCTAAATTCAATATATTCATTAATTTTACTTAGGGTTTTCATAATTTTGAAATCAATAAAAATATAGCTATAAATTAATGATTGGCCTGTAGATAAACACGTTTTAAAAATGGGAAAACTAGAAAATCCACTGCCAACAATTCAGCGAGATGACAATATACCACAAATCGCATCTATACAAATAAAACCGGATTTTCCTGAAACCACAATATTCACTTGTCCATATAAAAAGAAAGTAAGCACGAAACAAAGTTGCGGCGCAATATTACGAAGCAAATATTCCCTTCATAGTTTATCCCTCAATACACTGCAAATATACCAATAATAAAAATGATAAAGATAACACCGGCACAAACAAACAAAATAAATGCTATTAACACAAAAACCTAATGCTGCAAGTATGTATATTATACCTCAATATTACACGTCAATATCTAATCAGATTAATTACAATCCGCAAATATGCGTCCCAGTTGGGCTGACGTGCCGATTTGAATAAAACATGCAAGCATTAAGTATGTATCAGTAACATTATCACTATCAGACTTTTTTTTCGTCCGGCCATGCACGCGTAACACGTACACAACAATATTACACCGCATGTATATAGTTTGTTGTATTTATTTTGGCGATGAATCACGACCAACCAACCATGTAAGAGCTCGATACGCAGAACATTATTTTAGTTTCATAGGAAAATAAAGTATTCACCGAAAAGAAACATAAAGATAATGTTGTTTCCAAGTTAAGAAATTCCGACAGGAATTCGACGAAAACGTGGCAGCGCGGGTGTACCTATATAGGACATCGTTACAAAGCAATTAGTGCTTGCTTTTGTGTGTCGATGGCGCACGTCTAATTAAAGGAAAACGGCGATCGAGGTTCATCGCACGCTTTCAGGAGATAATTACCTTTGTTAGGCGTGGAAAGAAATGTAACTAATAAGGAAAGGTTATATTAATTTAAGAACAGTAAACAAGAAGAGGAAAAAACAACTAATCGAAGATACTCAGTAATAATATTAGCATCATAGGATAATAACATAAATAACACACTTGAATCGATGCTTATTCATACATCAGCATAAAAATGACGTCGCAATAAAGTGTATGTAAATAATGTGTAATTGAGTAAATGTTGTAGGTATTAACTATTGCTATATACTACGATCATAAAATGATTATGGAGAAGCGATGACGTATCTAATTGCAATATTACTCCGAATCAATAATGCAATATTGTTTTATTTCGGCAAATATATATGTTTCTTTGATTTTTATTAAGTTAACGTAAACACTTAGTATATAATTAATTAATTGCATGATATAACGTGCTGTGTTACTCATACTTGATACTAGGTTTTGTCCGCCACTTCTTCTGCGAATTTTTTTAGTAAAAACTTAATTAATTTTTACTTTCTTGTTTCTTGGACCTAGAAAATGTCAATTCCATCACTAAAATTCGCAATTTTATTTAAAAAAAATGAGAAATGCTAATATTGTACCTTAGCGTCATCTCGGAATGAGAAATGCTAATATTGTACCTTAGCGTCATCTCGGATTTAATCATTTAGCTCTAACTATGATTGAATCTCCATATAAATTTTCATCCCTTATTTAACACCCTTGAAATCACAATTTCAGATATTGTACTACTTATTCTGCTATTCGAGACGGAGACGAATCTAACAAATCATTGATCATCAAAATCTACCTAACCGATCTTTAGTTATAAATGTTGTAACTAACTATGTTTTATATTATTTATTATAACTTTGTTTTGCGCCTAATAGGCATCTTCAACTATCAGTTGAAACAGTTTATAACATACAAATATATAAAATAACATTTTTAATTCAATTTTGGCGTTTGATCAAATATTTATATAAAAATATAATTTTACTCACTTGTAAAAAGCCTGATGCCATGGTAAATGACTGAGGACAACCAGCGCTGTTTCCGACTTCGAGTCGTGCCGGCAAAACCCAAACGTCCATTTCGATTCGATGTCTGTCAGCACGAAAGAGTAGTGTTGAATGTGAGTACTGCAAAAAAAATGAAATGACAACAATAACAAGACTATATTTTCCGCTTGCGTAAAATTAAACATTGTACGTATTGTATGTATTCAATATTGATTTCCAATAAACTCCATTCTCATCCACGTAATCAAGAGCGCGCGTACAAAGAAGTCAAGAAATAAGAAATTAATCGCGCACTAAAATAGAATTTTTATTTCGTCGAATAAAAAAGTTCAATTCACTTCACACTGGGAAGTTGTAACGATAAAAAGTAAAAAGATTTATTATGAAATGGCAAATGTAGAGAAATAATGCATTCGAGTAATCATTATTATGCGAGTTTCGTATTCAATGAGCTATGCACAATAAAATTACAATCTCAATCAGAAAGCGATCTTTGGATACACTATAATACTGAATAAGAATTGTGTTGGTTGCATTTGCTTTCCTTATGAGTCATTCAGTCATTCACTCAGTGAAAACGAGTGGGATTTATTACGAAATCGCACAAATAGTAAAAACGAAGTGTGCAAAAATACTTTTCAACTTTCCCTTGCGGATAAAAACAAAATTTAATTTCTAAAACACTCGGTATCTTTGATGCGAAGTCCCACAATCGTACTCTAGTTCGGGTTTTACTAAAGATGGACATACGTGCGTGTTTCCGTTCAGTGTTTCCATTTCCTATCACTAGCCGAACAATTTGGAATGGAAAGCTACGGCTATCAAGATGAACGGTGGGCGATTGCAGCTCAGGTCAAACACAGTAGCAAATGCGCTGTGAATGAACTATATTTAACTTTAAAACTAAAAGTTAATCGCGGACGCACGATTTATGGAACACAATATAAATACAAATTTCATCAGTTTTATTAAAAACGTTTAAAGCATCTTCTGCGACCTTATCTGCGTACTTTTTACTTAAAATTGAATTAATATTTGCTTTCTTATTTCCAGGACCTAGCACGCACAAATAATGCACTTTAACGCCATCTCTGATAAATTTATTAAACTATTAACAGGATAGGATCTCTATATCAGCTTTCATCCCTTATTTAACACACTTTAAACAACAATTTTTATATTTTAGTAGTTATTCTGCTATTCGGAGCCGGGACAAATTCAACACATCATTGATCATCAAAATCTGTCCAGCCGTTCTTGAGTTATAAATGTTGTAACTAACACAAAGTGTTTTGCACTTATATTTCCCAAAACATTGGAAGATACGAAACAATCTTCTATTATTTACTACAAAATTATTTATGCGAAATCGTTATTTTACTATCAGTTGCGCAATATGAAAACAAAAAACTCTTAGTCATTAATTAATTACTTAAAAACTATGCGTACTGCAATTATACTTGCATTAAAAGTAGATTCGTAATTAATTCCAACCTCTAACCGTAAAAATGTGTTAATCGGATTATTACATATAAACTAGTTAACCGGGCAAACGTTGTTTTGCCATATAAATTATTTCTAGTTTCTAGATAAATTTTAGTGTAGACAAAAAGTAACTTACTTATTATAAAAAATAGGGGTTGGTGATAAGAAACCAAAAATTTAGGGTTGTATGTATATTTTAATGCCACATTAAAAAATAAAACAAAAAATTTCGACCAAAATTTCAAAAATTAAGGGTGAACAACCCTTATCACTTAGAGATATGAAGTTACCGATTCTCAGACCTACTGAATACGCATATAAAAAATTTCTTTGAGCGGGAAGAAAAATGATTAAATTACTAAAATGGCTATAAAGAAATAGGGTTGGTGATAAAAACTAAAAATTTAGGGTTGTATGTATTTTTAATTCCACATTATAAAAAAATAAAAACAAAAGAATTTGTCCAAAATTTAAAAAAGTTAAGGGTGAACAACCCTTATCACTTAGGGGTATGAAAAATAGATGTTAGCCGATTCTCAGACCTACTGAATACGCATATAAAATTTGGTAAAATCGCTAAAGCCGTTTCGGAGGAGTATGGAAACAAACACTGTGACACGCAAATTTTATATATAAATAGATAAAGTTATAGAAAACATAAATCTTGACTTTGTAAAATTGTAGAAACTTGTTTACTTAGATAAAGTTTGAGTTTAACACGAAATAGATATCTGACTAAATTCTTAGAATGTGTAGTTCCGCTTTCCAGTAATTAATTAACAAACAATCGCGAATTGTTACAACTGACCAGCATTTTAACCGATTACAACTACTTTACAATCAGTAGTAACTGATAACACGATGTTTCATGACTCACACGGCATTGAAGCATAAAAAATGCAATCATTTTATTATTAACAGATAACTCCCACTCGTCTACTGGATTAATATTTTATCAAAGCATCGCAATAATTGCGCTAATATTGTTATTGCTCTCCTCTCCAACCAATAGCAATTAAATTAAAATCAATATATAACAATTCATAAAATTATTAAATTATGCTTTGATATAAATCGCTTTGTTGTTTTTAATAAATTAATCCGTTAATTGGCTAGTTTTGACTGCTGGTGAGTTTAATGCTGCCGTTTAATATTCCAGACAATGACCATTGCCATGTGCACGCGAGCGTGCTGCGTGCTGCGGCTGAGCACCGTGGCGCAAAAGTGATGGCGTTGTTAATAATTAAAAAGCACGTACAGCACGTAGCTGGGCTGATGAAATTGCCGCGTACATATCGGATACATCTACAAGAGCGGAGCGGGCCGCCGTGCATAACTGCGAACTGCGTATTGCTTGCGTATTAGATACTGCAGTGCCGAGTAGCAATGAAAACTTAAGTACGCACGATGACTATGAATCGGCAAGTACATACACAGAAACAAGACACAACCCGAAATGGACCACCAATGCAATTACACGCGTTGTGAATATTGAATATGTTATTACGGTACCTACGCATTAAACAAATATGTTTTTTTGTCTCTATCGCATGAATTGCACACTAAATACGCTTTAATGTTAATAACTTTATTTACAAATAAATACGAGTGACTAGTAGGGTAATATGACTAACTGCTTGTGTAAATAATAAAATAATATGGTCAGTGAACTTTTTTTAAAGCCACAATAATATCTATAAAAATAAAACCAAATTGACACATATGAAAGGCGGTAAATAATTTGGGATTTGGACAATATTTTTTGAAAGTTGTGGAAAACTAGTTTAAATGTAAGTCGAAAATAGTTCATCTGGAGGGGGAACATGTCACTCCGAAACAAAAAAAACGAAAATTTTGAAAAATAGAATAAAAAATAAAATAAAAACAACTACGTTCCTACAAAGTTCCCTCTTGAACTTTGACGCACAGGTGCGGCAAAAGTGCCAAATATTCAACTGTTTAAATCAGGACCTATATTTACCAAAATTAGCCTAGAAAATATACGTTAATTGGCAAAAGCAGTAAAATTTAAAAATATTAGACCACACATCAAAAAATGTAATGCGGACGGTTGGGGTCTGATTAAACACGTAACGCACTGCGCGCTGTCCCATTATACCTGTGGCCGACCCCAAAAAAGAAGTGGGGGTAAACAGAGTCGGCAGAGAGTAAGCTAAGTCACATGATACGCGATCCTAACGAAGTAAACGGCATTGGATACTCGCAAAAACTGTAACCATAGATCTTTAGTCCCAAAATTTTTACTTCCTTATTATTAAAATCAAACCCCGTAAACTCTTGCCCATCCTCTATAGGCGTTCCTTTCAATTTCACGCCCCTACAACTAACCTCTGCTCCTCCTTCACAACAATAAATTATTTCAGCAATTATTCCAAGGTAATAACTGCAGTCGTTATACGCCAACCGTACAACAACAACAATTACGCTGGAATTTCGTATCTCACATGCCGGTTCGATTAAAACTCGCCGCTGATGGCAGGTCGTGCGCTCTCAACAGATTTATAGTTATCACATGAATGAAGCAGTGCGGAATACTGCTGGTACAGGTACACTAATACGCGATTACATTCGCACACACATCATCATACACCTGAATAGGTAATTGTAGTTTTCGTGGGTTGTGTGAGCGCATTGTGGCGTGCTAGTGATGTGTAGTTTCACATCACAATGTTCTCAAATAACATTCCACATGCGTGGTTGACAGTCCGAGCCTGACATCATGCAAACTCAACTCGAAATGAAATGATGAAATTAATAATAAATTTGGAATTTAAATTCGAAGTGGAATAATAAAATTTGTGTTTATAAGGATCAGAGAAATAATTTTATTAGATTTAAAGTTAATTATGTTAATTAAACACGTGCCTCTGGAACTTTTCGTTCGAAATTTTAAATTATTATTATTACAACGTGTTGAAAACATAACCTACTTTGTTAAAATAGTTAATTAGTTTCTTCTCGCGCTTCTAACAAGGTGGTAACTATAGTCATGGTAACCTTACATAGTGTTAGAATAATGGGAAGTTACAGTTATTAATTAATTAACCGAAAACGTAGATAATTATAATTTTTTCAAAAGTAGTTTCTAGAATAAATATCACATTAACTAAATTGACGAATTTGTTTATAAATTTATTATGCAAATATAATAAATAAAATATAAATTAAATTAAATTTATAGAGAAATCAAATCAAAAAACAACTTGAATTAATTTTTAAATTAAAAAAATCGTGAAAATTAGAAAAATTTCAATTTTTAGCATTTTTAATCACATTTTTTGCCTTATTGCACTATGATATTTAATTATTTTATATTCTAATCTAATAGAGGATTTTCCAATCTATCATAATCTGCAATTCGTTGGATTCTAGCACTTTTAGTTTTCGAGATATTCGCAATTGTAAAAAATCGAATACGTTTGTCTCTTTAGTGTCGTTTCATTGATTTTGAAATCACGATTCTAAAGAAATTTTCACTTCAAAAAGTCACTTACTACTCTTCTACATTGTTATAAACGCAATTTAATAGCAAATTAGTAACTGAAGAAATAACCAATGTAAAATAATTGCTTCTTAAGCGATTAAGCACTCTAAAACTAAAACTATTGAACGTTTTCAAAGCCACACACGAGCGTTGCATATTGGTTTAACACTTTACATAAGAATTAATAGCTGTTTGAAATTTCAGACATGGAGAAACCGGAAATTAGCAGGTTTACAGCCTGTGAATGGTTGTAACATTAATTTTTCTACGCCACACTTCGTAAACTAACCCAAAAACAATCAACATTTAATTAAAACCGAATATTTTCTTAATTTTCGCATGGAATCTAACCAATTTCACTCTTAATAAATAAACAAATAATGTTATCAATCATCCTTCCTACATTTTCAAGTACTTAACTCAATAACAACTTAAAATTGCACTTGCAGCAAGTGCTAACTTTTCGCATGTATAATAAATTGCAAGCTTTTTTACTCACTTTTCGATTGTACACGGATAGGCGAACTTCGGCACCGACTTAAGCACCTCCTCGTCCTCGTAGTTGTCCGGAAACTGTTGTATAATCCATGCGTCTCTGTCCTTGCTCGGCGGCACAATTTCGCAGAAACACTCGAAGAAATGCGTCACATTTGTCCTGCGAACCATCACAAACCAAACGAATTACAATCCGCAAGAGACACTCGAGACTCAAGTGCACGAAATGCGAACGAAGCGAAAGTTGCCAACGATGCCAACTGTCACAACAAACCATTCAACAACACAGCACACACACACAAAGGATTATCTAACGAGCGGATAATGAAGCGTAATGGATAATGCATCATTGAATCAAATTAAATATGAATAGTTCAACTTAAACGGAGCGTGCAGTATATTGAAGCTACAAGAAACAAATCTCATCTCAACATTTTCGCGATGGTCATTTGTTTCTTTTATTCATAAAATGCTGATTTGTTTGCGTAATTTGATTGTTGGCGAAATTGATAGTCATATTGTGCGTAGTCGACAGCCACCTACCTAATTCTAGATAACATATTTCGCTGTTCTTTTGATCCCTCTCGCGTTATCTAGCTGCTCATCCTGTGCTCGCAGGCGTCGTAATCCACATTCGCATGTCGTCGATGGCACCACACGGAAATATTTATCACTTGAGTGCGCGCTGCAGCCGCTGCATTTTCCAGACGCACACGATGACTGCGGTGCCTGCGGTGGTTGTACGGTTATCAACAAACGGCCGTGATGCGGGAGTGCGACGTGCGACACGCCAACGCGAGCATCATATGCGAACTGAATGAAGGGAATCAAAAAACTAAAATCCGATCAGGAATCGCGCTGTCACTGCAGGACAAGTTGTCTAGGTTTGTGTATCCGCCGGTAGGTGACAGTACCATGCATTTGGTAACTTAAAATGAAAAGAAAACAAATTTAGAATATTTTACATATAAAACATTAAAAACTTTTTTTTTAAAGTATAAATAAAGATTTTGTTTAATTATATAATTGTAAATTGATTAATTTTCAAATAAATGTTTAAATACTGAAACTAAACTATGTGGGGACTTTTGGTTCCGTAGTAATTTTTAGGTTAGTAACAATCTCCCTACTTGACTTGCTTTATTTCATTTCTCACGTTTTTACCTTCAAAAAACCAAAACAGTCTATTAAAATAGTAAATTACAACGTAACTGAAAACCATGGCTGAAGAAGAGAATGTAAACGGCAATATAGACGAAGATTTACCCGACAACAATGAGAAATCACAGAAAAAGTCTGCCAAATATGATTCGGGAGCTGCCGATCTTGAAAAAGTCACAGATTATGCCGAAGAAAAAGAAATCTCCACGCAGAATTTTGCGGGCGCCATTTCCGCTATTGGTGATCAACGAAATAAAGAAGCACTGGAGAAGCAGGCACGCGAAAAAGAGCTGTTGAAGGTCTCAATCAAGAAGGAAGATGTTGACTTGATTGTCAGAGAAATGGAAATTTCGCGTACAATTGCTGAACGAACGCTGCGAGAGTATCATGGAAATGTTGTGAACGCGCTTATTGCATTAACCAACTAATATTAAGAATAAAGTCAATACATTTATAATGTTTTTGTTATCAATTCAACCTCTTTCAACGAATGAAACATTCTGTTATGAAAGGTTTCACTGCAAATGTGTATATTGGGTTGCATACCTTTCACATTATACAAACCAGTACCCAAATCCTAAGAATTTCTTTATTAGTACAATTTTTGTAACAAATACCTCTCTATATTCTAATGAATTCTTTATAAATATTGTCTATCCATCGGAGTCTTCTTCGCTTTCTTGCTCCTTGCCTTAGGGAACCATCTATGCTTGGTTGTGTGTGTAATATTCATCAATTCAAGCCTTGCAAGTTCAGGAGATTTCTTGTTGAAAATGTTGAGCAGCTCAGGAGACATTTGCGTTTTTAGCACGGTATCGCTTGCGCAATTGACTGACTCCGGCAGCGGTTTTGTGCACTCATAGGGAAATTCAGGTGCTTTGTGCCAGGCTATTATTGTACTCCCATCTTTGGTTCTTGCAAGTTGTGGCGCGCTCGGTGCTTGTTCCACTTTCGACGATAGATTTCTTGATAGAAACTTTAAATTTGTACAAATTGCACGCAGATTTATACGTGTTGCTAACATTTTTACTTAGTTTTCTAGATGTTTATGAAAGTTTATTTGTAACCTTACTTTTCTCTACTGTTCGCCGTGCTTCAAGTAACAGCAGATATACCGCAGGATATTAATGTCGGCAACCAACTTTACATAAAAAGAGACAGGATCGTATTTATTTGGTTTAAATTCGTAATAACAAGTTAAAAAGTACCTGTCTTCCTGCAAATTTTAGATAGGATGTATTAAATCTAATTAAAAGGGCCATTTTGTTGTCGTTTTGTGTTATATATTGAAAATTCAATTATTAGAGACTGAAAATCACAAAGAAGCAATGAAACACAGGTGTATCCATACTTTTCTGTTCTTTAATTCATCAGTAATATTTTTCATATCATTTGTAATAGACTTTCAATAATATCAATATCAATGAGTAACCGAAACAAACATGTCAATAAAAATCTCAGATCGTCGAACAAACTTAATATATAGCAATGAACCAAAACGCAATCGAATAACCGCTTTGTCAAATACATAAGCATCTCATATATCTTGTGTGTGTTTGAGTACGAATTTAATTCAGTTTTGTTTTTTGCGTTTCAAGTATATATCATAACATCATCGTCTTGTATGTAGTATTTTTTTTTCATTTCTTGAATTAATATTGCTCCTTATTAAAACGTCAGACTCTTACTCTGTGCAAATGTGCTACAAGTCAGTTTAATTAATAACGTTTATCATTAATTATTCATTTAGTTACTTTTTTTTTTGTTTTCTGTAATTCGAATAAATGTCCGCCATCTTGTTGCGTCGTCGTCGTTGAATTTGTTGCTAGTCGTGTGTGTGTGTGTATGTTGTGTTCGAATGAAATCGGTACTGTGGTTCTCATTGTTATCAACTTTTATATAGTTTGCCATCGTTAATATTCATTACGTAAGTATACACACACACTGCGTAATACTTTTTTGTTCATCTTCGACTATTTCAATGCATTACAATTGGTTTTCATTATATGTACACGTTGTGTTTGTATGTTTGGTTGCGGTGGCGCTTTTAAAACTTTTGTCGTACGATCATATATATCGGATGATGAAGAAATCATGTTCGTGTGTTGTGTGTGTGTGTGTTTGGTGTGTGTTTTACATTCAAATTCGAAACGTAAAAGTTACAAAAGTTTATCGGTGTGTGGTTGTGTGTATGTGTGGTTGCATTTTGCATCTTATTTCGTAGAAGGGAGGTGCTGCATACAAACGAAACGCCATTTTGATTTCATCAAGAGTGAGAGTGCATGAAGTTAGACGCATATATATTTGTATATATATATGTATATATATATATAACTAAACGGTGTGTGGCGGGTTGCGAAGCGAGCGCAGCAAGATGGCCACCACGAGACACCCGCCATCTTGCCGACCTTGAATCGCGCCGGCCACGCCCCGAAACAATACAAAACTATTATAACCTATATACTCATGCATCGTTCGCAACATTACGGTTCGCTTCTTCATCTGCTTCTGCTTTTTTCTTTTTGTTATATTTGATTAGTAATCATAATAATTGTTCTCCTCTCTCTCTGTTTTTTTCTGTTTTTGTGTGTTCCTAAAAGTTATGTACAGTCAGTGAAACTATTAAGTTATTCAATCCGTTTATTACCCCATTTATATATCTTTCGATCCGTTTTTCTAGTGTTAATCGCTTGTCGTTTGTTTCGCGGCTGTTGTTACACTCTCTGGTTTTTGGTTTTTAATTTAATTAGAGTATAATAATATTGGCTACGAGCGCGTGTGCCTATTTCGCTTCATTTCTTTGTTTTATCAATCATCAATTTTTTATGTATAATATATATAATATAATATCTTTAATTTTATCATAATAATAATAATTACAAGTAATAATTATATTACACTTTAGAATTTCGTTTCGCCGTTTTTTTTTTTGGTTTTAATATTACGTGTATTCTCTTATTACATGTTTTATATACTCGTCAGCGTATAATTCATTTTTTGTTCGAATGTCCACCATTTTTCGTGTAGTACGTTTTTTTATTATCGTTTTATGGCATATTTGGTTGAGATTTTCTTCATTTATTTGAACGACGCGATCTTTTTATCTATATACTTTTGTGTGTCGAGTGTATGTTGGGTTGCGGTAAACAATCAGAGTTGGACTCTTGAAATTTTGACATTTTACATCTCCATCTATAAAAACGTTATTAATAAGAAACTGTGTGTACGTTTTTTTCTTTATCTCGGTGCGAGGACAAATGTGCGTGCAACTATGTAATTTGCTAGACTTGTTTCGTTGGCGAGTGTTGGGCGTGTTGAGTGTGTTTCTCGGTGTGGGTGTATGTTGGGTTGCTGCCGTTCGTATCTTACAGTCGGGTAATAGAGAGTGTCCGAGAGTGTGAAAACGGTGTGGTGGCGGTGTGGGTGTAATATTAAAGTGCAACTTCTCGTCACGGTATATGTATCTTTTGCATTCACTTGAGTATAAAAGAGGAACGTAGAAATATCTACAAAGATTCGAACGCAACGCATATCGTACTTCCCGCCCGCCGAGGTCGACCTAACCTTAAAACATCGACGACGAACTACGTGTTAGAATATTGTTTGCTCACTGTCCCCGCCTGGCAGCCTACGCTCGCGTTCGCGTTTTCTTTTGTTTCATTTTTATTCAGAGAGACGTTGATAGAATCGAAACGTATAAATGTATTACAAAACAATTGAAATCGTGTTCTTGGGCGCATGCGCGGGTTGCTCTGCTGTTCGTGTTACGTTTTTTTTTTGTTAGGTTATAACTTTCATGTATTTTTTTTTGTTTTGGTTTTATATTTAGGCGAATATAATATGGTCAGGGGTATACTATGTACAAACGCGTCTCTTGTCGAGGAAGCTACGCAGTCTAGTAGTTATAATTATCGCCGCCGAGCGTGGGCGTCTGCGTATCGCGCCGCGCGCCGCGTTCTTATCATTGAACGCACGCGAAATGGCGGCCGCGCTCGGCACGTTTCGTGTTCAACTACGCGCCACGTTGGTTGCCTGCACTTCGCACACACCTGTTCTCCTGTTCTACTTACACGCTAGTTGTATAATAATAATAATAAGTAGTCGCAGTATAATGTCGTATATGTGCATGTTGATGTTGCTCGTTATTTTCGTTTAGAGTGAGAGAGCGAACCGTTTCTTTGTTAATTTTTGTTCATTATCATTGTAATTCCGTGTTCGCTGGTGGCGCTGGCGTCGTGCGCCATCTTGTTTCGTCTTCACAAGAGTGTTTATTGTGACACAAATACATTTCTCAGTGCGTTCGCGTTCGGTGTTCGCGCCGTCCTGCTTCGTGCCCCTCTCCCCCTGCATATGCACGCGGGTGAATCGCTTCCGACCGGGATGTTGTGAAAGGAGAGCAGAGCAGAGAAGCGGTGCTGTTTTTTTTTTGTTTGGGGTGCGACTTCTCTACTTGTCCTCCTCGAGCAGCACCAGATCGTCGGCGACCACGTCGGAGATGTGCAGGTAGATGATCCAGTACATGAGGTTGAAGCACACGAAGCACACGGGGAACACGATACGCGAGTACTTGTCAATGTCCGACGGCGTGATGCCGTATAGCTTGTTGATGTCCTTGCCGGGATGGATGATGTGCTGCGGAATGGGCGGCGCCGCCTCCTCGTCTGGCGGGCCGCCGCCGCCACCGCCACCACCTCCGCCCCGTCCGCCGTTCACCGTGCTCTCCAGCGTGCCGCCCTTGCTGTGTGCCTTCGGGTCGTTCACTTTGAAGCGCACCTCCTGGAACAAAGGTTCCCACTAAGAAGCATCCGTCGTCTCGTGTCTTTATACTGCACACACACACAAATTGCGGAAGCGATTCCTCAGTGGTAACAGGCATGCCTTAACCTAACGGAAGTATTTTCCGGTTTTGTTGAAAATTTTTGCAGCCCACATTTGATCCCAACCAGTTTCTATCAATTTTAGACATCAATTGTGGGCTTGAAACAACCTCTGTCGCCGGTTTGGATTCACTGGATTTGCTGGAAGCGAACCGGCGACAGCTTACACATACAGAGACACGAGACGCAAGAGAGTGATGAAGAAGACAAAAAAGTAGAGCGTTTAGAAGACACACAGAAACACGACACTTAAAAAATGATTGTCATAAATTACCTCGTAGGAAAATTGTCTTGGACGATTACTCACTGTTTGCTTGGGAGCATGATCACCGTCCGGGCCGTCGATGGCCATCTTTTTCTGTTCAGCGATCTTTTGAATGGCAAGGAATCGATTCTTGCGCATTTGAATTCGTTTCGCCATGTAACCGACGGTGGCGTATTCTGCAAAGTGTCATCATACACACACAGAGAAAAAACAGAAAATCAGAAACAGTTAGGTTACACACGCTTAGCTAAAATGGTAAGTGATTAGAGTGAGGTTATGATTCACCTAAAAGGCTGGCAAACACCATCACGAAGCACGTGCCCAGATAGACGTCGATCGACTTGACGTAGGAGATCTTCGGTAGCGCGGCGTTCGTAGAAGACATCAAGGTGGTCATCGTGAGCACGGTGGTGACGCCGAGGGCGACTCTCGCGGGCGTCGCATTCCGATTCAGCCAGAAGCTCACCCACGAAATAATGACGATAAGGCCGGACGGGATGTAAATCTGAATGAGGTAGTAGCCCATGGAGCGCACGAATTGAATCTCGCACGCCAGACGAGAGTAGTTTCCTGTACGTGGAGCCGGGGCAGAATGAGATTAGCACACGTGCATCACAATGCACTTCCCGAGTAGATCCCTCACAGAGATCCACTCGCGAATGTAAACACACCAAACATATTATTTTTGGTTTTTGGGTCAAAGTGGGTGAAAAGGGTTGTGGTGGTGAAGGGTTTTAAGCAAAAAACAGATGATACATCAAAAAGCATGCGATAATTAAAAGTCTTCACTTGAATGAAGACTGAAAAGTGGATTTCTGATGAGGTATCGTTTGGGGCGGGGTGGTTTGGAGTGTCGCTTCGAATGAATGACCTTATTACGTCTCTACTCGAGTGCCGCTTGAGGAGCAGCGCCTCTCGACATGCAATTATGGATTCTTGAGCGTTAATCACGAAAATACATCCAATTGGGGAAGAAATCAAGGGTTGCAAGTATCAAAAATACTACTGAATGATCCACTACAATCTATCGCTAAGAGGGTTGCATCTTCATATATGAGATAAAATGAATCAAAAAGTTGTAAGTAAAAGGGGGTGGTCGGGTCAGGTACCTGTGGTAAGGCTGATCTCCATGGCCCTCTGCCTGTGCCCGAGCACCTTAAACTGGGGAAGCGATACCTCGTTGGACACCCCTACCGAATTAGGGCCCTCATTCCATTTATAGCGGATATCCCGCATGGTGTAACCGACTGCAATCACAAGCCAGTGCCAACTGCTAATCGCTCAACGTATACACTCATTTTTCATCCAATCAAATTTGATTGATTCACGTAAGAGAGTCGGAAATAAACAAAGACACTACAGGCGCACTCCGCAGCCGTATCAAAACGAAAAGAACGTGTGTGGATCAAAAGTAAATCATAGAAAAATACACTTTTCAAGTCATCAAGTGGGCGTGGTCATAAATAAGGTCTAAGGGGGTTGATAAAGTTGTTGTAAAAGCGGCAGACAAGTCCAACACTGCCTGTGGTCCAGAAGAGTTTTCAGAAATAATTGAGCACACTTCCGGTTTTCCGGGTTTGTTTGAGTTGCCGGTTGTTCTTGTACGTGGTTTTTTTTTTGTTGTTGTCAGATTTTGTGATGGATTGCGTGATGGTTTAGTGGTTTTTGGTTCTGGTGAATTTTGGTTTGTGGTCGGGTGCGGTTCGATGGTTACCTGTGGTCAGGTTAATTACGGTCTCCCTCTGCCGGTGGCCCAGCACCCGGAATTGCGGCAGCTCCACCTCGTTGCTAATTCCGACGCTCTTTGAGCCGGAGTTCCATTTATAGCGAATGTCGCGCATCGTATACCCGACTAACCCCGGCCGCCAGAACAGACAAAGCACCGTCATTCGAGCCAGCTCCCACAAAAAGTATAAGTATTAAAAAACATAACCATGAAAATGTTGCTAGTGGCGCCACCATTGGCAACGCCGAACTAAAAATAACACACGCGCCACAACGCTTTTTGCTTGCTTGCGGTAAACGGATGTGAAGAGTTGTTTTACATTCCGGCAATTTTTTATTTTATCACTGTCGAAAAAACGAATCTATCTCTGGCAGGTCTATTTTTAGCCCGAATCCTCGACGTGCGAAGTACGTGCGCGTCCATATATTACACTCCCGCACACCGGAAATCGATGGCAGTTTATTGCGAAAAAAGCACCCGGCTTCGACGTCGGGAAACAAAGTTTGTTTACAAGCCGACATGGCAGGCTACATTGCACACACTCTGTCATCCGTAAACCACAAAACTAAAAAAAAAGTCTATGCTGCGTGTATGTACTTTCCGGTTCTCCTCGCTGGTTGTATCTTTTGCGTTTCCGGAACTTATAATTTCAGCAATTTCACATCGAATGACACAAGGGTGAAAATGTACAAAATTGAGTGCCGTGTTACACAGAAACACGAAAAAAACCAACACACGCACACACACTCACGAACATGTACGAGAAAATGGTGGAAAGCAGGCAAAGCACGTGCAAAAGCAGTGGGATTATAATAATAGACATGAGGCATGTTCGACAGCGGCGGCGTTTTCGTGCGCGCTTATCATTAGCTTCCGTCATCAGAGAAAGAGGGTGAGTTGGCAATGATGATAGCGGCAAACTATCGCTACACAAATGATGTACCGATGTACAGATGTACAAGAACACAACAACGGGTTGTATTTTTAGGGGTTTGGGCGGGGTTGGTAGAGTTGTGATTACGTGGGAATTTGTGCGTACGGCGTGTGCTCGTTATCGCGTGGAACGGAAATGTAAATCTGGATGGGGCGTGGCTTTATCAATCATACAGAAATGTACTTGTTTCACAACTAGCGCCATCTATAACTGAATAGTGAATAGTTAAAAATATCAAATATAAAATTTAGTTCATGCAATAAATAAGAAATAAATGCGTTATGATTGATAGCTGTCATGCTGACGGCCGGGCGAGACGTCGCGTTCGTCGCTAGAGGTGCGCGCCATCTTGTCGTGTCTATTGGCTCGGTGAGCAAATGGCCGGTACTGTGCTGTTTGTTTGCTCACGAAGGCGAAGGGGGCTCACACGTCAGTTCCAGACGGTTTTTTTGTTTTAGTTTTTTTGTTAGTATTTATATTAGTGCCGCCATCTTGGGACGCACTGGTGGTCCTTCCGCTCGGTGCTGTATTCGAGAAGGAGACCGCAACCAACCCACACACACACATAGCGAATTCAAATGTGTTGTTTGTTGCTCATTTATTAAACAAAAAAATATAAAAAATTTAAAGTCAAATTAAATAAAATCGTTTTTAGAAGAAAAAGATTTTTTCTTGGAAGGGTAGAATGCGGCTGCGGTAGTCCGTCCGCGGCGTGTCATCGAACTGGTTTTGTTTGTTCGGTGTGAAAAACAAGCACAATCAAAAGAAAAGCAACTCGACGCGGAAATACAACTAGCGCCATCTAGCGCCCAACAGCGCTCAAAACATGATAATCAAATATCTTGTTGGTAATATTTGTTTGGTTGGATGTAGGAAGTTGATTTTCTTGTCGAGCTGCTTATCGAGTGCTCGATTGATATTGAGCGCGGTGCGCGGCATGTAGAAAATAGACACATAATAGGTTTTCGCTTGATTCATTGCACAAAAGCACGACACACGGTGGTATCTTTAGATATCCACTTAGAAACTAGATAGATTCGATTGTTCAAAGATTGTATGCGCACGTTTTGCAATAGAAAACTTTCAATTTCATCAATTTACAAAATAGATTAGATTTTGGTGTACTTACAACTTTCTATCTCTATGTGGCATAATTGTCGATCCATGGGAAAATACTGTAGATTCATGGGACAGGATGCTGTTATAGTTAATCTGTAATAAAATAAGCACAAAATGAAGGTAATATAAATTTGTTTTTGGTTTTGCTTACCGAATACTTCGCGTAATCGATCCCGAGTGATGAATTCGAATGAACTCGTTTGATGTGGTTGCAATGTGGAAGTACGACTGTTTCTCATTGACGAAGAACGTGTCCGGGACCCAGATGTTCTTGATAAATTCGGAGCCCACGGAGAGCGTCTCGACGCCGAGCCGCTTGCGGAACGCGAGCCGCGGATCCGTCCAGAATTGTCGAAAGTAAAAATCCAGCGTGAAGTCCTGTTGCGCGCCGACGACGACGACGACGACGACGACGACGCATGGAAAACGAAGCGATTAGCAAACCAATCTGGCACTTACGTGGGAGTGGTGGGTTGGGGTTGCAAAAACTTCAGTCTTCGCCAGTGTGTGTGTGTGTCTGTGTGCGGTGTGTTCAAGCACACGCCTTTGATCTCAGCGTCGCCTCGACATCGCCGAGGGCGCATCGATCGACGGCACTTCCGGTTTTTCATTTTTTTTTTTTTTTCAAGTGTGTGAGAGTTTTTATCTGTTCGCTACAAACTTACACGCAGCGCTTGTAGAATGTGTACATATTTGCTAAAATGCGAGCCCGCGCGCGAATATTTACTGCCATCGAGTGCTGGGATGTTTGTTTTCCGGTGACAGCGCGTGTCAACATTTGCGGATGATTTAGAAGTGCAATCGATCCCGGCAGTAAATATTTGCGCGCCAGCGAGACGACGATTTAAAGCCGTGCCATGCGATGGAAAAAGCAATAAGCAAAGATGGCGCCACCGGTTGGGGGCGGCCGCCATCTTGGTACATCGAAATAATCATGCGTGATCACACAGTTTTTGCTGTTTTACACATCGATATACACATCTAGAGGAGGGAAAAAACACACTGATGTGAGCGCATGCACGACAAACACGTGGCGCACAAATTACGTTTTGTTATTCACTATCAGATTGTTTTCAAAAAATGTTTAGCAATTAGGTTAAGTACTCGTAATCTAGAGTTATTCTAAGCTTCTAAACTAGAATGTTGCTTCTGGGTTTGTAGTTTAGAACGTCTTTTTCTTCAGCTAAATAATGAAATATGATTGCAAGTATTGATGATGTTAAAAGGTCTAGAATACTAAAAAAATCTAGTATTGAGGTCAAGTTGAGGTTATGTTCGTATACAACATGCATATCATGCCGAATGCCGACACTGAGGCATTTACTTATCTTTGGCAGAAACATCAAGGATCATAGGGATGATGAATGAGGTGAGAGTGTGTGTGCAAGATTTGAGGTTAGGTTCACACCGAGCCCAACGAAAGCGAACGAGGATCGAGGAGGGTGGAGGGTCGGGATGTCTCGTGGATGTGGAGCGTGGAGGTTATGTTAGCTCGTTGTTGTATCGAAATCGTTTTTGCTCGTTTTGACATACAAATATCGAGAGAAACAAAAGGAGTGCGGATAACGCGCGCTCGACAACGAGAGCTGGCGGAGACAGATAGATAGACAGCAAAGAAAGAAAGAGAGAGATAGAGAATGAGAGATAGATAGAGAGTAAGAGGGGGGGCAGGCCAGGGTCACGTTCTGCGGTGACCTTAAAACCTTTCGATTTGGTTTGACATCATCGGGGTCTCGAACCCGTTGCGTTTTGTTTTTGGCTGCTTGGTTGATAATAATTTTTGATAATAGTTGTTTTCTGATTCGCCGGCCGGTCAGTGTGTGTGTAACGGGGGGTCTGCAAGCCCCTTTCGTTTCGGCTCTCAATTGGACGCAATTCATTGAGATAGATTGGATTCACAGCACAATTTTGATCCGAGAGTGATGTGGTTTGGTTTTGCCTAAGTTTGAAGATAATAATTGCTTGATTTCGGTTCGCGATTTTTGATTTATTATTATTATTATAAATATACAAAGCCAGCACAGACTGAAGAGGCCATGCACACAGTCCAAGTATTCAAGACTGCGACATACACACAGTACACACATTCAGTACACGTCTTTGGGTCCGGTGCGGGGATTGGTCCCGCCGGATGGTTCGACGCTTTTGATCATATATATATATATTATGGTATATAAACACACTGTCACTGAAAAGGTGTCACGGCTCAATGTATGGAATAATATTCATTCATATATATGGGTTGAATACAGGGTGATTGGCTCAAATTTTTGAATCACCCTGTATAGAGATATAGAAAGAGTATATGTATATATATAGATCGTAATATGAGAGAGATATGTACCATAAGAACCTCGGAGACGGAGCTGATACTGAGCACATACATGGTGACTCCCACCTCCACGGGGGGGCCTGCAACCGCAATTCGCTTTCATTGATAAACGTGTGCGCGCCGATATATGAAAAACCAAATCATCATCGTGCACGAACGTGCGCCCTGTGCCTGCCTGCCCCACTTTCCCCACAATCAACACGCATATATCTTTTGGAACCGCGCGAGCTTCATCCAACCCCTGGCGGGGGGGCTGTGAGGTTGAATGAAACCGTGGGTGATGTTGTTGTTGTTGTTGTTGTTGTTGTTGAAATAATTAAGATGAAAAATGTAGGGGGTCTGTAGAAGGTCATGTTGGGGGTTTTGGTCAACATCGAACCACACACACATAAAATTAGAGATCAACCACAAAGTGTGTTCATATTTGATTTAGCATTTCGCTTTAAGGTGGGTATGATTAACGGTTGGGTCCGATGCTATACCATTTGAACCTCGGACAGCGAGCTGATGCTCAGCACGTACATTGTCACTCCCACCACGACGGGCGGGCCTGCAAAGCGTATCACAGATTGCATTTGATTATGTTCATCAGTCAAGGGTGTAATGCCGGTTTCACAGAGAGAAAATGCCCGCTCACCCCAGGCCGCCAAAGAGTGCCAGCGCGCGTTATCATCGACATTCTGCATTCGTTTCTTGTTTAGAACTTTTAGTTTTTTTAAGTTTCGTTTTTATAAGTAGGATTGCGGTGGGTCCGGGTGCGGGCGTGCTAAAATTCGGAGACGGTTACGAAAAACAAAAAACAGAAACACTCTCATGTGTCGGCCAAAAATGAAGAAAAATCATCGAATTTCGAAACGGGGTGGTCAAAGTGGTTCGATTGTTTGATGTTTCATAACAGGAAGTAAAAAGTTGAAACAGTGAGCCAAAAAATAACGAAAAAAACGAAACGAAACGGTATAAAAGTAGTAATATCAGTACCATTTTCACTTCGGATAGGGAGCTGATACTCAGCACGTACATGGTGATCCCGACCTCGACGGGCTGACCTGAAAGTACGTCACCACGTTCGCATGAGTGGTCGTGCGTTCGCAACAAGAGATGCGAGCAGCCGAGCCGGGCGGCAGCGGCAGCGCCCCCGGCCCGGTCCTCGGTCCTCTGTACACCCCGGTCGGCGGCGGCTGGGAGCAGAATGGCGGTCTGGAGATGCGAGAGTGCGAGCGAGACGCGCGCACGCGGATGGGCGGCGGGCGAGCGGGCGGCGGCAGGCGGCAGGCGGCGGCACACGACCGCCATCGATCTCGAGCCCCACCCTGGGCCGGGCTGGAGCCGTCGTCGTGCCGCCGCCGCTTGCCGCCGCCGCTTTATCTCAATCAACGCGCGCGGCGGCGCTGCCCCCGGCGCGGGACAAATCGTCGACCCGTGCCGCGGCCGTCCATCATCGCGAGCGACTCTTCGATACAGACACTCAGAGAGAAGATATAGAGAGACCAAAAATGTTCAAAGCGGGAGAGAAAGCTCTACACTTAGATCGTTTTGACTCGAAACAAACGGAAGTGAGGAGAACTCATGAGGCGTCGATGGAGATCGACAAACCAAAACAAAAACAAATCATATCAGAACAGGGGCGGGTTGAAGAGACAGAGAATTAGAGAGATAGAGACTTCAAAAACGGTCGGTCATCATGGCAGATATGTAAAACGTCATCACGCGAGCTGGCTGGCTTACCTCCGTAGTTGGGTCTTACTCTCTTGTCGTAGCTGACGCTGAAGGAGTCGAGGATGGCGGATATGTTCACGTCGCCCAGAAAACTGCCGCCCCCCGTTGCAGGCCTACAAAAAACCACTGTTCAAAAACATCTCCAACCACAACAGCAAATTTGGGTGGGCATCAAGTCACTTTTATTTAAACACACAACACCACATCTTCATTGTTCCCAGATAAGACTCTCCCAAACATTCCAATTCTTTGTTTTGGCTGGTCACTAGAATGTAACGGTCCAATCTGGAATTTGTAGCATTTGCAGCGCATATTCATAGTGTAGATGTAGATTCTATAGATTAGCTCTCCGTTGGTGGCTGGAGAGAACCCCAGGTCGTCCTCGATCTGACCCCTCGGCAAACAAAGCAAAACAACAGGGTGTGTTTCCAAACTCTCGGGCGTTCGGGCCTGCTCGGCTCGGGACGTAGCCGCCGCTGCCGCTGCCGCCACCCACTCATCCGCTCAGCCGCTCCTCGCATCTTTGCTCGGGGACGCGCTCGTTTACTGTTTTCTTTCATTATTAATGCCCCTCGCTGTGTTACGCTTCAAAGATTAACGGCACGTCACTGATTTATTAATTTTTCCATTTAAGCCGGGCCCTCACAGGCGCCGAAACACTTTATTCAGGTGTTGGCCGCGATTATTTAGTCATCTCGCACTCACAGCAGCCACGAACAATTTTAGACGCATTTTTTTTATTTTACAAGATTTGTTAGTTGTTCAAAGGGCGTATTCTCGCACTAATAGCATTTTAATGGTGGATATTTTTCCGTGCCGCCGACGAGTTCGAATGCAACGGATATTAATAATTAATGGGCACTACGTTTACAAGTCAAGGTTCCCCATCGCTCCCTCGGTCAATGTTGGTCAACGCTGCAGGCTTGCAGCGCGCAATCGAAGTCCTCGGCTCGACCATGGATTATTTAATCACTTTTTTTTTATTTGTGGGATTTTTATTATTGAGTATGTTGCGGGTGGGTTTTAGGGTGTGGATGGTTGGTTGGATGGGTTTTTGATGTAGGACTTACCCGGCAGTGGCCCATGGTAGGGCGAGGACCAGCAGCGCGGCTGGCCACACGCTCCGGCTGGGCCCCATCGCCTGGGGGCAGCTACACGTGCCGTCGCGCGCGTGTGCACCCCGTCATAGCAGCCGAGTGGACATCATCGGCGCCGGTGAGCACTGGTGGTCTCGTCGCACACGGTGTCGTCGCACAGGTCGGCACCACCCGCGGTCGGACGCACGCACTCCACAGCGGCCGCCTCCAGCAGGCACACGGTCGTCGCTCCGTCCGGCGTTGTGTGTTGTGTCGCGCTCGACGCCGACACTAGGAGTGGTCTCTGGGCCCGGCCGGCTGCGTGCCCCATTGCGCATGGTGGCGGAGCGAGCGAGCACACGCCGCGCCGCCCCCCACCCGCACGCCGCGTGTGCGAAATAATCGCGGCGGCCGCGGCGGCGCGCGTATGTCTCTGTTTACCCTGACCTGGGGGCGGCCGGAGCCGAGCGCACAACTTGGCCTACATTCGGCGCACGCAGCCGCGAACCGGCCAGGCAGCAGCACCTTGCCGCCGCCCGCCGCCCAATCAATACCACCACCGCGCCCCGAGCTCAAGCCGCTCCACACTCGCTCACTCGACGCGCTTCCGTCGAGCTGGCCGCATCGCACTCGCATCGAGTCTTTGATTGCCTCAATTATGCCTCCGGATGGCGCTCAACACGTTGTCGGCCACTCGAGCCGTGCCATCGAACAAAGGGAAGTCGATGAGTCCACTTCTCTCGAGTCTTCGAGTGCGTCTCCGAACCGGCGTGCTTCCTTCCTTCCTCTCGCGCCACTCCAATATGCATATTACCGAAAAAGTGCTCATTTACCACTCGACTGCAGCTCCCCCACACCATCCTAACGTCAACAATGCGGCACTCGTGCGGCCTGATCTTTGTCTAATTGTAATTGCCGGTCAAAGAGTGTACGCAGCAATCACGGAAACACCAGCAAACGAAAAAACACAACCGTACATACATGCACGACATATCGTGCCGCGGGGACCTTGCCGCCGTCGTGTGCAACCTGCTATTATGTTTTCAAACGACCTCGTACACGAACTTCAATATCCCCCCTCCCCTTTTCCACAAACCACCTTGTTACGTTGTAACTACATAAAAAACCTACAATAACCAACATGAACATCTAAAAACCCTGTTATGTGCTAGTACGCATGCGCAGTAGACATAAAACTGCTACTGCACATGCGCAGTTATAGTTATAATATGAATTCAGCAAGTCATGTTCATGTCAAGTTGTGTTTGTCCAGTTCGCATTAATTTCGCTCCGCCGTGCGGAATCTCACTTCCCCCATTCCACTCTCCCCACAGCGTCAACCGCGTTCGCTTTGAAGTTAACACGTTCGAGCTTGACCAGGCGCGATCCCATTATGCGGCGCGCTGATGACGGCCGTGTACGTCGTGTTTTATTAATAGCCTCGCCACCGAAACCAACCCCAACCCCATGCACGGCTAGGATGTGTAACACGACTCACTCCTAGGCTACACATGAAAAAACCTTACCTTTTGTAGTTTAAATTATCTGCGATCCCAAAATACGAAAATTTCATAAAAATTCAGGATCAGGTTAAGGCAGAAGAAAAAAAAAACAACAACGTAGGCATTTTTATATACAACAAACAAGTTATATTTTAATTGTGGCCACATTCCTAACATGACAAAAATGTCTTGATTATTCAATTCAATCTTTATGTCTGTCTGTGTATGTGTGAATTTTTGTGTTTTTGATTTTACTTCATTGCCTTACATTTATGTTTGGTTTCCTTGTATTTATTATGAGTGTGTCGCGTATAATAATGTATAATAATCACTACAATAGGTAAAAACGTTTTACATTTAATTAAAAAGATATGCTCTTGCTCGCTCGCTGCTAGAAGGGTTGCATAGAGATATGCAACTCTTTACACAGGTTGTTGTTAATTATTGTTGTTATACGCTCAAAATAGCGCTGGTTTTTGATTTTAAATTGTATCTTAGGTTAGGTTATGTATAGTATTTTAATTTTAACCCTCTGGTGACATTATTGATGGTTTGGCTTCTGTTCTTGTTGTTGTTATGGGCGGCAGGGGCGGCGGTTTTATTCACACTTGAGTATGCGTATTGCTGTGCGGTTGTTCCTGCTCATTGGCGCCGGCGATTTGATTCGCAGGCGTGTAATACTGAAACAATATTTAATATGCACATATTTCCTACAATTACCAAAAATTTTCATTAACAAACAGAAGAATTATGATTACATTAGTTTTAAAAGTAATTTTATGTATTATGTGATTATAAGCCACGCCCACAGTGTGTACCGCGCATGAGCACTAGCGCATACTGTGTGCGTAGCGCTATAGTTGATTAGAGTTTAATTTTTTTGTTCGAGGATGCTACAAAAGAGAACACAAACAATAACAGACAGTAATAAAGCGTCGTGTTCATAAAGAGGGTGGTGTCATGTGCGGCGGGTGAGTGCAATGTGAAAATGGAATATTCGAGTGCGTCCCGTCCGTCGTTCGTTATATCCTTGATTATTAGTGGCACTTGCCATATTCACGCTCTTACTTTTCATCCCCCCAACGAAAAAAAAAACACACACACACACAGTTATCTCATCCCTATTGAAAATATTTTCCGTACATGTACTCTTTCGGGAGCATCCAGCTGGTTATCCTGGTTATCCTGCGCACTTGTACGTACATTGACGTCATCGGTGCTCCGCTTTAATTTACACGTTCGTTTGACCCTAACTTTGTGCGCCGTGTGACGTCACAGGCAGCAGCAGCACAGGGGCGGTGGCAACGGCAACGGCGGCTGGAAACGGGTCGATCTCTGCGCCCGTTATCCCGAGTGTCGATCCGTATGAGAGCGGCGTTCGTATCTCATGCTTTGGAAAGCTTTCAGTCGGCAGCAGGTTTACGATGCATCGTCGCGCGGCGCGCTTCGTTCTCATCAACTATACATGCATAAAGTTTGCGTCAACAAGCGTGTAACTAAACGCCGTCTATTTTCCGCAAGATTCGCGCCGTGTGTGGGGCGCAAAGGAACAAAACTTGCAACTGTACAAACAAACAAACAAAGCAAAAGAAAAAACTGCAAGCGCAGTGAAACTGAATGTTTCTGACCTTTCGACTTTACCATCCATCATTCATCATTTACGTTTCAGATTAAAACGTGCCTCGCGTTCTATAACCATCCTGCTTTTTATTTTTTATTTTTTGCTTAGTTTTTTCAAAAAAAAAAAAAGCTAAAAATAAAAATATTAGCAAATCGGTGCTTAATTTTAAAGATTTTTTAAAGGGGCGCAGCCACCTTTTGGCACCCGAGCCTTCCTTTTTGGCGCAATATCAAAGATTTATTTATGTATTTGCCGGTCGGGCGGGTCGCGCTCGCCGTGCGTTAAACTTAAAGGCCGTTGCGACAACTCGGCCAAAAAGTCGCCATCCTGGGGGATGAGAGGCGAGCACGTCCGCGCGAACCAGAACAAACCGAGAGCACGGCGCACGAGTTACATTTATATAGAACATGTTAGCAAGAGAAAAAAAAAAAGACGACGAGAAAATACTAGTTCCGAATTTGTTTCTTTCTTTATGATGCAGTGAAAATGCGATTTTTGAAATATTTGATAAAAGGGAGCCCAGAGTGCATGAGTGAATTATTTACCTTAATCGCTAATGAATCATCGCGTAGCTCCCTCGCATTCCATTTCACTGACAAAACAAAATCAAAATTAAACTTAAATAAACTTTACAGATACACACACACAGACAAAAAACAAACGATGAATTTGATCCGTGCAAAACACGAAAATGCTTTCAATTTTTGTGTGGAGTTGTGGTGATGCGGGGGGTTTTTGGTAAAGGGTGTGTTGAACAATGTAGGCCATTTGTTTATTATTTGCTTATCATCGGGCGACGAAAGTGCGCAATGTTTTGATTGCATTTGGTTTATCTAGAGACGCTTTTCATCGTACATCTACAGGGTGTTCAAGGATGGTGCTGCCATCAAAGTGTGTGTATACACGAACATGAAACGTTTAAACGGTTTTCGTTTACCTGGCGTTGTGTGGTTAAATCAATAGTGTGATTTTGAACGGTCGATTCTATCTTGAACACCCTCTACTTCCACTCGCCAACTAGATGTTTAAAAATAACACAAACACAAAAACAATAAAACAATAAAAACAAACGCAAATTTCGTTGTATTTTTAGATGAAAATGTTTTTAAAAGTTTGGTTATGTGAAAGTGAGTATATTTGGTTGCATACCCTGCCGTTGTCGATGTCGCGTCCAACGCCAATGGTCAACCGCGCCTTGGCCTTCATCGCATCGCTGAGCGGTATCTTGGCGCGCGTGGCCTCCGTGTGCGACTTGTAGCAGAATTCGATGAGGGCGACCGCAAGCGCAATCAGCAACCCTCCGATGAGAATGTAGAAGATCCCAGCGACGTTGCTCAGCGACAGTTCGTTCCTCGACGCGTCCTGTGAACACAACCATAACATCACCCTATATACTACGAAAGGGATAAAGATGGATCGCGCGTGAAATCAAAACCACCCTTCTATGTGACCAGAAGCATCAAAGAAAGAAAAAAAAACGCACACACAAAAGAGACGCAAAAAATACGATGAGCGCCCAAACTATCACTATCACTATCACCAGGGGGTGAGAGATGATATTGCTTTAAATAAGGACAGAAGAATAAATCGCGTTGGTGAATACAAGAAAAGGGTTCTGAAGGGTCCCGGCGACGTTCGACTTTCGTTTGCTTCATTTTCCCGACTATTCTTCTACCAGACCAGAACGTAAAAGTGAGGCTTCTGTGGTGGTATCTGCGCGCTATCTACGAGTCAAGTTAAATTTTCGTTTGTGATGGCCGCGCCCGAAAAATATCCGCGCGTAAAAACGGAGTTTTCTATGATAAAGGCGACAAGGCAAGAGAAACGCTTGTTACCGAGATAAGCAGGACGATTCCAGGCGCGATCCGCTTTTATTACGAGTTTAACTTGAACATGCTCCAGGAAAATCTTCAAAAGAGTGTGAAATTTTTCACCAACGCAAAAAAAAACGCGCGTATTTTTAGAAATTTCCGCTTTTCCGGTTTGCTAGTTAACACAATAATTTAATTCTACATGAATGCATTCTATTATAGTTTCTTTTGCGTTATGTTGGCAGTACACATTTCGCGTGTTTCCGGTTTTCCGGTTTTCCGGAAAATTTTTGCGCGAAAATATTTATGCGTGTTCGAAGCTTGCGTTATCGACTTTACGTGAATCTAATCTGTTACCCTAATCTCCCGGGTGTAATTCAACCTTAAAATATAATTTCGTTTAAATTTACCTCGAGTTTTAATTAACACCAGTTGAATAAGCACCGCCAGCGAAACGAACAGCCGGCAGGCGCGCCAAAAACTCCACCGCCCTACTACCTGCGCCAGAGAGGTGTAGGTAGTATTTCAGGCGTAGAGGGTGGAAATTTTTGATTAAACGTATTACATTGAACTTTTACCGGTTAGCGGTCGGCACACCGACAGACGCTTTTTCCGTTTTAAATAAATTAAAAGTTTACAAGCCAAACCACACCACACGGGTGGTGTTGGTGGTCGTCAGACCGGAACAGCTCTCAAATTAGCCGCGAGCGCGAAAAGCGAAATCTTTTATTTTGATGTTTTGATTTCAACTTTGATTATGCGCATGCGAGTAAAATTATATTTTTGCGAAAGACGCTCGAGATTGCATTCATGCATAATTCAAGTGGATGACACAAAATAAAACGCGCCGTAAGTATGGAATATATTCATGTATGCCAGGTTTTTGCCGCCCCGGTGGGAAGATTTTATGCTTGAAATATCTCAATTTGATACGGCATCGATATTGCGGTTGGGTGGAGGCGCCGGTAACTGGCGTAGGTTGGGTTTTTGGTGGAGGCGCGTCGAGCGCTCGGGCGATAAACAAGCGACGTTTACAAGCGTTTCGCTTTGCAATAAAAATACAACATACTGAAAAAAAAAAACACATAGCACACACATGCTGAACACACTCGTACCTGCTTGTCGTGTTTACATTCGGTGCGATCGTACCACCATCGATTCATCAGCTTCGTCAATTCGCCGTTTTCCTTCAGACTGAGCACTGCCAAGTTTACAGCGTCTCTGAAAGCATTAAAAAACAAAACAAATTTTATAAAATTTTATAATTTTCCACCAAATATTTTTGATTTCCGGTTTTCCGGTTTGTGTAAAACGTTTAATAATTTAACTAAATTTACAAGCATAAGGTTTTATACTAAAGTTATGTGGATAGAACGTATATTAAATGATTTTCCGGTTTTCCGTTTTTTTTTCGTGGTTAGTGCAATGCTTCAAATATTTACGCGTAGAGTTGGAAGGTTTGTAAGTTGAAGGAAGACACACCTCGCCGCGTTATCACGGCGATCATGTGCCTCCAGAGACGCGTCGGCCGGAAGAGATGGAAAAGTGGCGGCTGTGGCGGCGGGGTTTTTCGGGGCGTACGTGGGCGCTTGGCTCGTTACGACCGCCGCCGCAGCCGACGCTATGCTCCTGCGGTTGCGGAACCAGCAGAGGCGGCCGAAATGAAAACCGGAATGCGTTAGTATCTCGCGTGCGCGTTAGATAAGGCAATAAAAAACACAACCGGAGAATTGTTATGTACAAAATGTGCAAGTTAAACAACTAAAACAAGTAAAAAACAAAATTATTCACATTTTTAAGGTTAAAACGTTAAAATAAAAAAATATAGAGACATCTATTGATCAAATCAGTAACATAATTTCAATATAACCTAAAAAATGTCTTTGTTAAATCAACGCGTAGTTGAAACGTTAATGTTTGATGTAAACTCGCGTTTTTCGTGCCGAGGTGGTCGAACATTTTGTATGAATGAAGCGGGCAAAGCGGAAAGAAAGAAAGGAAACACGAAACGAGCACCCCGCCGCGCACAGATAGCGACCAGATAAAATAATTTATTAAAACCGTTGGGGGGACGTGCGCCACAGCCGCAGAAAAACATATTTTTTTGCGCCCTTCTACCATTTTTTCCCTGCGCCCCGTGGAAAATTGAGTGTAAATTATCATTGTTTGCACGCAGCGCGCGCGCCATAAATTATTCGCATCTCTTGCGACTGTAATAATCTTAAAACCGCGCGGCGGAGGTTATGATGTGTACGTCTGGTTGCCTACCTTAGTGGTGAACCAAGAGGCGTGGCCACGCCGAATCCCTTCGCGTCCAAGTTGCGTCCGACTTTCATCGTGTCGCATGGCTCACGCTCGTTGATGTAGTCGTTCTTGGGTGACTCGATGAGCAAAGCATACTTGCCTTTGGAGGTGCGCACACGTCGGATACCTTCATCATAGGACTTGACAAAGACGTGCTTGCGCGAGTGCATGTATTCCCACATCTTTGAGTAGAGCGTGATCTGGGAGCGCTGTTAGAAACATAACAACAAAGCCCAAAGCAATTAAATTGTGTTTTTGCAAAAAAAAGAGGAGAAGGAAACACGTAGTACTCACGCGGAAAAAGTCCCACGTGGCACCGTGGTACAACGTGCCGTATTGTACTTCCGTTTGCGAGGCGAGGTCCTCCGGTGAGTTGATCGGCGCTACCATTCGTTCAACTGTCAGGAATGCCGCAAGGTTGGCAGTGTACGATGAGATGAGTATCAGTGTAAAGAACCACCAAACAGAACCAACAATTCTTCCTGATATAGATCTAAATTTTTAATTTTTAAAGAAAAAACAAACAAACAAAAAAATCAAAGCTATTACTTCATAGATGGCGTTGTAATATTTTTATTACCTTGGAGAAATGTCACAGCCTTGTTGCATGAAAGCTCCCAATGCAAACCAGGCTGAATTCAACATGCTGAAATCATTCGCAAGTGAATTTCCGTGGTGGCCATGTTGTCCGGATGGATCTCTATGCTCGCCGCTCATGTGTAGAAGACGCCATTCGTAGGGTGAGAAGCGCGACACCGTAAAGAGGACAATACTAACGCCGATGTAGCTGAATATAACGCACACCCAGATTTCACGTGAGAGTGGGTTCAGGAAACTGAAAACTCCTGGTTTTTGTTTGATCGGTTTTTTTATCATGATGGATATGCCCAGGGACATGAAGGGTTTACTGAAGTCAATGACGCGTTCACGTTCGGAGGTAATCGTCATTGGTGCAATTGCCATATCTGCTTCCTAAAGAAAATAAAAGTAAAATTTTTTATTTTGTGTGTTAAATGTGTTAAATAAAAAGTTTTAGTACGCAGAATACGATTTTCCGGTTTTTAAAACTTTAAATTGCAATATTTTTGCATTAGTGCGTAAAGTATTAACTTTGAACACTCAATGTGTACTATAAAAGTTATATTTTAAACATTATGCAAGGAAAATGTTATATAAAATAGAGTTATATGATTTTTTCTATAAATTAGCCAAATTGAAACATTTTGTACACTAGTGCGTAAAATATGGGTTTTACACACTCAATTAGTTCAATAAAAGTAACATTTTACGCACTATCAAAGGAAAAACTAATTTAAAGTTATATTATACTTTATCCTTTAAAAAAAATAACCACATTTCATTATTTTATAGCCAAGTGCGTAAAATATGAATTTTGCCCACTGAAATGATACAATAAAAGTTATGTTTTACACACTATTCAAAGAGAAACTAATTTAAAGTTAACTTATACTATTTTTTCAATAAAATAACCACTGGTTATAAGTTTATAACCAAAAAAAGATATGAAATAAAATATAGACGTATATTCATAATGAAGCGAAAGAATTTAATTTGAAAAAAACGATCCGCACCAAGCATAGAAATCGTTCCGTCTCGTTTATCATTCTGATTTCCACGCAGCGCATAACCATAAAAAGCAATTTCACAAGAAATGAAATTGAACGCGTCGTAATAATTTTTAATTAATTTTTTCTCCGCACTTGTAAAATAAAAATATAAAAAATCCCGAAGCAAAATCTACAGTTTAGATTAAACAAACCATTGTTATGTGTTTGTTTTGTTCGGCTTTATTGACAACTATAAAAATAGTTTCCGCAAAACAAGCCAGTTCAATGAAGATATTGATCATCGAGTTATAGAATCAAGAATGAAATGGAATTGAACGAAATTGAATTGAGCCGTGTCGGCGCAGAAGAAGACGGTTATTTCGGATGATAGGTAACTAAACTAAAGCGAGCAGAAACGAACGGAGGCGGTGAAAAAAACCCACCGCCCGAAATAAAAAATAAAAAAGAGTATGGAAGAGTAAATGGAAGCGTGCGCGCGCGCGCGAGCGCTTTGAATTAGAAATAAGAAGAACGCGAGTTGCGTTTTACAAGCGCCGATCGAATATAATCCATCAAAAGTTTAAAAAAGTTCGTAACCTTTCTTCTCCGCCAACTTACTTGCGCCCGCGCTGTCTAAAAATATACCGAAGATGCTGGCAGGAATATAAAGATAAAGATATAAAAACACGTAGGCAGAAAATCTAGAGAAATCTGGATGAGTTTTCTTTTTTTGCACGATTTCCAGGGAGAAGAAAAAAAAGTCTATTGAGAGATGACAAAATGGCGTATTGTAATAAATCTAATTTACTTAGAAATTAAGTTTTCCGGATAGATATTTCCGGTTTTCCGGTTTTTAAGGAAACCAGCTGCTAGTGACTCCCGCATCATTTTACAAGTAAAACACATTCGTTTGGCGAAATATTCGCGAAAATTCACAAACATTTCACCGGGCGAGCGGTTTTCCGGGTTTGCGAACGAACTCTCCTGGCACACGTCTGTGCGGAAACGCTGGCAAAAAGTTTCGCTGCGGTGCGCGCCGGCTTAAATAAGAAATAAAAATCGCTTTTATGGTGCACCGAGGTAATTGGATTGAAAATTGATAGAAAGCAAGAAAGCAAACCTTTTTACTACCTCACGTAACCGTATCACACATATACACACAGTGCATGTTTGATATAGTGAGCCAGGAGCAGAGGCTGGGTATTTTTTTTGCGTGTATTTTACCGGTTTCAGCGCTTTCCACGCCTTCCGCGCGTTAAAAATGTAACGAAGCCATGATGGGTTATTAAATTCGTTTTTTGTGTGTTTTAACGGGTTTTAATTTTCTTCCCAGCGCACGCAAAAAACGATCCATTAAAAATATTAGTTATTTTTTTTATTTTTTTGGTTAAAAACCTTTTAAATTACGAATTTTGTTTTAATCGGTAATTGTATTCGTTGAAAATGTCAACTTTTGCATAGTGAAGCAAGATAATACGCCATCCGCGCAAATATGAATATTACCAAAGTTCATCTTGAAAGGTCAATGAAATAATTTCGCATCCGATGCACAATGCGAGCGCAAAATTCACGCTCGAGTGCATCACATACGTGCTTGCGGAATTATATATGCAAGCAATTAATGAATAAATATGCGACGCTTTAAGGTCAACAAAACTGCACGAGTGGATAAAATGCATTTATTTGCACACAATCTGCACTCGACAAAAAAAAAATGATTAATTGATAATTCAACAACATAACAACACAATCATTAAATTTTTTTCTAAAAAATTTTCAAAACAAAAAAATTAATTTGCCTGAGAATAATTCGTTTACTTCTGCACATGATACACAATAACTTTTCATAAATCATAACACATTACACATTGCACACCATTAATAATCTGGAGGTCAATGATCGACAGGGTAGACAAAGCGGTCCACCACAAGACCACAAACAATGACAAGTTAACCATGCAGTTAACCCACTGTACATCACTTCATGTGTGTTGGTGTGTGAATAGGCAACCAGTAATACGTTCACGTCTCGCGCGCTTGTATAGCAAATTGCATACGTTAGCATATGTAGGCAGTTAGCAACACATGATTATCCAATCGTCGGCAGACACGCGGCGCGATTAATGGCCGCCTCTCTGTTGTGTGCGAAGCGGAACGGAGTGAACTGATGTGAAATTATGACCGCGCAAAGGGATGAGGTCGAGTTGATTGTATGCAAATCGAATATTAACACGATGTGCACGGACGTGATATTGATTTAATAATTAAATTGATTCTGCGCGGTTTTAAGCAAAATTTCGGTACTTACTTGACGGACCAACTCGCCAACCATGCCGTCCCATCCACCTTTGACTTCGGCGTTCTCGGACCCGTATTGACCATCTTTTACAACACGAATTTGATCTGTGAAATATTAAAAAGAGGAGAATTGTGGTTATGTTTTGACATAACCTAGTATTTCGTCTAGTCTATTGCTTACAGTTGATGCCTAGTTTTTTGGCGATGAGCTCGGCGAGATCCTTGCAGTATCCCTCGAAGCGATCGTTGCCGTTGAGGATCTCACCTGCTTCGGGCGTGCGGAGCATGATGTAGGGCTCCTCCTGCGGAATAAAATTACGTTTTGCGTCAGCATTCGCAGGCACGCAGCGTAAACGTAAAAAGTTGGCACGGCGACAACTTTCCCCGCCGCCCCACACACACACACACATATCAAGACACAAAATTTGTTCTTCTGTGTATTCTGCAGCGGCTGGTGCTTGAAGCGCCCTCTATGACATTTGGCGTGTGGGGTGGCTATTATACCCAGGCGCCCGGGCACTCGAGGCCTTTCGTAGACTTTATTAAATATGTAATGTCGACGAGAGTTTGACTGCAGGCGAATGCAGGCCGAAAGATCGTGGTGGTGTGTGCGCGCGGGCGAGTTAATGCATCGTGAAATTGGGTGGAATTGGATGCGACGTTGCGCTTTTGCACCCTCAGTGATTTTTCCATTTCGTCGCTTGAGCTTTGAGCACGGCATTGAGAGTTTTGCACCTTGTGCTGTTTGTTCTCTGAATTTCACGATGCAGCGCACACCACCACAAAAAAAAAACAAATCCTGCGATAATTTATTGATGAATTTGCGGTTCAATTTATAGATATACATCTATATCTATATATATCTCAAAAAGTATAAAAAAATATATTTCAACGAATAAAATTCTAAAGAATGTATTAAAAAATAAACGCGTAAAGAGTTCATGTGGTTGGTTAGGTTTTGTAATACTTTGTTATGTTCTGTGTGCAAATGCAATGTAAAAAGCGCAAAATGCGAAATATTTGCGCAATCCAAGCATTAAACGCTAAATGCGAACGCACATGCTACTCGACAATAACCGCAGCAAGGGTTGCCACCACAGACGTCGAGGTGCCTTGGGGCTAATGCGAAATTAAACGCTCCTGCAACGCTCGAATCGATCACAATCGGCGAATAATACCCACTCAGCGATACGCGCGAATGCATTCCACTCAAAATACCATTTTCATTTCTTTTTTCAATCTTTCAGCGATTACAGCGTTAAAGTAAACGCCACGTTAACAATTTAAAGTTAGACTACCACCATAACACGCAATAACCTCAAAAAAACTTACCACAATAGTAGTGACGATATAAGTCCTGTTACGCTCAATATGCGCAGTAGGCTTAAGTCGAGTATACTTAGCAGCAACCGGAGCAAAACCAGTTTCATCACTCCACTCAGCAACTTTCACCATGGCGCTGTTCACAGTCATCTCCACAACGTGCAGGGTGTAATTCTGACGGCGGCCATCTTCGGAGAAACGAACTTCACCAGTGATGCCTTCCAATTCAACCTTTGATTTAATAAAAAAAAATGTTAAAAATTTACTTTAAACTGAAAAATTGAGTTTTTTTCTTCATAAAACAAGTTTTTTTCGTTGGTAAGTTGATGTTCATAGGTCAGAGGTGGAATATGCAATCTGGGAGTGGTAATATTAACACGCGAACATCATCGTATCTCGCCGCCAACCGCAGCGCCTCAATCTCGACGCAAAACGAGCAGCGCGGTGTTAAAATGAAGAATGAGAAGCGCCACAACAACGGATGATATTATCTCCTTTGTTTGCCGTGTTTACTGCGCGCATTTTTTTCCTCCGCTTGCTTTTATTTTGATACGCGCCTTTCGCTCGGCGATGAATACGAGTAAATACGTCCGTCGGCGTAAAATTTCAGGTTAGGTAAACTTAACAACTAAAGAATAGCATTTTATTTTGTTTGTACCTTCCTGAGCAGACGAGATATCTTATCACCGTGCTCCCACGGCGTGACCCATCCACCGGAGGTGTTGCAATCCAATGCCTTGGCTGCAGTTGTAGCATTAGACACGGCGGTGGACCCAGCAACACCAGCAACCCGCCTCACATTGTTCCTGAACACGTCCGGCTTCTTTCGCAGCAGCTTGTTGAACGCCTCGACGAGCACGAAGACGGCGTCGTACATGAGTGCTGCTTGTGCACTGACACTCTCTTTACCAGCACCAGCCTGGGCGGCTGGGTCCAAGCGTTTCCATCCTTCAAGGAACTCTTTCACATGTTTACGCGTGCCGTCCACTATACGGAAACCTGTGATGTTTACAGCGCCATATTCAATCACTTCCGTTTCCCATCGGTCGTCCATAACCTATAACAATACAAAACATAACCTTAAATATGTTTTTTTTTGTAAAATTAACCTCAAATTTAAGCTAGAAACATGTTTTTATTGTTGGTATCAACAATAAACATTATAATTTATTAAATCCTAAAGTGGTTGCGTTCGTTGCGCCACCCTTTGTGCGAAATAAAAGCAAGCAAGCGTTTAATACATTTTTGAGTACACTCGATAACATTAAATCTGCATAATATTTCCTTAATGATAATGCTTTCCGATTATATTTGTGAGTTGCGTGATTTCGCCGTATAAAGCAACCACATACCGCCCGCAAACTGCGTGTTTTCAAAAAACCACCCCACAAAACAAAAAGTTTTCAATTGTTATTTATTTTCGGCATTTTTTTGCAACAATCAGTGAAAAAACGTTCAAATAGCAAAGTCTATGTTGATCGTAGGACAAAAGAGGGCGCATTGGGGGGTTTGGAGGTTAGGGGCGGCTTTTTTACTAAGAGTTAAAGTCTTTTAATGACTATGCGGACATTGTTCGACTTGTTTTCGGCCACATGCGAATATGAAAGTCGGAAAAAACGTGCACGAATAGAAAAAGTTTTCGCCACGCGTCGTTATTACGACGATGATATATTTATGAGTGAACAATACGCATGTTATCGCAGGGTGTTATCAAGATTGCTGAATGATAGTCATCGTCAGTGGGCGGGGCTTAATGGCGATAACTACTGCTGAATGAATAGGTAACTCTTAAATATTACACATTTTGATGTGAGTTGTGTTTTTTTCTTATGTTTTGCTATTTTTTGTGTTATTCCTACTCAAACATTTATTTTACAATTCGTGAAGTGCTAGTCTGTTGGAGGGTGCGAGTGAGGTTATGTATGTGCTCACGGGCGGCCATTTTTCGCATTTCGCCGGACTGGGAAGTCAAGGGGCGCCGAATGTAATACATAACTATTTATTTCTGACGTTTTTCGCTTGTTTTCGGCCGCTTATATATTTCTCGTGTGCGCTGGCATGACTGAGAAATACATGTGTTGCAAACGGACACGAAGCGAAAATGAAAAATTACACGCTGTCGCGCGACCGCCACCGCGCCGCACTGGACGACGCAATATCGAATGTCCTGAAAATATCGCATTCGACTGCTGCGCGACTGCGAAGTTATGACCAGAAGTGCCTTCAGTGTTCTTTCAGCTCGTTTCGGCTGGAACATTTTGTAAGTAGTACGCGCGCGCACACACAGCGCGCCTAGAAACGACGAAATCAAGATTTTTATTTTATTTATGTTTTCTTTTATTTATTGTGCGCGGAATTTCTTTGTTTTCGTGTCGCTACAGTAAAAATTTCTTTTGTTGAATTTGTTGATTAGTTATTGCCTACGTATGTACAAATAAAATAAAAAAAATATGTTCGGTATAATTTTTAAAAGCATTGTTTTCACCCCGCTGTTTGCGAATGTGTGGATTTTATTTGTTAATTCATTGTGTGCGCGCTTTTCTTTTCTCATCGTCGGGAGGCCCGCCGCGCTGGCGTCGAAGCGATTACGCCGACTGAAACTAAAACGCATGAGCGCCCATAAACGTAACTATGATTAATGAAGATTTTAAAATAAATGCTGCATGCACTGCGGCGCGCGCGTTATTAACTCGACGCAAACAACAGCCTCGCGCGCGATTAAGCGAAAGCAAATTCACGACGCGCACATGCACTATAATGAAAAATCCACATAATTTCATGCGAAACAATAAAAATAAATGAAAGTAAGAGAGACGTACGACATTGCGAGTGAATTAAATTTTCGGAAAAAGGAAGAAAGAACAAAACACAAATGCGCAAATCAAACAAAGCGACGTAATACGAGTGGTCGAGTGCAATTGTCGCGTGGAGAATTTATTAAAATGCACAAACATGACAAATGAACGCATAAATAATACATGATTTGTTTGGTGTATATTTGATTGATGAATATCGTTTGACATTTTATATTTTTGCCTGAATTTTAATTTCCAGCAAAATTATTTAGAAATTGGGTAAAAAATATAATAATATTGCCTAGGCAGTATAGTTTATGCATGAAATCGAGCAGATTTACTTAAATTTATGAAAATTGTATTAAACTTGACTTTTGTAATGCCAAACAATCAATTTTTCGTTAATTTTACCAAAAAATGAGAAAATCAACAAAAATCTGCTTAAATTTTAATTTCTAGAAAAATTGCTAGGAAATAAACCATAAAATATTGTAATATTGCCTTGACAGTATAGTTTATGTGTAAAAATGTGTAAATTTGCTTGAATTTATAAAAAAATTCTACAATTTTATTTTAAAAAACACCAATCAAAACTTCTTTTTCAAAATAACACAAAATCATCAAAATAAAATTCCCTGACAGAAATTGCGACTCAATTCCTTTTTCACCTTTGCATCATAGGCGGAATTATAATAAACTTGATCGATTCCCATCTTGACTTCGTCACTCGCAGCGTTTATATTTATTTCATGATGTATTTTTATATCCATATGCTCGCATTCTCGATATGTGCTTGGAAAAGTCGGGAAAACATCGCACGACGTAATAAAACCGCGCGCTCGCATCCCCCATATCGATATCCTGCAGACTCCCGATGCAAGCAAGGCACAGGTAATTCTGATTTTTATACCCGTGTATTCCTAGCCGCATGTGTATACGATTTATATGCGTTCGATTTATGAGCGCGACCGGCGTTTACGTTGGCCACAATAATATTTTTACGATAATCAAGGGGTCGTTACGGTGGCGATTCTCGAATGCTTAAAATGGCCCCAAATGGCGGAAATATCCATATTACAGCGTGTTTGCATTCGTTTGTTTCAATTATATGTGTATTGATACTGATTTATTTGTTTTGCGTAAAGTATTGCCATCTATTGACTAAAAATGACTAAAAGTGGGGTTATGTTTGTATTTTACATAACCTATAACCTTTAAAATATAATATAATGCCTGTTTTTTATTCTGGATTGAAAGACAAAACAGAAAAACACTCGTTAGTATTAATAATTCAATGGTAAAGGTGAAAAGGTTGCTTATTAAGTCAATGTACAAAAAGGAAAAGTTACGACGAAAAAAAAACATCAAAACAAAGGCAGGAAAGACATGAAAAACATCATTAAAGCATAATAATTGAAGTCTGAAAGTTATGCTGTGATTTCAATGGTAAATTATTGATATGTCGCAATGCACTCATTGTCAAAACATAAAAAAATAAAAAAAAACTTTCTTTTGAGATTAATTTTTTTCATAATTTTGTTAATAATAAAACGATTTCATTACAAACTTAATATTTGGTGCGTAATTTTAATGATGCTATCATAAAACGTAAAAATGTAAAAAATATATCAAGAAAAACGCACGCGATGCGACACACTAATTCACAAACAAAAAAAGAGTTTGCCTAGGCAAATGAGTAAACAAGCCACCCCTTTCTGGCTGACGTTTGTATCAGCGGGTGGGTTGAGAGTACGCAAACAAACACGAAATTAAATGAGCGCGCGCCAGCACGACAAGAACACGGAAAGTGTATACAAGGCTTCACAGTCCGTTCAGTTAAAATGTTTCGAAACGTTCGGAAATGTTTTGGCGGCGGGCCGCGCGTTTAGGTTTGTACTAATCGCGCAAAGTTGTAAGTTGCAAACCGGCAAACATCGGACACGACAACAGACAGCCGACAAGAAAATACGAGAAAGACGAGCGCCAACGCAACGGACAATGGGAAATGCGTTTTGTTGTTGGTGTAAGAGACAAGCCGAGAGGAGAGAAGAGAAGAGTGCGGAGTAAACGTTTGTTTGTGTTTGCGGTTTTTGGCGAAAAGTTTGTCGCAGCGCGCGCGTGCGTAATTTGCTGTTGGGATTTTCTTAATTGCCTACCGAAAACCCAGCGAGGATTCAAATATAAACAAACGAATTATTAGGTAAAATATGCGCGCTAGTTGGTAGAACCCGCAACGGAAACAAATAAAACAGAAATAGTTACAAAGTATTAACGTTTTTTTTTCACGTTAAAAGCTTATATGACGACGATTTAATTTTTTTTCAACTTTTTATTTTATTTACATAAAATTATTGTCTAGAACTATCGTGCGTTTAGAGTATTACCCCCTCCACTCTTTGTATATTGTAACTTATAACCGTAACAAACATAGTAGGCAGGTGTAAGCAAAAAAAAAAAATAAAAAAAATTCTCTGCGGAATAAAATGAAATAAAAAAAAAACTACACATACGCTTTCCACAGTACTAGTATAGTACAGTAGGGAAATGAGGCTTAGGGTTGAATAAAAAGAACCTTGACACGGTTAAATCAAACTCACATAATAACGTCGCGCATATTAATAATCTCAGCTACTAACCTAACTTAAAAAATTTTGTTTTAAAAAATTTTAAATTTTTTATATTTACATAAATATATTTTTTATTAATATGTGAGTGAGCGCGTCGATTTGCAGGCGCTTAAAAGCGCACTTTGCTAAAGAAAAGCAATTCGCGCGCGTGTTTGTGGTTTTCTTCTTTGTGGAGTTTAAGGGTTGGCGGCTGGGTGCGCTAATGCTTCGCTTAACGCTCGGCCGCATCCAGCGAGACGACGTGCATATATCCACCGCCCCCGAAAATGATTTATGTTTGTCGAAATGAAAATGAGCGACTGACTTACATAATTTCCGTTTGCAATTTGTCTTGCTCGACGCGAAGCGTAGAGACACCGTAACGCGAGTGTAATGTAGTGACACGAAGCAATTTTTTCCCTTCTCAACTTAAAATATGAGGCTTAATACGCATGAATAATAATAATAATATTATTATCATTTCCGGTTTAAAATGCTAATAATATTAATTTTTGTATGTGATGACATCTAGCGGTTGTTTTTGCAAATGCCGCGTGCGGAATCGAAAACGAGTCGAGACGTTATCGACTGACGACGTCGACGTCAAGCATATCGAATGGCAAATTACGAGTTCATAACTTTATTAACTCTCCATTCCACCCTTAGCGGCAGAGGGCCCGTACCAGCCCCTATTCCTTGCTTGCGTGCGATGTCCTTCCATCTCCCCACCCACCCAACCACCCACAACCCAACCCCTGCTGCGTCTTGCTCATCACTTCGTACACCTTGGGAGTCGACTTGCACCCTTCTTCTCGTTTATTCTCGTTTACGGCGTTTACTAATACAAAGTTTCACCCTCGACGTCGTTGATGGCGTTGTTGATGTTGCACTCTCCGTCCTCTTTCGGCTTCCGTTTCGCCGGTCGTGATTTCCGCCCGGCTTTGTCTATCGCGCGTGACAAGATGCTGAGTGGGGCGGCGGCGGCGTCGTCAGGACGATGACGGCACGACGTTTCGATAAAATATAATTAAATATTTATTTGGTTAGTTTATAATGTCGGTTAATTAAGTCGACGTCGACGATGTGGGCCGGAAATAAATATATATGGGGGTAGAAGTTGTTATTTTGACTTTGTATCACTTTGGATTTAATCAGTAAACACAAACTTAATGTTAAATTAATTTCTGCATGTTTTTGTGTGTAATGTTGAAGTGAAAGCTATTTGACGAGAGATGGCAGTAGTTGAAGAGTGTTTTGTTTTTTTGAATAAATGTTTGTATATCCAGGACAATTTGAATTGCCTGCGGGAAGAGGAAAACAGTTTACATAGATAGATTTCGCGTGAAAAACCAGAAAGAGAGGAAAGTGTAAAAGTAGAGCAAACGAGTGCACGAGCAGTCGAGTACGAGTAGGTGGTTCTAAAAGGAAGAGATTTTTGAAAACTTCCGCAACGATTAATCGTTTGCTTTTTCCTTTCTGCAGTTCCGCGCTGCTTTTTACAATCGTGTTCGCGGAAAAACCTCCGTGCACTAAATAGTAAAATTTTCAACTCGAAGTTTTTAACTTTTTTTACGTGTTTTAACGCTCCAGCTGTCATCGCGCATGCAAAAAATTACGCAAAACTGTAAAAATATTTAATCTTTGGTTCTCGGTAAGAAAAATTTCTGCTTTACGCTGAGTAATTATTCAACTAATATTTAACCTTCAATTTTTTGCGATGACACAAAATAACTGATTATAATTTTATGCTAAAATAGTTTTTTTCTTTGCGAATGTCGAAGAATTTGTATGCAAAACGGCGATATTTTTGAGCATAATTATGATGGGTTAAAATATGGCACTGGCGGCTGTCATAAATCTACGTCGATTTGGACGACGAGGACAAAACCCGTTGTCGTTCAGTCATTAGTCATCCGAGTGTCTCATTACAATTTCTGCGCAAAACTAGCATTGTTAGTTTTAACGCAATCGCAGTCAAAACGTAAGTTTAAATTTAAATCAACTTAACGGAAACAAAATTAAGTCGAGTGCTTTAAAATGTCTGTTAAAACATTAAAATTTGACAGATTTGAACGTAGAAATACTTGTTATGCCCTGAAAATCTCTGAATTCCCCGAAATAAATAAATTATTTGTCATTTGAAAAGCAAACGAAATAAAAGGATGAATCGTTGCTGCTTTAATATTTAAATGGGAGCACAAAGTAAAAGATCAAGCGCAACGTGAATTCGAAGCGCAGGGCGACTCAATCAATGTCGTCTCGTGCACCGCCCTCGCCGCCCCCAGCGACGACGTAAAACGATACAACTTCACCAACGACGCGCCACCGGAAATCGATTCCTTACTTATTCATTCGATATTTATTCGTTTGCACAACGAAAGAGAAAAAAAAACACACACAACAATAATAACTCAAACAAAACATAACCTCAACTTTAACTGTCAAAAGTGTCAAGAGAACGCCCTCTAGGCCACCAGTGTAATATGCTTAATGTTGTTGTACTAAATAACAACACAGAAATTAAGGTCAACCGCTTTTCCAGCGAGCGTGTAAAAGCTCATTGGAATCGGTAACAATGCGTCAATTGTTCAAGACCATAACCTTGGCTAAAGCTTCGACACATTTTTATTATCGCCCTCGATTTACCGTTGCATGTTGTGTCTGAACGGACGTACTACATACACAGGCGGAATGCACTCGCGTCGATTTCATTGTCTGCGTCAATCAAACTCGACAAACAAATCAAGTTTTTCAGGTCATCGATTAAGCGTGGCGTGTGTGGCGCGAAGGTCCTTCCGATCCGACTTCGATCCCTGCCCTATAAGTGCAACTCTAACTAAACTTGAACCGCACCGCAAAATCGATGCACAATAATTTTACTCGAATGCTAGTCGAGTTGTTTACTAGCGTAATATCGGTAAACACGAAATGTATTCCGATACTGTCAAAAAACCGTGAGTTACATTAACACAATTACATTATTTATTAACCTACTTTGTTTTACTTTGTAGTTTTTTCGTAAAAATGTATTTAATTTTCAGTTTCTTGATTTTTGGACTTAAATTGTATTTTAATGTAAAGAAAAATGCTAAAAATGCACTTTTGCGCCATCTGGGATGTAATTATGTAACTAAAATTACGTTTAAATATCTATTCCAACTTTCAAGCCATATTTAACACTCTTTAAGTAACAATTTTAAATATTTTAATAACTATTCCTATATTCCAAGCTTAGACAAATTCAAAAAATTAAAAATCATCAAAAACCGTTCAGCCGTTCTTGAGTTATAAGCGATGTAACTAACTAACACAACCAAAACCTGAAAAATTTTAATTTACAAATTAAACTGTACTCACCAATCCCGAGAGTAGATAATGATAAGTTCGTTTGCCCAACGCGACGTCCCGTACATGCCCAACAACGATTTCTTTCGCCATATCCGCCGAACAATCCAACACAACGTATTTATGCTCCCAGCGTGATTGTTCCTCAAGTCCTCTTAGAAACATCAATGCCTCGCTGACGTTGGTGATGCGGCGCACCGTCGACACTTGAAAACTTTCCCCGGTCGGACTTAAGCCCTGGTAGATTTGCTGCAGACGTAGTAAACCTGTAAACAAGTTAGATAGACTATACTTGAGGTTAGGTTGTGGTGGTTTTCATAAATGTGCGATGGCGAGATGGATTCGTTGCACATCTCGCATCCGTCGGCCGGATGAACGTTCGGGTGGCGCGGGAGGATAATGATGATGATGATGGCGGCGGCGGCGGCCAGCCGCCAAGCTAAAAACGAGCTACAAAGATAAACAAGGAAATGATGAATTGTTATTAATGGATGGGTAATTGCCGGTGTGCGCAATGATTGATTGCGTTTTAAAAATCCGCAGACAGAGTTTTTCACTCTCGCAGAGAGTACATAACCTTAAAAATGTGATTTAACTTATTTAAGAAAACGAATATAAAATTTAACGAACCGCTGCATTGAAAAAAGAAATAAAAATTCATTTTATTTATTTTATATCGATTTATTTTTATCGTCGGATTTTTGGTGGGAGCCGCTGATTGATTTCCTGCGCGTCGTCTGACAGCGTCGTTTTTCATTTCGCTTTACTTATAACTTGATTGGAATTTATTACGCCCTTCCTTGGAAGACTTGCCGCTGTCGATATATTCTCATAGGTTTTACTTCCGTCGCCGCCCGCGCAGCCGCCTCCAGTAAAGCGCTTTCATTATTTCGACGCGTTGCGATTCGTCCGTCCATTAATCTATTAATTTGTTGCGCGATCTACGAACACGGACGTAATTAAACCGAGATGTTCAATTTCGCCGAAATTGTCAAAACTGCCGCTATTTTAATAAGAAAATCAAAAAGAAGCAGAAAAGTGCACTTAATTTCTGTTTGGAAATTCCGCGCGCAACTAAGCGCAGTTAATGCGAACGATTTCGGAAAAAAAGTAGATAATGATGGTAATTTCGCGGGCGTAATTTGGTGATATCGGTAGCAAGCTTGCCGCCGCCGCTGCTAGTGAAACTACCCCGTTCCAGAGCAAATGTGATTGGAACTGTGCGTGTTCTGCTCGGCTACAACTTTTTCTTTTCCACCTCAGTCCGTCGTTTGTATGTGTAGCATTTTTTTTGTGCTTCTTTTACTCTTTCCTCACTCTGAGCACGAGCATTTAGCTTCTTGGCGTGCGCGAAACTTCGCCATTTGGAAATTACTTCGGTCGATTCTTAACTTAACGCGAAGCGAAAACCTCCGCTACTTAGTGATACTTCTTTCGCAGAAAAGAAAACTTTTCTTTTGCGGCCGAGCTAAGAAAATCTCGAGCAAATAAACACGAAAATCATTATGTGCACGTTTAATTACGAAATTTCTGTGTTCTATGCTTTCAATTCACTTTTAATGCGTATTTATTTAATATTCTGCCTGCGACGGCATTAATTACACTATGCCATGTTGTATTAACTTCGTTTACTATTAGTGTGTATATTTTTTTTAAGCAAAGATTGCTTTTATTCATAGTTTCACTAATGGTGGAGGCGCCGGGTGAATAACAGCTAGCAACATTATTTAATGCTTTTTGAGCGTCATTATCATGGTAAATATCTACATAAAATACATTTTTATCTCTGTTTATCACAAAAATAATTTTTGATTTTTGAAAATGCATTAATTTTTAATAATAAAACAATTTTTACTATTTTTTCAATTTTTCTACTAATAATATTATTTCCTCAACAATTTATGACATATTGAATGTCATAAGGCAAATAATAAATAATGCAGCACTTTTTTAGCTTATCATTAACATGGCAAACAAGCAATATTCATAATTGAGGTTATGTTAATGTAATAATACTTTCTGGTGTATTGTGTCATCCTAACATGTCGAACAATCAATGTCACCGTCAATTACGGTCGTTTCCTTCGGCAGGAAACACGAAATTCGTAAAAAGCGTAGGCACACAACAAATGGCTGACCAAATAAAACATTCTTTTTTATATTTTTACGACCGCCTTGTGAATAATACACTTTCTGACTACTAAAGAACTAAAGTAGCGCATAACAATTTTTGTTTAATGTTTTATGCCTTGGTGATTTTTATGTGGAATATTTGTGAAAATATTTAATATGCAATATTATGGTGGTTGTTGTGGAGTTATGTCGTATCATGCTTGGGGGGCATACGTAACAACCCTAACTATACTAACTACGCTAACCACCTTGCTCTGCCCAGGTGTGTGAATAGAGTTTTAGAGTCTTAGGACTGCCGCTGCGGCTATAAACATAACGATTTAATAACAACGCACTACCACTGCTGGCGTCGGTTTATTATCGGCGTACGTGCGTCGTTTCGCTGCGCCAATCATTTTAACGCTGCATTTTATATGCGAATTTGCACCACACCAGGCTTATTATTACAATAAAATACGGTAAAATGCGGAGTTTAATGATCGAACGTGTTTCGGCCTTAATTTATAGGTTAACGTTTAATTTTAGGTTAGGTTCCTAAATAAAAACTATTGACAAATATTCCATAGAATATAATTTTATTAAAACATTTGCTCTTTCAACTTTAGTTTGTTTGAAATTGAAATTTTTTAAAAATTAGTTAAAAAAATTAAATTAGAAATTAAAAAATTAATTTCTGATCATTAAAAGAAGTTTTATCCCCAGAACACACTTGGTGTGGTCTCTAATTCTGATATAACCTAAAAATCGGTAAAATTTTCAACATTTTTAATAATTTTTACTTTAAAGTGAAATTTTAAGTCAACATCATTCAAAGAATTAGTTAAATACCTAGTTTTACCATTTCTAAGTACATATTTCATGATTAAACACTTAAAATCATTCGAAAATGTACAACATTTTAAGAAATACGGCGTAAAATTTCAAAAACAACACCTACAGCGACATCTATCGTTTTGATTATAAACTATTAACTCTACTTAAGTAAATCCAAGTAAACTTAAAATAATTGTCATAAAAATTTAAATAAAATTCGGATGATATATATTTTTCGTATTTTCCTAATTAATTAGTCCATTTTGTAATCTTTAATTATTTCCGCCGAGTTAAGCCGGCGTTTTAATGATCTAATCGATTTTTCAACCTGTTCAAGTAGCAGTGACGCTTTAATTACGTCTGATTTTCGTTGGTGACTAATTAAAAGTGATTAAAATTAGCTCGAACACAAGTTTCGCTCGGCACACTAGTTGAGAGCGAGTTGAGCGCGCTCGCCGCCGCATGTCGTTTGTCGCGCTCGTTTCACCCTTGACTTTTGCGCGCGGAGTGGCGGCGTGTCGCCACACGCACGAATATCTCGGCTAATTACTAATTAGCGCCGCCAGCACGAATACGGAAACGCCAACTTCCGACTATCACCTACGACTTCATCGATTCACGATTTCGCCACTTTCCACTTTATGCTCGGATTGTGTTCGTTAGGTGTAAGTTATTTGCTCGTTTTTGTGAGAAATGTAGACAGTAGGTATCCATTTCCGCTTTTTGTAGTATCAACGATCAGTGCGACTTTTGACTTCCGGTTTGCGTGACCACGCCTGCCTTTGTGTCCGGATTTGCATTCCATCGATGTCGAACGGTAATTTTAATCCCTTCGGAGTGCATTTTCATTTTCATTTTGTATTCACTGCGTGTGCGGAACAAATGTACGTGTCGATTTTTACAATTCTTACACGTAGAATATTCTTTCTGCATTTACATTTAAATTTAAACTTTGCTTCTTTTATTGCTTGAATTACTTAAATCTTTTTATGTAAAGAATAAAAGAGAAATATCGTGGTGTGTCTGTGGGGGATAATTTTCTGCTGATTTTCCACGTCATTGAACGCTATCAGAATAATGTATTTGTACATTCGTCGAGGCAGAAAATTAAAGAATTATCTTAGATTTAAATACTAAGTAGTACAAGATGATGGTTAAAATTTAAATCTTTGTTTAATTTTTGTTTCTTTGTCTCTTAGACGAGTATTTCTTTATTTTTGATTATTTTATAGGATAATCTATTGAATTTTTAGATATTCATTAGTTGTAGAAATTTTTGAAACATTTTTTACTTTTATGCTTGATTAAAGTTTGCTTCCCTTAATTTTTATGTAAAAATTATATTAACGTATCTTTTATTCATATAATAATCTATTATAACTAATTTAGCAAATTTTGCTATAATACAAACTTATAACAAGCCAAAAATTGTTAATTTTTATGTTTATTTTTCTCTTTTAGTCGACTTTTATGCATTAAATGCACTTAAAGTTGTATTGTTTTTGTAGCATTGCTTTGCTATTTGCTATTTCACCAGAAACTTGTAAGAATATGTTAGAAAACCATATTCTGCATAAAATTATATTTTGTTACAACAAATTCTTGGTTTTATCCCATTTTTATCCTTATTTAAGTTATTTAATTTCGTACAAATCGACTCAGTACAAATTTCCACTTTGCAGCGCCATCTAGTGGTTTAATAAGCTTAAATTTATACAAAAATAAAATTATGTATAACCACCTTCACAATAACAAGTTTTTGAACTATTTTCTTATTAATTAAAATATTTTTCAAACTTAAATAATATTTTAAGATAAAATTATCTCTTTATATAATCCAATCGAACGCCATCCAATCAAAGAGATTACTCCATTACTTCAAAAATCCATTTGGAATACTGAAATTCATTGCCAACATGTCGACGTGCCAACTTAGCAACTTGCCAAGTGCTGCAATGCTCGCCCAACTTATCAAGTCACCAACTCGGCAATTCTTCATCCGTCATTTCCACCACAACCACCACCAATCTTCACCAATTAAACTTCTCATCAAACTATTTCAACACTTTTAACTCAACTAACAAATCAGCATAATCAACACTCAAGCCTCAAGCCTCAACTTGAACTTCAACTTATAACTTAACTTAACTTATAACTTATTATAATACCAACTGAATAATATGATTTAATATGATTTTTATGTGTTACCTACCATCATGCGAGTCATAGAGATAAATGATTTTATTCCATCCGTAGTACTTGACCGTGTCGATGATGGCCTGATGATATTCCGGCCGCATTGAAATGGCATAGTCGATAAAGCCCGACGAAGGCGCGAGCACCTTTTCCGGAAACCATGGCGTCACAAAGGGCATTTGAAAGGTATTGCTGTACGAGTGCAGCGTATCGAAGGAATCCGGTGATACTGCCCCGAGCATACTGTAGACCCCTCTCGAGAATTGGTTACAGACTGAAAAATTAAAAAACAATTTGTGTTTGTATTAAAAGCTTTCATTAAAAGTTCGAGAGTAACGTTTAAGATTAACTCATATTCATAGCACTTTGGCGTTTGATTTGAAAAGTTCGCTTAATTACCCGGCAGCTCAGCGTGTGCAGGTTGAAACTTGGAAAGTTTCCACTCGGAAAATTGCATAAGTGACACTCGACGCGACATCGACATTAAACTTTCCGCCAGTTTTCAATTTGCGCGCAGATAATAATTACTCCTGCACGCTCTATTAATTTTTACTCAGGTCGTTGACTTAGATAGATAAATATAGCCTTAAAAATATTTTTTTCTTCTTTTTCTTCCAAAGCGCCAGTTTTCCATGTTTTTAGACACAAAAAAGTGGTATTTTAAATACGCACGACACAGCCGTGAGTAATATCCATTATCTACGGGAATTATTTACGGGACGGAGCTTGCGCCTGCGCATTAGCCTACGGAGCAGCACAATGCGGTATGAAATGCCATGCGACGTCAGTCAATCACGTCAAAGCAGACGCTGCTGCTGCTCGTGTCGGAGCTTCACGTGACTAAAGATTGTTAAACACTTGATTGCTTAAACGTTCGCTACGCAAACTCTCAATTAATCTCGTGAGTAAAGTTCCTGTTTAAATACTTGATGCTTACTATTATTTACTATTTTAAATTATTTTGCCCTGAAAATCCAAATCTGTGTTTTTTATGTGGAATTTTAGCAGGAAGGTAATTTAAGTCAAATCTACGTGAACAATCATGTTTTATAATTTATACACTCGCATAATTTATAACTTTCGCTGATATTTTTTATATAAGCTACATTAATTCATTCGGTTTGGTCGTTGCTTTGTTCTTTGTTTGTCGCTTTGCGCCTTTGAAAAGTGTAACATCCGAAATTAAAGTGTTAAATGTAATCGCGCGAATAAGTGCGAACGCAAACGCGGTTGTATCCAGGAAAGGCGGGAAAACACCTTTTCCTTTTTCCCATCGACTTCCGGTTCGTGCTCCACCAGCCGCGTACAGCTGTGTTTTTGCGTAGGTAGTAAATTCGCGTTGCGTCTGTGCGCGGGGGTGATTTATGACACATTAGCGCAATAGGTTTTTCCGAGCGGTACGCAACCGGAAGTGCTTGTACGCGCACAACGTCCGACAAAAGGCGTAATTTCCTATGCGTTTACTTTTTCTGCTAATTTTTTCTGCAATTTTCTTTTCATACAAAAATCAACTTTTCATAAAATTAAATTTTTAATTTTAAATCCGCTCCTGTGTGTGAAATGAATTATGCATCGAATAAATCCCCGCTGAGCGCTCGGTTTAAATCACGAAAAGATAAGAACTCGACATTGGCGACATTGGCTGCGTTTTTCAACGACCACTTTGTGCGTGATAGCAGTTTGAAATTGCTGGAAAAGCAATTTGCTTAATCGATTATAATTACAAAGTGCAATCCAGCATAGCCTACAATTCATACACGACGGAAAAAAATTTAAAAAAAGCAAATGCAAAAAAATTACATTGCGTTGCATGCACTTTATATTTATGTGTAATTTAAACCTTGGTACAACACGGTCGCTTTCACACAAATCATAATTATAAAACAATCAATTACATTGCGTTTGACTTTTGTACTTTAAAACACGAATAATCCTACATGGCAAACATAATACGATCCAAGTAATATGTATAACTGGTTGCCTACGTTATTTTTTTCTATATTGTGTTTTGTATCTAGTGATATCAGTTGTGCTATTGATATTATTCGCTATTTTTCTTCCATTGTTCGCCGGCTTTGTCAGCGCCTTGTGTGTGGTACAAGGCGATTGTCCCCGTCCGCATTACGTACATTTTCGGTTGTTAGCCGGGCTTGAATTTTCGCAGCTTTTCGAAACAAAAAAAATATATAAAAGGCAGCCCAGTCGTTTCCGCGAAGCGTCGCAAATGCGAATCAAAAGGGCAGAAAAGCCGGGAAGCCATTAGCACCCAATGCAAGAGATTCGTGCGTTTCGTGCTTCATTGAATTTACGATTAGACGCATTACTCCTCTTTCGTCCATCGTCAGAAAGCATTCGCTTCTGGTGTGTGTGTTTTTTTTTTCAGCGCGTTTTTGACGACTGGAAAAGGCGACGTTTTTAGCCTTTTAGAGTTTTCTTCGCTTTGTGAGTATATGCGCAGTGTCACACAGTTGCATTACGTGTGCTTTTGTGCTTTATTTTCCATCTTTCGCGATTTTCATTATTCTCGCCTTTGCGTTTTAAATTGGGTGGTCGTTCTCGGCAGAGTTTTATACCCGCACATATTGCACACGACATGTGACTGACGAGCACTCGTAAAAGCTTTGATATTAAGGTTTTAGATCTAACCTAGAAGCTTATACTCAAACGTACTAGTGTAATATTGAGGTTATGTTGCAACTGCGACATATTTTAAGCAAAAAAAACTTCACAAAATTTTACTTTACAACAAAATATCAGCAACTTAATTTGCTCTCTATTGAAAAATATGTTAGCAGGCAAAAAAAGCGTACATAAACTTTTAGCGTAAGTACTTGGCCGAAAAGTTGTGGCGCGTTAGTTGACGAGTTTCGCCCGCTTAAAGTTTCCAACTTTGCAACTCTCTGCATTGACGTTTCGGCGATTTCCTTCAATTTGCCGACAGTCAGTCATGCGACAGCTCGGCTACATTTACAAAAAGAAACCAAAAAACTTCTCCGGCAATTTTCTCATATTTCTCCAGAGTATGCGAACTTAATTTATGAAATTTATGATCCAATAACCATTCGTCTTCTTAGGTTTCTAATCCTAACCTAAATTATGCGCTTTGTGCGAGCATAACACGTAAATACTCACTAAGTCGTGACAGTTTGAATGCATCCGCTGTATTGATGACGTCCACGTACGCCTGCAGCTCGATGCGTCTTCCGGTCGCATTCTGATTGTGGTTGAGCATGGCGAATTTGAACGCAGTTTGCACCTCGTCCGTGCCTTGCTCGAAAATCGCACCTAAAAACATCAAAAACGTTAATAATTCAATCAAATATAATATATTTTAGTTAGGCAACCAAATATACACTTAAATATTATAGTATTAATCAAAATGTTATATTTTAAAGATAGATATTTATAGGAAGTTGATAAATCATAACCTTTAATTCATGTGTAACCCTAGGTTAGGTTTTAAACTGTTTTCGCGTTTAAATTAGGTTAGACTCGGACATTTCCGTATTTTCGCGTGATTTACGGCGCGTAACGGCGTCGCCAACATCGCCATCGTAAAACTAACGCCAGCGGCAGCGGCCGGCAGCCATTATACTTCATTATGGGTAGCATTTACTCGTTTTAACAGCTAAATTATATCGCAGCAAACTAAAACGAGCAAAACTGAGTGAAATGTATTAAAACAAAAGTTCATAAACGTCACAAATATCGTGTAACATTTTTGTGTCACTATATGCAACCAAATATACCGTCTGAATGAATACTTTCGTTTCTTAGCAAAGTGAATGTCTTTAATAAAGCTATTTCAAGATAATACGCTGAAAAGTAAATTGCATGTTTTCATTAATACCACATCGCATGCACGTATTAAATATAGGTGCTTCCGGTTTCTGTCTTCGCCGCATTTCATTTATTAATTATTCATGTACCGTTCTCAATGGTATAGTATTAGTTAAAGTAGATTTTTTATTGCATTTTAAAAGGTTCAAATTTTATGGTATCGCGTTATGTTGTTTCGGAGTGATGCCACTTACTGCAGCTTTATTGCCATTATGACTTTGGCAGGTCATTAAATGCGCTGATGTAATGCGCGAAGCAATTTAAATCTTGGAAAACGATGAAAACCACTGCAGTGCACAACACGACACGCATCTGTAATACGCTCTGCATGTGTATTGCATGTTGGGTTGCCTACAATGCGCAAGTTGTGTGTGGGTTTACCTCGAACTTCAGCGATCGCGTGCACCGCGACGCTTTTCCGATTGCGTCGCCGCGATAACATTTCATACTCTATGACAGCTCCTGTGCTCTAGCAAACATATCCTCGACTTACATACATACACATATTAGCATTGATTATGTTGTGTTGTGCATTTTTTACTTTTTTATTTGTGTTTTACATGAAGAGTATTTATTTATCTGATAGATGGCGCTGTGTGTCACAAATTGTTTTCTTTCTATATCTTTTTGTTTGTATCCCCAAAGAGATAATAACACCAATAAAACTTATACAAAAAGCACATTAAAATTACGCCTCGTTGAAGAAAAAAACGGGGAGAAAAATAAAAGAACGAAAACAAAAGAGCATCGTGGCGAAAACGAACTGAAAACACTGCGAGCGTTGCCGCCACCCGTAGCTCTCGCGAGTCGGGCGGGTTGCGCGAAAAAGTCGTAAAGCTGCACGACAACTTTTTGCGTCCTGCCGGCGCTGCGCTCACCCCCGCACCCAGCGCCATCATCCACAACACGGTTCTTCGGCACGTCGTCACGCCACGCTGATTCTTTATAAATCCGCGTACTGGCTTTTCTATTATGTTTTTTTTTGCATTTATTTCTATTCTGTTTTGGTTTGGTTTTTTTTACGAGTAAAGTTCTAGTCGGACTAAACATTAAACCGAAAGTAAAAAGCCTGCTACATTGTTTTTCATTTAGTGAAGAATTATTTAATTTGTTTCTCGAAACTCCTGGCGCCATCTACAAACAAAATATTTAACTATCCATAATAGAAGTTTTATTTATTACTTTATAATTTATTTGATTGCTTTGGAATAAATTGCGTTAGTTTTTTCGTTTGCTTTGGACCAGGAAGCAATTGTTGTAAATTGCCATTACGCGAATTGTTTGCTCGGGTGCGTTTGTTTTACTTTCTCACTGCTGCTATTACCCGGTCGGTTGTTAGTCTTTTCGGGCCGCTTTAATGTAATTTATCTTCATTGCACTGTCCTGCCTTGGCTCGCACAAGACGGTGTAATAAAGCTTAACGTTTCGCACGGTAATAAAGCGCAAACGCAGCTTCGTTCGCCGTTTTCTACAATTTCCACTTTCGACGCTACTTTTTCCGTACACTACGCTGGGCATTGTTTTTATTGGTTTTGTTTTATTTTCTTAATTCTGCGCGTTTGTAAAATCAATTATTTATTAACAAGACTTCTCTTAGTTTAAATTTTTTAATATTTTTAGCTTACTAAAACTTATATAACGTTTCTAGTGTTTAATGTCACATTTTCTAGCAATGTGGTTACAATTTTATAGCATTTTGAGTGTTTTACGCTCACATTTAACGCGCAAGTTTTATTTCTTGGGTTTTAGTGTCTTTCTTGAATCATTATTATCTTACTGCATTCGGACCGACTCTAAAGACACGACACATTTTATTCCTTTTTTACGATAAGCAATTATAAATTTCAAGTTTTGTCCTTAAAAGATATTTTTAAAGCAACAAATGAATAATATGTCATAATTTACGGTATGCAACCCAGATAACACTAAATTATGTTTATGTTTCCAAGTTATGCAACCATATATACATCGTATTAAATATTAACGCATATAAACGCACTGTATGCTGAATAAATTCAAGTCTATTCGCGAATATAATATCCTGTCGACGAATCGTGCCGGAGTGTTGATATATACGTGCGATTTTGTCCGCGCCTCCGACGGCGACATTCAGCGACCCTTTGGGTCCTTCGATCTTTTATCAGCGTCGCGACGCCAACGGATTCAACTTGAGCATCTTTCACAATTGCGCGCGAAATGTGAATGAAGGTGAATGAGAAATATTTGCAAAAAGTTAACAAATGTATAAAAAAATACAAAATATAAACTACGATTGATAAATAACAATAAATAAGCACAAAAATCTTTTTATTTTTTAATAAAACTTGTCGTTTAAGAAAAAAAAGCTAAATACCTAAGGTGGAACGATGTCAACAAGAGATTGGTTTACTATGACTATGGTACGATGTGCAAAAATAGCAAACACAGCGAAAAAAAAAGCCCAGCGTCGTGCGTTCGAAGCTTTTCGAAGCTTTCGTGGCTCATGTTTGTACACATGATATAAAACTATATTATACGAACGCGAGAAGCAAGTCTCACCGTACTAAAAGAATTCTTTTACATCGAAAGAAAGCTTTTATATTAGGTTATGTTAAATATAAGGATAATGCACGTTTACGCTTCATCAATAATTGCAATTGTGATGCTGGTGATTGCCTAAACATTAATCGTCTCGTTTGGGGTAGCAAATCGTTCGTGATGGCGACGCATCAGAAAGCACCCCGTCGAAAAGTTCGGTTTCCGGTGTGGGCTTCTATAAAGTTTCACCATAGCAAACCGGCCAGATTTTCCCGCCGAGGTTTCTCCACTACTAAACCTTCTCCCCCACTCCACTCACTTTATCCCCATCATAACCCCCAGTGTGCCACCAGTACCGAACACCGTATAATATATCTGTCTATTTTCTCATCTCAGCCCTCCCATTCTCTTTCATTCTCTCGATTTTCTCCCCATCTCGCGCGCGACTGCAGTCATGAAGTTATACTTCCCTCTTTGTTCGGGGTAGAGGTATGTATGTTGAAAGTCGGATGTTGAATGTGAAGCTGGTTGTTGAACTGAGTGTATCTCACGTAGCGTGTAACCATGGCTCCGCTTCGGTTGTGTGGAGGGAGAGAGGTGAAGTGGTTGCCTACGTAGCACCAGCGCGCAGCACTGGTGGCCGCCTCAGTGTATGCGTGTGTTCGGCGTGTTGTCGGCGATCCGGCGTTGCTTGTATTGATTTTGGAACTTTCGCATGTTGTGCACCGCACCGAGCACACACGTTACATTACATATCACATTGTATACCCACACACACATACACACGCATGCGAAACTCGCGAACGTAGCACAAAATAGCGAAATGGCAAAAACACCGAATGCCAAAACGTTTATCGCTTATGTAGATCGCATCTTTTTTCGCTTCCCGGATGAAGTGATAATCTTCCGGAAAAAGCTGGAAGAATGTATACAACTGACAAAACACTACTGCATTATTGCATTCAATAAAAATGCAATGAACTCGTAAAATTCCAATTTTATTCAACGTTTATAGATTTTCAAGCGCAAAATTTAAAAGTTTTAATTTTGCTACACTCAGGAATGAAAAAAAAATATTGTCGTGGGTCGCGTGCGTGATTGTTGCATGTTTAGGCGAAATTAAAAAGCGCTCGTTTTTGTAATTACTTTCTCGCCGAGTTTTAAAATGGCCGCAGATTAATTGTAATTAATAATCCTTTAGAGAGGCCTGCAACATTAGTCATCCAGCGTTATTATATTGTAAGCCATTATATTTTATTACAATACATTGTTTTCTTTCACACAGCAAAATAAAAAACACCTCACACTAGCGCCATCTATCAGATATTTCCAAAACTAAATGTTATTGTATGTAATTCCTTGTTTGTTTGCCAACTTGTTACGTCTTGCATGCGCGTTCGATGGCTTTATTGTGTGTTAACCAGCTTCCACATACTTTGCCTCTCGTCCTTCGCCCTTTCACCCCCACCCGCCACTTTCACCTTGAACGCTTGTTAACTCCTTGAAAAATCATTGTCTTCGATTAGTTTGCACTCGAGCGCACATTGTTTCGGATTTGAGCGCGGCGCTTATAAAAGTTAAGTGCGATAAACTTCAAAAGAGCTAAAAAGACCATGGAGGAAGAGAAGCGGGACAAGATGGCGTATCTCGTTTGTTACAACCACAATACGAGCACGGAGCGCATACGCATGAACGAGCTAGGAAAATGAATGCATGTTTAGCGAAAATGTCCTCCCAAGCAAACCAGAGTTTAACGACAATGTCACTTCCGGTGGATACAATCTGCGATGCTATCATTTGTAGCAGTAATGTAGCCATTATTAAAATTTAGGTTATGTTGCTATAAAGTAATAATAGAAAACTGGTGTACAGACCATGAAAATGACACGAAAACAATGTCTGCAGACAATTTCGTGTCGCGAATGACTTTCGGCAAGACACGAACAAAGACGCTACCAATGTCTACGAAACTTTACAAATGTCTTTCAAACATGAATATGCTTTCTGTCAATATATATCTAAGTAGAAAAAAAGGAAGAAGGAAAGAGTTTTATGCAGTAAATTTCAATCAAACAATTTCTATCTGATGGACTAGAAAAAGTTTTCAGAAGCAAACATTTCTAAATTGCTATTTCCTGCCACTTGGCTTCTGGGAAAGTCTGCACAACGAAATTTACGTGGATCCACCGCCGTCGGTTTTCTATTGAATTACCGCCACTATCGCGTATCAAATCCACTTTCCTCATGTGTATTTCCACGCTGTGCACATGCACGTCACGAGAAGATGCTATCTCTAAACAATTCTTGTCTTTTTTCTTCTTTTTAGCAAAAAGCGAAAAAAATGCACAAAAAGTTATTTATTTGCAATGGTTTAGTAAAAATATCGTTTTGGCGATATTGTGAGGGTATAGCGTACAGTAAGTGTTTACTTAACTTTACTTAAGTTATTTTCAGTTGATTAAATTTTTATAAAAACTATTTTCAATTGAACCATCCAACTAATCTGTACGTATCGAGTCGATTGACTTTCGGAGTTTGCGAAATTGAAGCTTTTAGCAGATTATCTAGTTTCAACGTAGACATCTGGACCAAAACTTTGTTGATTAAAGTGATTACTCATGTAAACTATAGTAAAATAATTTTGTTTTTGTTTTTCGACCGTTTTTTGATGTTTTTAAGCTTTGTTTAAATAAATTTTGTAAATTCTTGTTTTATGAGTTGTTTTGTGTGAATGTAAAAGCGGTCTGATCGTTAATTAAAAACCCATCGTGCGCTTATTCATTATTAGAACACTCAGCCGGCTGAACGGCAGGGTACACCGCGTCCCGGTAATAAAAACAAAACGCGCGCGCCGCACATAACCTTTCAACGGCGACCGCATCACTCCCTGGAGTACCGCATCGCCGACGAGTGAAATTTCCTCCTTTCCTCCTCAAAAAGGTTACAAGAAGCACACACACCAAGCGCAAAGCAACACACAAGGAGTGCCGGCGGTTTTCGAAACAAAGACACATCTGCATTCCGGACGCGTTCCACGTCCGCAGCTAATTATCCTTCGCGCGGACCACACTAAACGGATCAACCCTTAACTCGCAACCGCACTGTATACACACAGAAATTGTAAAAATTTAATCTGGACGTTTTGCAGCGTTTTGAGATGATAAACAAAGATGGCCTAACCTTACAAGATCTTTTATTTTAACATCTATGTGAGATGAATATAATGATGAGATTTGTAGTAAATGTGAAGATGGTAATGATTGAATTGAGATGAAATTATTAGTTGTGTGGAAGACTCACCCAGCGGTATCTTTTCGGGGCTGGCATCGATCGCGGGGACGAGCACCACGAAGAGCGCCGCAACGCAGCGGCACGCAAGGCCGTTCATGGCCGTTTCCACACTCGCAGCCTCTCGCTGCCACTGTGCGCGGCGCGCCGGCTGGACCAAAATCGGAGGGTGGCAGCGATGCCGGCGACCCCTGGCGGCTGGATGCGTCTCGCAGGCGGCGGCTCCCCGGCGTCTGTCACGCAGACGCACCGCGGATGCTATGATATCTGCACGTCTATAATTTCTCATCACTATAAAAATCAAATTACAATTCAAAGAAATTCAAATAATATTCAACTTTTAATCATTTTTTAACTATTTTGATAATAACAATAATAATAATATTCCATGATAAAAATAACTTACGAGTTGTAAAGGTCTTTGTTCGTCCTTTTTGTTTTCGTTCCGCGTGCGGCACATTCACCACCGATACGTGCGCCTCCCTCACGTGCTGTTTTGCATTTAGCGCTCTCTCAAATTCTACTTTAACGTCATCATAACAACTACCCTTGGTTGGGTGAAGATTTTCACCCTTAGCACTGTGGAAATGTGAAATATGAAAAGCTGAATGAAAGTATGGCCTCGTACATAAATTGTCGCTGTGTTTATTCTGCACAGAAACTCAACGCATAATAATATCATATAGTACCAACGATGGTGGTGTGGGTGGGGGTGGGGGTGGCAAGAAGTAGATAATAATACCTTATCGCCGGCATTGACGTTATTTACTACTTGGAGGGCTCCGATAGAATTAATACACGTGTTCTAAGTATTAATTTGCATTCATACATTGTTAATTAGTATGAGGGGTGGAAATATAAATTTAATTTAATAATAATTTTAATGCCAGAGTGTAGTATATTGGAGAAGAATATAAATATGAGAAATAATATTTATAGCTGTCGTATACCAAGCAAAATTTACTTTTTTTTTGTTTTGAGACATAAAAAGTTGTACTTTAATCACGGGCGTGACTAAAGTACTTTAGTACAATAGAATATGCCCTAAAAGGTTTGCCAAATTGGATATTTATTAAAATCGTAGAATTTTAGTGCAATAAATAAAATAAACAGTGAAATGGGTTGAAATACTTGTAAATCTTAGTAAAATTAAGTAATAGTCAAACTATATTGTGAAATACTAAAATCAACGTTTATCCTATTTTTAATTTTATTATTTAAACTCACATATAGTTGACAGATGGACTAAATAACTTAAATTAAAATTATTTCATTTATTTATCAACATTTACTTACATTATACACTGTAATATCTTAACGAGTTATAAAAATACATTTTTCTTTACAGTACAAAACAAAAACGTTTAAATATTGTCTTTTATCGTTTCAAAAATTTCGTTTTTATGTATGAAAATATTTCACTTAACATTACGACTAGAAGCGATCATCCTCGCACCTTATAATTACATTTGGCACGCGTGGCCAGCCGTATAATGCAAAAGTAAGCAGAAATAAGCACAATAATCGCGCGTCCTAAGTGCGCATACAATGTGCTCGCACGTGCCAAAACACATGCGCCGTGCGAATAAAGTAAACGCGACGCTAAAATTATTACGGCTAGTTTTTCCGTGCCAACATTTGCCTCATATTTTCACACCACAACAAAATCTCACGTTAAACTTTGTCGATGTGTACAAGATAATCCCTTAATCTCACCACTCTAACAGGATACAAATGACTTTCTAATTTTAATTCCAACTGACCCAAATCACAAGCGAATTAAGTTATGCAAGTGTATATTTGGTTGCATAACTCAATCCTTTGGTAATGCGCTGTCACTTTTTCCTCGTGCGTAGAGTTTAAGGTTACTGCTGCGGGTGCCGAGCATGCGCTCGAGGAGGGAATGCTTGGACTTTCGACGTGCTGCTAGGACAGCTTTACACAGCTCGTGGAAAACTGCAGCAACGGGTAGTACTTGTTCAGCGGCGGTTACTTCAGCGAAGCCGCAGTCTGCGTCGCGTGCGAGAATGGCGCCTTCTTCAGTGCTCACCTGACGTAGGTGCACCATGTCGTTTTTATTCGCTACGATGTATAATGGGAGGTCGTAATCGCCTGCAGCTAACATTGCAGCTACTCGTTTTACGTATCCGAAGGTACGACGGTCGGTTATTGAGTAAACTAGGAGGACTCCGTCGGCCCAGTTGAAAATTTCACTTGAGGGATATTCATCTTCAGCCTGTAATTGATTCATCAGTATTTATTTTATGCAGTTGAATATAATATGATAATATTTTTAGTTTTGTTTAACAAAAAGAAAATTTATCCGTAATTTACGAGTTTGGCAAGTTTGTGATTTTTAAACTGAAATATTTAATAGTTTCGGACATGACAAGTTATAGATATAAATTTGCGAAACGTTTAAAATATTTTCCGACGTGTTTTTGATAAATATGCAAAATCTCAAAGGAAATCTGTAGAAATTAATGTGAATGCGTGGGTAGGCAACACATCGTACTTTAAAGAAATTTTGACTGATGTAATTTATGATTTACACTTTTCTTCAGCAAGTTTTATTACTTTTATGCACTACTTAATGAAGTCAAAATAATTAATGTGGTTAACAAAGATTAGTTTGGTATGTAGCAGTGTTGAATGAAGATTTATACATTTATAGCCTTCCAATGCAATTTTATGCTGGTTTCCATCAACTGACAGCCAGGTTTGTTGACTTAACCACATTCTTCACCCTCACTGCATTCCATTAATGTATATCAACGGATTACAGACATATTGCATGTTTATTATCACTAAGAACAATGGTTTTGTCTAAGATACACTTACCTTTGGACATGTATCCAATATTTCATATAAAACGGGTTCGTTGTCAACTAGGACTTCATGTTTGTAACGATTGTCTAAGAAAAGAAATAAAAAATCAGTTTTTTTGATAAAATCAACATAAAACATAAAAAGAATGAACTTTTACTTCCAATATGATTTTCATCCCTTTTAGAGTAATATTTTCATATTTTAATAATTAATCTCCTATTCAGAGGCGAGACAAATCCAACAAATCATTGATTATCAAAATCTGTTCAGCCATTCTTGAGTTATAAGTGTTGTAACTAACACAACTTTGTTTTATATAGATATGGCTATAGATTCCAGGCACATCTTTGAATATTTGAATGTATGCAACAAACAGAACGTTCAATATTTGTTTTTAAAGTTACCGGCCCTCACAAAATGAAACTCATACCGCACATTCCGGGAGTGCACTCGGGCTAAGCAAATATTGATGAAACTCGCCAGCCATGATCGCGATTATGTCAGTGCGAATCGATCATGAACACCGACGCATGCACCCAGGTAAACTTCCGCATTCCATGTCCACATTCTCAAATCTCAATCAAAATAAAACAAGTGAGAACATAGAAATAGCTCAGACTCTAACCGAATAGAATTTTCATGTAAATTTTTCTCTGTTTTGGTATTTTAATAGCCAGCGATCGATGACGAACGATATTCCGCTCGCGTCGAATGGGAAATTAATTGGCAATTTTTTAATGCTGTTTACAAAAAAGCGGCGGCGTGCCTCTGTCGACGCATAACGCCCCCGGATTGATTCGTACCTGATTGATGATCGTACTCGCCGATGTAGCGCCTCGTTAAAAATCGAACCGCCAACGCTGTGAACAAGAAAAAAACAAAATTACGATTAGCTTTATTAACATTCCGCAATCTGCGAATGGTTTACGCATAGTTTCCATCGAATAAAAAGAATTTAATGATTTAACATTGAAAACAGCGGGAATTTGATGAATTTTCTAAAAATATTTTTTAATTATATACAAAACTGCGGTAGTTCTTGTTCTCCAAAGCTTTGTGTTTGCTTTATTAAATTCTAAAAATGCATTTTGTGTATTCTGGGTTGCATATAGCTGCAAATACATATTTTTCTTCATTGAAAACTTTGTTGGCATAAAAAGAATTTAATGATTAAACATTGAAAACAGCAAGAATTTGATGAATTTTCTAAAAATAATTTAATTATATACAAAACTACCTCTTTTTGTTCTATAAAGCTTTGTTTGTTTGCAAATGAAAATGCATTTCGTGTATTCTCGGTTGCATATAGTTGCAAATATATATTTTTCCAATGATTTCATCGAAAACTTTGTTTACGACACGTGTAATGAATTCCTCATGATTTATAAGCACGTATGTGCTCATATTTTACTTACTTTGCGCAAGTTATGCCTTCTCTCAACTCTATTCCAATAAATACTTTCAATATTACATGTGCAATGTCACTTAAAATCGAAATAAACCGACCGCAAATAAATTTCGCACGGAAATCGCATGTACGACGCAATTTACTCGCATCTTTCACGCTTTGACATCATCAAAAGCATCGAATCCAGCACACAAACAAAAACTAATTAATAGATTAATTTCGGAATGTGGCAAACGAACTAAAAATAAAAATAAAGTAACCTTGCGGACGGCTAGTTTCGGCAAAAGCGCGCAACGCGCGCGCGAAAAAAGTGTAAAATCCGTGCGTGGAAGTTGTAATAAAATTTAACGCCAATTTCAAATCGTCCGGAAAAGCAACGGAAAAAAAATAACGTGCGATGGCGAAACACTCGCGGTTTTGCTCGCGATGAGTAAATCTTGTGGAAACGGTTACAAACGTTCTAGACGAGATATATTGCGTCGAACTTGCTAAATTTTTAATTTATTGCTTTTACAAACATTCAGTTTACACAATTCATATATAAACACAGTTTTTATTGTCTCAAAATGGTTGTTTTTGTTGTGTTTTGGTGGTAAATTTAATTGAAAACAAATTTGCTTAGGTTTTATGGTTGCAAAATGTAAATTTTATTTTAAAAAGCAAAAATTTTACATATAACTTAAAATAAAACAAGAAAAAACTTTTTTTTGCAAAAAAATGTTTTTAGCGTATTTTTTGGAATACATTTTATTTTACATCTTGCGCGATGACATTTTAATAATGGAACATCAAAAATGACCCAAATTAACAGCGTGCTTGTTCCAGATTCGCAATATGCACACCTTGGCGATGAATTACAAAAATAAATTTCGCACACAAGCAAACCATATCACATTACCTTTAATTTAAAGCATAAATTTTATTTATTTAAAAATATTCGTTTAATCCTTTGAATATTTTGAGACAACTACATTTGTTTACGCGTTGTGTTCAAATCGGATTATCACCGAAGCGATCCAGTATGCATTGTGATGTGTTATGCGTGTGATTGACGCGTGGTGCAAATTGCTTCGATGCCGATCAAGTGTTTGTTGTACCAAGCACGAGCACCGAGTGCACTAAATGTGCTGATTGTGATTGACAATAGACACAAGCCGGCATAAATCACAACACCAACAATAATATACAGCGAGTTTCGCAACGCGAATTGATTTGTTGATGCGTTTTAATAAAATGAATGAAACTCTTTTCAGCGCAAGGTGTTCCACAACACTTAACACATTTTTAAATAACTTCTTTTGTTTTTATAGCCGATCGAATATGAAAAGTGGGCGAACATGCGCCACATGTCGTCTTTTATTTGTTTCTTTACAAAATGCGTAAATTGCGCGCGTTGATGGCTTTAATGCTTATTTAAAACGTGCTAATTTATTCGGCCGCAATCATCGCAGGAGATTATTTTCATTTTGCGCGTGAAAAAATAAATTTTCAAGTGTTTGTTTAAGTTTTACACGGATACTACGCCATTTAACTTATTTAAAAACAAATTTTAATTATATATTTATTAAGACATACATTATTAATGGGATTTTTAAATATAAATAATAAAAACATCAAAAACATGAATTTTTCAACATAAAAAATAAAATTATGCAATTTTTTCGCTTGTAAACACAAAAATTCAGGGTTAAAACACGAAAATGTTTCGTTGACTTACGAATTTTTACGCTATCAAGGTTTGTGAAAAATATTTTTGGCAATACATGACTTTGAGCGCGGAATTTTAATTGTTAGCAAAAGGTCAGATCGTCCGCGAATAAAGCACGAATTCGCTAGGAAATCGTGCGAACTTTAAGCACTGAATGAATGAGAGAAACAAAAAATCGAAAAAGTGTTCATCTACGCGACTATTAAAAGCTTGAAACGCGTGTCTGGAAAATAAGTCAAGTTTATTGCGTGGAAACATTACACCTGTTAAGTAAATAGAACAGTGTTTAATTTATTTTCGTCTTCTTACCGCTTTTTCCAACACCTGGCGCACCGACGACAGCCACCTTCACTTCACTCAGCGACGACTTCTTTCTGCGTATACCTTTAGTATTCATCATGTTTAGCAAATTTTCAGCAATAAATCACGCACGAAACTTAATTGCAGTAAAGTGCATCAAGTTGAGTAATTTACGCACTCGACACAACAAACTCAACAATAGTAGACGCAGTGTTGTGGCTAAATATAACGCCCGCACGCTTGCGACGCCGACGCCGACGCCGGTAAGACTAAGCCAGTGGAAGTTAAGTCGCTGAGCTGCGTGCTGAGCTGCTTCAACCGCGCGAGCGCGTCGGGACGCCGCGAGACGGCTTATCTAGCACTTGACTTACATAAATACACTGCGCGCGTCTTCGACAAGCACCAAAACAAAGCAATTTCTGATGAGCTGCGTGCAAAGCAGCGAAAATATGAAAATGTGAATCGCTGTTTTGTTTTGCGTGTTTTGCTTTCTTTCTAAGTCAAGTACAGAACCTTCGGACTCGACATGTTTCTCCAATGCGGCGGATTGTTTTTCGGGTTGTCTGTCATTCGCGCGATTTTGAAAGCGCAATGTTTACATAACCTTAACACGCTTTTATACACACATTGATTCCATTCATCGTGCGGTTAGTGGAAAACATGTGGTTGGGAGTTAAAATCAATTAGTGGATAGGATAAGTTTTTGACGTAAAGTCAGAGAACTTTTTTGACCTTCAGGGTAATGAATTCATTTTGGCACTAGTACAATGTTGTGAATCATAAGTTTACTCTAAATTCTTGTATATTCTTCAAAAATTAAAAAAAATTAATTTTTGCATAGAAAATTTCTTTAGAATCGTTGTGATTCCAAAGGTCCTTAGGAGGTCCCTTTGGGCTTGTGTAAGTATCTTTTATTTCACCATTTCGATACTCCGCACAGAATGTTTGTTTTTCTTCAATGTGTCAATATAATATTATTACATTGTATCATAGAGTATAAATTAAAGCAATATTACGATTTGATAGGCATTATTAAATTACTTATGATTGGTATTTTCATGCAATATCAACTTTGTTCCATATTTCCTAAAATGTGATTTGAATTTAAATCTGCCGTTACTAGATAGTCGGTTAGATGGCACTACGATGCACGTTTTAGCGTTAAATATTGCTTGTCGGTGGTAGTGAATGCACACCGTGTCTCTGTGCGATCACGCGATTTTGCACAAGAGATAAGTTTGTTTACCTGCAGATATCGAATCTTTATTTCTTGGAATAAAATCACATCTTGCTGTTTATATTGGTATCGTAAATTTAAGCAAGTATTCTTCAATTCTTAAATTATGAATATAACTAACAATTTTACATTAGGTGGAATAGTTTATTATAAAAATCATCATCAGCAAAACATTTTTATCAGCAGCAGATCACTTAAGCAGTTATCACTTAAATATTTGATGTAAAATAGAATTACTTAACTATAATTATGATTAAATCCCTATACCAATGTTTTCATCCCTTATTTTACTCCCTTTAATTCATAATTTTTGATATTTTAATAGTTATTCCGTAATTTGGAGCTGAGATGAATCTAATAAATCATAGATCATCAAAATCTGTTCCGCCATTCTTGAGTTATAAACGTTGTAACTAACAAAACTTTGAACATCTACAGAAAGACAATATCTAAAAAATTCTTTCAAAGAAATTTATGCTAAAACTAGGTTAGTTATTTTTTTTAACAACCAAAACTCAAACAAAATGTTAATTTTTATTTTTCATTTTTGTTGTCATGATTAATAAAACAATCGATTATTAATATATTCCAACCACTTTTTTTGTTCACCGGTCACGAATATGTCAAAATTTTCGCGCATCGTTGGTGTACAAAATCCATTGTATCCGTTGTGAAAAGTGAGAATCAAATCAAGAATTTCAATCCCAAATCATTTTAATGTTAAGTGCAGCCAAACGCAACATTTGTTTTTGTGATAATTGTTAATTCAGAAGCATTATATCCTCATTATCAGCCCCATTGACAGTTTCAAGCACACGCATATTATCACGTTCTGCTCCGTTAATATGCACGCATCATGAGCGGTGGCGGACCGTTATCAAATCAGCGAAACGATGATGCATTGCCATCAACATCCACAAAATCTATTACAAGCAGTGTAGCAGACACGACGACAAAGGACGTGTACACGTGGTTGCCTAACGAAACCGAAAGAAAAGCAACGAGAAGCAACGCTAGAAATAAAATGGAAAATTGTAGCGCGCTTGAATACACAAGCGAACACTTGGAGAAGGCTTTGCTTGACTTGAGAACTTCTACACATCAATATCTGCAAGAATGGGCAGGACAATCGGTGTCTACGACGATGGGAACTCTTCCTGGAGCAAATCATACAGAAACTTCTACGGAAATATCATATCCAGGTATAGCATAACCTAAATTGAAGTCTATAATTTATAAAATTGTGTTTTTTAGTGAATCAAAAACAAGTTAATGCTACTGTTGAAATTAAACCAGTTGTTGAAAATATTAGCACGCAAAGTTCTGCAGATAGAGTCAGGTTGAATATACAAACAACTACAGGTAAGTAAAACATAAAACAAAATGGCGGCTTAGGCAAACTCTTTAAAAACTTTTTCCCTGACACTGTCCCTGTAGTTTTTAATAAAAATGTAATTAATTTTTATTTTCTTGTTCAAGACCTAGTCTGTGTTGGTTACATCAATAAGATTTACAATTTAATTTAAAAGAAGACGAGAATTGCTAATAATGCACTTTAGCACCATCTAAAAGCTTTTTCTTTAGCTATAACTATGGTTAAATCTATACTCCAACTTTCATTTCATATTTAGTGCTCTTTTAATTATAATTTTCAATATTTTACTAATTATTCTGCTATTCAAGGCGAAGATTAATCCAACAAATCACAGATCATCAAAATCTCTTCTGCTGCTCTTGAGTTATAAGTGTTGTAACTAACCCGACTTTGTTTTTTATATACAGATGATTTACCACAACCTCCAATACAACTAGAAACTGTTCCTGAAAAAATAACTGAAGCCACTTCAGTTATGTCTGATGAATCACTAGCTTTAACTGCAAGTCCTTCTAAATCTAAACTACCAGTATTTAAACCAGACCAAGCGAGTTCTTCGCCATCAACTGTAAATATACTCGTAAATAACAACCAAAACAAAATTGCAAAACCAAGTCAAAAATACTGCAACAGCAAGATACCTCAAAGGATGGCAATCAATTCAACACCTAGCCGAGAATGCATTCCTTCCAAGTTAACGGCGAATATTAATCGAGCTCCGACTTTACGCGCAAAGAATACTCGCTTTGTTAACAATGACAGACAATTACTTCAAAGCGCATTAGCACACTCCACAGCAAACATTCCTTTACCATCACCATCGGAAACTATAGATGTGACTTCGAATGAAATGCAGTTGAAGGCAGCCGAAAGTGACAAGAAATGTATAGAGGAGCAGAGTGGGTTGCCTACGGTACCAATACAAACAAAAAAAGAAATTCAAAAGGAAAACAAAGAAAACCTGCCGATTGTTGATAAAGTTTCAAATAAATTACAACAACAAACTGCTGATTCAACAGCAAGTGCACTCAAACCAAGTAAAAGTAATAGTGTTGATGGTGAAAATCAAAAAGACACAGAGGAAACAAAAAATATCAAAAAAGAAAATATTCAGATGAATAAAATGGAAACAAACGTCAGTAACTTATCATATAATTTTGCAATCGGCCGCACAGTGCATACAACGACTGACGATTTACAAACGGATGCATTCAATCAAGCAGAAGATAATGATAACAAAGACAGTTTAAAACTGTATGAAAAACAAGTCTACAAGGATGAACCAGTCGTTCAACTTATAGAAGTTGAAAATAAATTAAACGAAATGAAAAACGTCAAAGAAAAACAAGAAAACTTACAAGAAACATGCGAAAATAACAATAAAAAAGTTGTTGAAGACAAAAAGACCGAAAATTTAGATCAAACTAAAAAACTCGACAAACCTGCCCCGAAATTGATTAATCCTCCCGTTAAAAATTTACCACGAGAATCAAAAACATGTCTAATAGCAACACCATCAAAAGCAGTCATAAACAAACCCCCACCCAAAGAAGTCACAGGCTTAAAAGAAATAATATTCGAGAAATCACCTGTTTCCAGTACCAGTAATGCCATCCCAAAGAAACCAATCGAAATAAAAACACCAAAACAAGCAAAAAAAGAAGCATGTGAAATTCTTCAAGAAGTGTACGAAGTAAAGAAGGAAATCCGCTTAAACGCGGAGAATTTGAATGATGAATTGGCGCACGCCGTGAATATATTCAACATAGCTCAATCACAAAGGGTAAATATTAGTACAAACATTAAATAACACAGGGTTTCCTGTAATTATCACACAAATTAATTATTTAATCACTTCGGCGGTAATTAGCACATTAAACCTCACCAGTTCACGCTGTGTTGGCGTGAATGTGAACGCGAAAGCGAATCGAGAGTGTGAAACAAAAGAACGCACTTGAATTTGCATTAGATACACACCGGTGAGCGTGCGAGTCGCTTGACAGGCCGGAGACATCGTTAATTAAATGCTACGATTAATTACAATAAAATAAAACGAGACACGCGGTGCGCACGCGATATGCACGCCTTTGATTAGTCATACTGGTTGCTTTAATTAATTGTGTTTGACTTGTTTATCATTACCTCGAACATTCACAAAACATTAAATCTATTTCATGCTAAATTTAATTCAATTTTGTTTTTCATTTGTAGATTAATACGATTCTCCGTATGGCGATGCCGTATAATGATCTTATACTTCCGGTGTTCATTTCGTCGCCATCATCGATCATCCAAGCACTGGGAAAGGAATTGCTTAATACAATTGACATGAAAAGAAGGGCTGCGTTTTGTTTTAATGGGATTATCAATAAAAATCAATCTAAGAATAGTAAAAAGTTGACAAGCAAAACGCCAAGTAAACAATGTTTGAAAAGCAGTCAAAATGGCGTGAGTAATGCGAGTAAAACGGTGAAAACGACAAAAACTACTAAAACAACCAAATCGAGTATAACACGTATAGAAGAACCTAGTACAACATGTCATGCAACAGTTATCGGGCCACAACTCATCGCAAATCATCGGGCAACGTGGGCTAAGCCACCATTTTACTACGGAAGGTATAAGGAAGTTTCTGCGAAAGAATAGGCAACCAAATGTACATAATTATTTATACCATCTTAAGAACGTCAATGAGGAATGATAATAATATTGAATACTGATATAGAAATATAAATTTTAGTACATTTAAAATTGTTTTTGTGTTTTTTTCGTTAAAATATAATTAATTTTTACTTTTTTGGGCATAAAAAGTGATGATTTCGTCAATAAGATTCACAATTTTATTTTAAAGAATTGAGAATTGCTAATAATGAACTTTAGCGCCATCTGGGAGTCAATTATTTAACTATAACTATGATTAAAACTCCATAACAACTTTCATCCCTTATTTAACACTTTATAAATCATAATTTTTAATATTTTAATGTTTATTCTATTATTCTGGACCATGAAGAATCCAATAAATCATAGATAATCAAAATCTGTTCAGCCGTTCTTGAGTTGTAAGTGTTGTAACTAACAAAACTTCATTTTATCCCAATAAAACTTAAATTGAAATAATACTGCATATATTTTCACATTGCACATATTTATTTATAAGTACTCAACATCTACATACATAGTTTTTTGATTAATTCACCTTTACAAGGCGTTTTTAAACTCTACAATCAATAAATTTATATATCTTACATGTTTTCTTTCACAATTATTAACAATTACAATAACTACGAAAAGTGAGTTCCACACTGCATTTGTTTCTGCGTTTTGAAAGTAGGCGAGCCATCACACACACATAATAATAATTTATATAATACAAGTGTAAACGGCCGGAGACGCAGACGTAATTAGCGACGGTGTAATTGCGCTCTCGTTAAATCGTTACGGGTGCGTTGCGCAACACCGCGAACGTGTTGTGTTCGCCTGCATCTGTTTCTGAATCAATCGCCTACCGCAAGAAAATAGTCCAAACGCCGTGCGATCACTTACTATCTACAATTGTGTGTGCTGTGTGTGAGTTGCGTGTTGTGTGAGTGTATAATAAAATTATCAATAATTAATAATACAATAATAGAATAATAATAGATGCCTAACAGAGTTATAATACACGTAGAAGAAATGGACGACTTTATACACAATGAAAATACCGATACGTTACTTAAGAAATGAGTCAAACAACTTTTGCCTCCCAAAAATATTGCTAAACTAGAATTTTGTTCCCATTTTTGATCCCATGCTTAAAATTTACGAGTGTGTGCATACGGTGCCAAAATGCGACCGAATTAAAACATAACACGGCTACAATACCTGCTTTTTCTCTTGTTTTTAATTTTTGTTTTCTGCTTGTGTGTTTTTCATTGGTTGCATTGGTTAGATACTTTTGGCATGGTGGCGACCTCTGGTGGCTGCGCGGCTTACTCAAGCGCGGGCGCCTTCATCTTGTTGACGGCGTTCGCCAAATGCAACAACTCAGTGTTCAGCTGGTGGACGAGGGATTCGAGTTTATCGACGGTGTCCAATACTTCGACGCGGCCAGTGTGCGGGTTGAAACGCACCTCGAACGGACGCGACATAGTCGACACCCAACGCCGGAACTTATCCTTGGCGTCTTCGAAGCTCTCAGCGACATAGTACACCGGTTGGTATTCCTGATCCTGATAAGGTTGAATGGCGGTACTAGCGGGTTCAAATGGACGATGTTCGGGTTTCTCGCTGAGCGCATGGAGTAATTCACCGTAAGCGCTCAGTAAACCAGCGCCGTACGCCTTGACAGCGCCGTTTTCCTTGCAGAGGCCGAATTCCACGGTAAACCAGTAGACCTTTAGTAAGAAAAATTAGATTACTAGTGACATCTATTAATAAATAGGTTAGAAATTAATTGAATGCTCTAATTAATTTATGAGTATTAATATAGTCGTAAAATTGCTATCAGAGTCATTAACCATGATTCCCAATGACGTTACGGTAATGAATCGCGCAGAACTCGCGATTGTAAATGTCGCAATTTTGGGTGATTATGCAAAGAGCGGCGTTAATTATTCCGTCTCTTGTTTTGTGGAAACACATGGTAAATGACCATGTGCGCGTTTTGCGACTTCTTGTCGCTTTTGCAAATCCGTCGTCCGTTTTTCTCTGAACGGCGCGCGAGAGCGCGTGTCACGTGCGCTTGACCATGACACGTTAATCGCAATACATTTAGATTTGCCAATTGCCAACCGACTTCGGATATTATTACCATTTAATTGCTTATGCTGGAATTAAATCAATTCACTGCGAGAATTTTGCTACGTCTTAACTACAGGAGCACGCGGAATATTATCTTTTCTTTAACTTTAGAAAGAAAATGGAAGCAAAAAAAAGGTAAAAGTGCACTTACAGTGGATAATTTTTCGATTTCGGAGTCGGAAGCGCCGAGGGAGGCCAAGCCGATTTCCTGGGAGAATTGCGCGAAGCTCGGGTCGGCAAGCAGCGGCATGTGGCCCAATAATTCGTGAATGGAATCGCTGAAAGAGTAAGAAAAGTAGAAGAAAAAAATCAGTACAATTGTATTCAATTCTTTTTGCAATCATTTTATGGTAGATAATAGTATTAGCATGTCATTTTGATTTTTTTGCTTCGGTAATTTCCAACGACAATGCGAGTACGCGTGTAATCGGCTTGAAGTTCGCCAAATTTAATTGCGATCGCAGCGTCGGTAACGAACACTTATTACGCCCCGTCTAATGGCTTTTATAATTGAATCACAAGTGTTCTTTGATCGAGATCCTCTCTCGGCGGTAACTGTATCAGTTTAACTTTGCTATGCATCTAATATGATACGAAAATACTGAGTGTTTGATAAAATAATGTAAAAAAATTAATTTGGTTCAGAATCGTATTTTTTAAAAGTTAATTACTGATTAATTAATTAAAAACGTGAAATAAATTTTCTTTTTGGTTTAATTGATTGTTTAGAAAGTTTTATGGCCAAATATGCAAAAGAATTAAAAATATTGATTAATTTAAAGAAGTTATTGCAAAATTAATGCAATTAATTTTCGGAAATTTGGTTTTGATAGATTTTAAATGCATAGATAATCTATTACCGAACATATTTTTGAAGAAATTACTCTTATATCTTCTTTTAATGCGGAGTTATTAATAAAAATGTCCAAAATACTTTTTATGAATCAATTCAATTATTTTTCTTTCCATAATTGTGAATTAATCAAAAATACGAACATTAGTAGCAATGATATGGTGCGGAATTAACTAAATATTAAATTCAACATAAATTTATCGAAAAATTTGATCAAATATCGTCTTAGATTATCAGAAACGCCAAAAATTAATATTTTATTCCAAAAATTAATAATTTTCCGAAAAAATTTGAAAATTTTTTAGATTTTTACTTACGGTTCAGGAGTGTGATACGGAGAGTTAATGTGGCGCACATACTGGGTGCTCTGAAAGATGCGGAAGGCAAGCGACGCCAAGAAGTCGCGCGAAGTCAACAGGCCAGCAGCGGGCCGCAGCGTGAAGCCAGTGTGCGACTGCAGAAACTTGGACATCTCCTCCAGCTGCGGAATGCGGTCCGCCACGAAGATGCCCTCTTCCTCCAGCATGCGGAAGACGCGGCGGTATTCAGCGCACGCGTGCTTCGGCATCAAATCGCGCACGGTGTTGAACACCGCAGTCCATGTCTTATGCTCGGTCTCGGTGTACTGAATAATTGGGATTGGATCACCACTATACAAAAATAACAAAAAACATATTATAATACCAACTTCAACTAACGCCATCTGTGTGTAAATAGTGAAAATAATGAAAATAGACTAAATTTTGTATTGACAGTTTTAATTCCTAACCAAACTTACTATTTGTAAGCAAATGCAACCTCAGCGATGAGTTTACGCCGGGCACGATACTCCTTATCAGCAAAACCCGGATGGTTCATGTCCAAATCAGGCTCGTATTTGGTCATCAAATGATTACAGTTGTCCAGCTCAGAAGCATGACGTGGGAACCAGGGACTCTTGTTGGTGACGCTGTCATCACCCACCAAGGAGACATTGGTCAACGAAGCCGTCTGCCTGAGGGATTTAATCAACAACAGAAGATTCGAACGCGTGAGCTCAGCATGAATGAGCACGTCCAGTTGAGAGGCGTCGCTCTTCGACGGGCGTGTCTCCAAGTGGTTCACCACCCCCGCGTACTTCTCAATGGATTTAAGCACACGCGACAGCGAGGACATGCCATCGCGCAAGCGCAACACCAACGCCGCCTTTTGCATGACCTTGTCACCATCCACACCCTCGGCGATGGCATTCTGCAGGATGACTTCCTCCTCGGTTAGACCAGTATCTGAAAAATGGTTGGGGATTTACGACGAGATTTTACGAGTATATTTGAGCGGCTTAACGCGCGTTTCCGAGTGGAAAAATTATGCTCTTCAGAATGTAAGGGATGAAAATCACGGCGCGACATTGAAAGCCTCTTTCATGGGCACGGAAAAAGTGAGTGGCTCTTAGTGCAATTATATTCACAGCCGGATATAAAAAATAAATATACAGAGTGTTTTATAGAAAAAAAAATTAAATTATTTTCTTTAAAAAAATTATTTTTCATATTTTGTAACACTCTGTATAAAAATTGTTGCACGCCGCGCTTTGTGATTGTTTCCTTTCACTTAAAAGTGCATTTACGTAGATCGCTACACTTTAGGTCAAGTTTAAGCCAGCGCATTCTTTTGCAACGTTACAGAACAATGCATACTTGTTACAAAAGTAATTTACCAAGCAGCAGCAGCAAAAAAAAAGTATGGTTACCTTCGCCTTCCTCGGTCTGCTCGGTCTTTTGCGGTTTGTCATCGACTTCTGGTTCAAGGCTCGAGTCTAATCATGCGATACGACACAGAATAAAATAAAAATAAAAAATAAATAAATTCGTGCAAAAATAATCAGAATAAAACAGGTTATGTTGTTGACAAGTGTCGCCACCTACCGTTGGCACGCAGACGCGCTTCATCCAAGACGGTCTGCTTAGTCTGGGTGACAACCATCGTCTCGAATCGAGCGTCATCGACCAACGAACGCCTCCTCGACGGGTATCCGTTCTGCAAACGAAAAGACAGACATCTTTGATCAATGAACAATCCACTTCCGAACACGCTTGTTCCACCCAGCCGGAAGCGGAAACTTAGCGGGCGCGTCAGGAAATTGCGCTCGAAACTTTTTTGAGGTTATGTTGGGGTTTAGGTTATGCTAGCGAATTATTGTGCGTTGCGCGCAAATAGAATGCAAAATCAGCTTATTATGAGTACGATAATTAATCGCGAGAGTGAAGAATTGTTAATTATCGCAAAAAGACGGGCGATTGCCGCTGCGACGCAAGGTCAAGACTTATTAATATTTCGTTCCTTCGGGGCAAGTTGGCATGAATTCAGTCGTGCCTTCTATTTCATGCTCCTAATGACCATGATCTTATGTCATTCGTCGTCGTCGTGGCGACCGGCTCGTGTGTTTTACATTTTAATGTCACATTTGTGAGTTAATTTCTTAATTATCACACACACCACTGGTTTTTAACAGTGCGACCGGAGACTAGTGTGTGTGTGTGGCAGGTTAATTTGTTGGATTTTGAGGTGATTAACTTCGGAATGCAGCTGGTTTTTGGTGAATTACCGGTTGTTACCGATTAGAGAATTTTGTGTGTAGTTGTTGAGATAAGATGTCACCGCCCTCCCCGCCGCCGGCGTGTGTATGTGGATTTAGTGTTGGATGGAAAAGCAAACGTGCTAGTTTTGCGGCGAATGCGAAAACGAGCGCGAATCGAGCTCAATAACATAATTTGCCGAAGAACTTACGGATCCATGAAGGCTAACCAGGGGCGACGCAATGTGTGCAAAACGCAGAAAATAACTTAATTATTATACAGGGGCAATAATATTTTTTGTAGATAAATCGACATTTATCGCGTTTTATGTCCGATTCGAATAATATGCTTCAAACTGGAATATTGAGTAGTGGATAATTATAGTTTTTATTAATTTATTTAAAAACTATTATAGTTTTTTGGTTAATTTTTTCAAAAATTGATTTATTATTAAATTCTACATTTAACTGAAAAATATTTCTAAGATGAATCCATTATTTAAAGAGTTATAAACAATTAAAATTTGATTAAGAATACGATTTGAGTATTGAAATAAATTTGTTTATAACTTTTGATAAGAAGTTGATATCAATAAAATAATTGTTCAGTTTTCTTCAGAATTTAATACTTAAGAAAGCTACATCAAATTTATTAAACTGAATCAATTAGTTTTTGAGTTAGTAATTAATAACTAGAAAAAATACACTATTACTCTAGTTTTCCAATAAAGCAACATATCAATATGTACATATTATAGTAATTTATTAATAACTCAAAAACTATTTGATTTATAAGCATAATTCTTTCATAATTAGATTTTATATAAAATTTTAAATCTATCTGTAAAAAATTTCTGCCCTAAGATTTTTATACTAAAAGTTATTAACAATTGAAGTTAAACTTTGAAAAATTTATAAAACTGACACTAATTAGTCTGTATTTTTTAACAAAACAAAGTTATTATGAAAAGTTTTGACACCAATGATTCCAAATTTAGTGTTAATAATAATTATGAAAAAATAATTTAAAAAACTTAATTAGTTTGAGAGAAATTAGTGAAAAACCTTTTAAAAAATTAAATTTTTTTCCAAATCATTTTTTTTTATTTTTCATAAGCTTATTCGCGTCATATTACCAAATAAAAACATTAAAATAATCAAATTACCTTATTATCAATAATTAAATCAATCTCTGGTATGCTTTGTATTGGCGGCATTGCACAAGCAGAATTTTTGTTGTTTTGAAAACCTGACTCAAATGTTATTTCTTTGATTGACCAAACCGTCTCAGTGCGGTGTCCGAACCGAACTAAATCGCGATTTCGATGGCGATTAATGCTATGCACAAAGTGGCGTGGCACGGCATGCCATTAGCACGCATTTTATTTCGTTTCGTGTCGAGAGTGCAGTCGCGCGGCGTTACTTTACTTTAAGTTAAGTTAAGTTAAGGTGGACTTATGTAATTGCCACCGGCCGCTGTCGACTAATCTGCAAAATCGCCTAGCGACACACCGCGCGCGGTGATTGTTTAATTTTGCAATTGTACGATGCGCACGACGATCATTGAGTGGTCGTTAATTAACATCGACATTAGAATGCCATTAAGTGCTTAATCAAGTGCCAACAGCAAGAAAATGTAAAAAATTAAAGAATTTTGCAAAAAATATTTAAAACAACATTTTTTTTCAAAATTTCAACTGAATATGAAATTCATTTTAATAAAAAAAATATTTTTTTTTGAAAAATTTTATTTTTTGAAAAATTAACCCTCAACCCTTAAAAATTAATTTTTTATGTATTAATGGACTTACCTCGATACTATAAGACTTCTTGATGGCAAACATCTCGCGGTTCTTCTGTGCAGCAGCGACGGCAGCCATTTTCTGCTCCTTGCTGGGCTGGGGACGGTCGGGATTGAGATTTGACTCTCGCAGGTGGTAGATGTACAACGGCGACGCGGGCTTCAGCCTGAAAGCTTTGCGTTTTCACTGCCGAGCGGCGAATCCTCCAAAGAAATCCTCGAAGTGTGTACGAGCGAACAAACAGTCGGGCGGCGTAAACCGGGCGTTGTGCGTTATCGGACCACGATTGGAGACTCAAACCGTCTGTCTGATAATGAACAGGTCCTCGTGTCGATTTCGATTTCGCTCTCAGCGTTTTCGTCGTGGATTATTGATGGTGATGAGAAATCGCTGGTTCGCAAACGCACGCTGACTGTTTACTGGCACGAGAGCGGGCAGGAGAGACCGTGAGTGTGAGTGCCGGCCGACGAGGGGCTTCGCGCTTAAGTACTTGCGGCCCCCGCCACCACCTCATGATGGCCGCAAGCGCATTCGACAACAGGGAACCCCAGGCGGGAATGCGCTCACAATTGGAGGCGGCTGAAAATTCCACATATGAAAATCATGATAAAAATTCATTTTTATCAAAAATTCACAAAATTAAATCAAAAATCATTAAAAATTTGAAAATTTTTATATTAATGAGCATTATTCATTGGAAATTTCTACATTTCAAAGTCCTTGACAATACGTTCGGTCAAATGTGTCATCACCAGCCGTGTGCTCTTCGTCCTCTTGCGGTGAACACCGCCCGCGACCGCCACCGCCACCGCCGTAATTTGGTAATACCCAAACACAAACAACTCTTTTCTTTGTTACAGAAAACCAGCCGCGCGGTCAAATCAGATTGTTTTGAACTTGGTGCGACTTCCGGAATTGGGGTTTCAAGGACGATACTTCCTCATTTCGTCAATACATATCGACAACGGATCAATAAACTTTCAATTCATCAATTTTATTGATAGTTAAATGAATAGAAATTTAAGTAGATATTCTCAACACTTTCAAAACACGAGGATGTAAGGCACGTGTCTTATTGCGGCATTGTTTTCTTTTTTATTTTACGTAAAAACTGGTGGATTATGTTGGATGTTTCTAAAGAAATTGCAATCAAATAAATTAATTGCAGCGCAATTAGTGCATTTCGTCGAAGGCGCGAATAATCGGATGATTTTTGTAAGAAATACAATGTATAGTAATTGTACTTGGTTGTAATTGTATGTAAGTACATGTAAACGTTTAGAATTTACGGGAATCCCCTGTCAAATGTCTAATTTCAACTCGTGATCTTTGGTAAAATCCAGCAAACAAAAAATTCATTCAGTAAATTGATAGTTTTTGTTAGCTTGGATTAAGTAAAGAATACCTGTCTATGCTTTATTACTCAAGAAGTAGTTAATTAATGTTATTTATTTATGTATCAGTTTATGTAGTATTTAATTCTTAATCTACATGTAGAAAACTGTTTGGATAACTATTATCTATGAAGAGATACAAGACATTTTGCATCAATTTTATACATTTTTTAATTTTCATGTTTAATTGTTAATAACTTTTTATATAATAATGTTATTAACAAAATTTAAAAAGAAATTTATGAAGAATTTATTTGTGAATCTATATGTGAAGAAAAAATTGCTCTATCGCAGATAATTATTGATTAATTAATAAAAAAACTAAAACAATTTTTTAGTTTTTTGAAATTATGAAAAATCTGATTTAAATCTATTTTTTTAAATTTTATATTATATTTTATTTCTTTAATTTATATAAATCTAAGTTAAAAATAATTGTTTTACACATTTCCAGCGCAATTATCCCGATCTCAACCAACAATTAGCGTTAATTTAATAATGATCGCGTTGCTGGCGTGCGCAATGTTTGCGTAATTAGAATCTAAAATCTTTATATTTTTTTTCATACCTATTTCTATATGCCGATCATTTTTATTACACGTTTTTGTGCACGGCGGAACAAAAGAGGCAAAGTGATGCAACCTGACAATTAAGAAAATCAGCCGGACCTAACCTCACCCAACGCAAATACATCTGAGTAATATCTACAATTTAATTAAGTATAAATTAATGTACGTCGTGAGTAAAAAATTTCGCTACGGTGGCTACGCACGGCGTTACAGTTTCGAGAATGAACTTAAGAAACACATCATAACAAATCGATTTTTTGACAAATTACTCGCGTGGAGATTCCAAAATACGCGCAATCAATTTGTCCTTGAACTCTATATGCAACGAAACGTGACTTAAAGTTCCGCAACTCTGGTTTAAAAAAAAAGTTTTATTTAGTTTAATATTAAAGGTTAAGTTATAGTAAAATTTTACAATTTTTTGAAAAAAATCATTTTTTTGGCCAAAACTTTAGCAAAATATTAAATTTTATAATGAATTGCGTCAAAATTCAATATAAATTCCATTGATGTTTACGTTTTGGTAATGATTAATTATTAGTCTAATAAATAAATAACTGTTTTGATTTATGTTATCGCTCGAAACTTTGCAGTTCATCGGGGCATCCCATGTAAATACATTTTTGTTATTGGGAATTCCCTCTTACCGCATGTGTCAAGCATGTGATTTTTCTTCGAATCTTAAAAGAGCTAAAGATGCAGATAAACCAGTTTCTTCTGCATCAAGAGAATTAAGAAGAATTTTCTTGGTTTTTACGCCAATATAATAAAAATCTCCCAGACGGAAATAATTATCTATTTTGGTAATAAAAATTTAAATCATGCCAAGAATTAATTCAATTTTCGGCTATATTTGTGTTTATTTGTTTGTTTTTGTTTATATTTGGAATTAGATTATTAGTAGTCTATTATTTAAAGTAGCGTAAACGTAAATTTTAATTACAGCGTATTCCAGAGAACTTGTGTTATTACTACTCGGAACAGAAACCGAAAACCGCTAAACTGGTAAAACACTTCAATTTGAATTTGTAGAATTTACGTTCTAATTTTATGTATGTGCTCGTTCGTAATGTAATAGACACTGACCGCTCAATGACGCGGAAGGAAATTACACAAACTCGTTTTTTATAAAATATTCTTGGTCTGATTTTTTTCTTCGTCTCTTGCTTCTTCACTTTGGCTTAATTCTTTATTCATGGAAAAAAAAGAATTTTCAAAACGGTGAAATATTCTTATTTTAATTTTTCCCATTGTTTTAGTAGTTCTTGATTATTTAACAAAATTTTACATTGTCGTTAAATAAAAAAAAACTTTTTACACGAATGTGTAACTTTTTCACAATATAATGATATAATAACAATAATTAAGTTGCAATTTAATGCATTATTACAACACTTTAAAAATATAAACAAAAATAAAAAATTAATTGTGCAAAAACAAAGTTGTCAGACAGTTATTCGCATTTTTCGAATTTTTGACTCGCAAAAAACTTGTTTTACTCATTAAAACCAACTTGATTGTAGACGAAGATTTCTATGCTAACAAAACATAAATAAAAACAAAAAACTAATAAAACCAAATGATATGCTAAACGATTTAAGTAAATCAACATTTAACACATTAAATTTACGAATAGAGAAAAAAAAAACTCACTTAATACAAGTGATGACATTGAAAACTTGCGAAAAGAATATTTATTGTATTTTAATGATGTATTAACTGCTCCAAAAATGAAATAAAAATGATTAAAATGCATTTGTTTAGAATCTAGAAGAATTAAAGACCTTGTCGTGTGCTGAGTGCTCAAGTCATTCTGCTCATTTAACATCGGGAGTTACCTGGGCGTTGCGCACTTCCGGAAATTGATTAAAACACTAATCGACATTGAGAGATCAAAAGATAACATCACAACTATCACCATTAATTAACACACATTTTTATTTTAGATTCAATTCGATCAAAAACATAAAATGCTAATAATATAGGTTATAATTTGCAAAATATTGAATAAAAAATTAGTTTTTTTGAATTATTACTTTTTATTGAGAAAAATTTGCAAAAAAATAAAGAAAAACAAGGAAACTTAATTAAAATTAAATTAAATGACATTAATTAACGGTTTAATACCAATTTATAATTTTTCAATTTGGTGAGTGACAGAGATCAATCCAGAAGGTCGATGTTCATTGAATTGTGAACTAATTATAATCCCAACTAAAACAACGCATCGTAGACTCACTTCGAATGCGGCGTGCATCTTAATGAACTTTGTGAGACGTTGATTAGAACACTTCCTAGATTGATACGCATACGTAGCATATTCTATTTAACATTGAACGTTTGCGCTGCTGCGTTTTGATCGATTTTTATTTAATACTTTTCTACAAGTCGTAAAGCAAAGAAAGATTTATCTCGATCGGAATTGCGTACGAATTAATTTTTTACCGTCTTTAGTTCCTGCTGAATGCTTATTTCCTGCTTGTTTACCAAGAATTTATTTGACAACAGGAAAAAATGATTAACAACAAGTGCATTTGCTTATTTCTTCAGTTATAAGTGATAGAGAGATATGTGTTTTGCAGGTAATGACACTGAACTGGAAAAACAGTTTCGATTTGCTGTGGAATTCCAACAGAAGTGGAATTTCAGATTCGCGAATTCAATGTTAGCCGAAGCGCGAAGACCAAGCAAAACAGCACGCAACGCACGCAATTACATAAACACACCATCAAGGAGACACACACATAACACACTGGCATGCTTGTTTGTCCTTTTCGTAATTAAATCAAATAAATACGAGACAGAACACGTTTTCGTTTGGAAACTCGCTCATCTACTTTGTTTCGTTTACATTATGTCATTGCATATTGAGTTGCCTATGATAAGTTGAATATTTATTGTTTGCTATTGA